AGGATTTCAGATTGAACAAGAGACCCGATCTGTTGCGACTCTACGGACGCTTCTGGTCTGGAGCATTTCCCATTGATTTGCTTATGGGAGTCATCTGAATCTTTTACCTGATCTTTGAGTCATTTTTGGCAGTTTAGGCAAATAAACATTAACCCTCTTGTTTTGCTTGGCACACAGCGAACTTCTTGGGTTTGTAGGTTGATCTATGTACGACACACCATTCTACTGCATATATTATAGTTAAAACCAAAAACAGCAGGTAACTTGATATGCCTGCTTGTTTGGCACTCTACAGAATAACATTCCATCTCAAGATGGATTTTATTCATTAGATCCAATATTACCTACTTGTTGTCACCACTACACTGTTACAAATTTATCAATAAATAATTTCAGAAGCCTATTTAAAATGCCGCTACTGCACACAAGACTGTAGTTGTTTACTACGAAGTTTTATTGAACTGATCTATATTACCTATCAATCCACAATCCAGAATACCTATAGATATGATACTGTCACGGATTCCGGATTCACTAAAGTCACTCCACGTAGAGTAACTACTTTTGTTAGACTAATTGACTTTACAAAATTTACTTATCGAAACATACACACCGACAAATATCGAATTAAACTTATTGCTATGCGCTATTTATAGTCGAAATCACGCTCGGGATCTAGCTGGAAAAACATCGAATCGAATGTAATAGAATTCCCAGACAAGGCGCGCTGCCCGACGTAAACAAGTACCTACCTAATTTCTTGGAATCCCGGCCAGGCTGTCAGTGCATTTAACAATGCCTCCCTCCTAAATCAGATCGTGATAAGCCTTCAGCCTATCAATATGTATGTACCACCTTTAACTTACCTTTGGGGCCGCGTTGGATTCGATACACCACGTCGTTTAGTCTCTTTATAATCGTGTACGGGCCTCCCATACTGGTCTTAGCTTGAGAGTCCTTTCTTCCTTTGAGGGTTATAGACCCAAACTTTGTCATTCGCCAGGAAGTCTGTAGAGTTCGCCTTAAGATCATATCTCGTTTTCATTCGACCACTTGAGAACTCTGTCCTTTCTCTAACTATGTCAAGCAGCCTTTTTCGCAGATCATCAGCATAGTCCTCGGCTTCCATGTCGGTCTTTACCTTTGACTTTTCAAAGACACTGCAAACCACCCCAAACATAAGAAATCATAAGAATTAAACACAAAGCTTGACAGAACGGATACAAAACATATAAAATAAACATAACACATAACCAAAAAAATCAAACAGCTGATAGATTCATTTTCCACCCACGTCAAGAGCAGGGTTGACGAGATCACAAATATATGAGAAAACCGCGATTACTAATCCGATCAAACCGATTAATCGGATCCCACTTCCCGGAAGCAGCTAATGTGTACATTTCTTGGATTTTGAAACTACCTGTATCTCGGAATCTATTCATAGTATCGGGTTGGGCCTATAAGAACTTTTAATCAGGAAGTCAAGATATACCACATATCAAAATTTCATTCAGTTTGACAGAAAACCAGAAACCCATAAGAGGTGTGCGGGGTCCTTTCCTGTTTCTTTCAACAAAATTCATGAAACCTATTTCTCCACTGTGTCACCCGCCTTAAATCGTGTTTTGGGTCCTTGACTTGCTGCGCACGTTGCACATTGTCCGCACTATGTAGTAAACTATACTCGATTAGTAGCTAGATTCAAAATTGGTTGATGTCACTCTTGTAATTAATCACTTCTAAGCTGTTCGGAACTCTATTCTTGATCCGTTTCAAATCGGAGGCTTCTTATAGGAACTCCTTCACGCTGGTCTATTCTGAGGCAGTGCTTGCATTAGGCTGGGCATGGTCACCAGGCATCTGTGTTGATATGCAATTTATCAGAACGGTGTATGATCTGAAAACTGTACTGCTGAAACTTCTCCAGCCATCTTGCTACCTGCCCTTCTGGTAGTTTCATGTTTAGAAGCCATTTTCGCGATACATGGTTTTTTTTTTACGGATATGCGCACTCGCAAGGAAATGTCCTATCACGCTCGAGAAGCGGCAAGTGCGCGGAAATGTCGGTGTCTGTTGGTCTTGAAACGGTTCAGGTTGTAACCTGCAGGGAAAACCGTCGCAGGGAGTTTATTCCACAGCGATGCTGTTCTCCAGAGATATGAATTCTGATATAATTAGGTTCTTGGTGCCTCTAGTTTGACAGTAAATTCATGGTTACCGTCTGTTTGACGGGTTCGCCTGGTACTCTTCAGAGCATTTTCCGTGATAGTACCTGTAGAAGAGAGATAAATCGCCCACAGATCTGCGATGTTCGAGACCATCCAAGTTACGAGTAAGTGCGGGGTCATTGATCAGCTTGATAGCTCGTTTTTGCACGGTGTTCAAAAGCATTAAGGTATGTTTGGGTGCTGCACTCCATATATGTGAGCAGTACTCCATAGTTGGTCGAATCTGGGCTTTGTAGAGTGTCAGCAATTGGCTTGGTGTGTACAGATGTCTTGTACGAAATAGCACCCCCAGCTTTTGGGACGCCCTTTTAGCAATATCTGCCACGTGACTGTGCCAAGACATGTTGGTCTCTGCAGTAACCCCCAAGATGTTCAACTGACTCTGTAATGTGACAGCACTTCCAGATAGCATGATGTTTGGCTCACCGGTGCTGGTCTTTTTTGAAAACAGAGCTGCTTGGGTTTTCTGCGTGTTGAACTGTACAAGGTTTTTGTTACCCCAGTCCTCTATTATCTCCAGGTCGTTATTTATCTGCGATATTTGAGTTAGTCTAAGATGATGGAATTCACGTGCGGAAAGACCTGTGGATGGTATGAGTGAGGAGACTACATTGCCATCGTCTGCAAAGCAATAAAGTGGATTTACTGTTTTATCTATGAGGTCATTTATGTAAATCAGAAAAAGAGTTGGCGAAAGGATTGCTCCCTGTGGCACACCAGTATTTATTTGGTAAGAGTTGGAGTTCTGGCCATCCAGTGCAACATAAATGGATCTGTCCTTTAGGTAACTTTCAAACCAAGTGCAAAGTTTCGGCGATAATCCCATTGCTTTGAGCTTGTTGAGCAGATTTTCATGCCAAACTTTGTCGAATGCTTTAGATATATCTAAGGCAATTGTTCTTGTTTCACCCCGCAACTCAATCGCTTTTTGCCATAAGTGAGTGACGTATGTAAGTAAATCGCCAGTTGACCTATATTTTCGAAATCCGTATTGCTTATCGTTGATAATTTTGTACTTTTCCAAGTACTTGGTTAGGTGATTGTTCACAACTCTTTCCATTACTTTTGATATCACCGGAAGTAGAGCAATTGGTCTATAGTTTAACGGATCTGTCTTTTTTCCTTTTGTTTGGAATGGGTTGTACTGCGGCAGACTTCCATGATGATGGATATACTCCTTGCCTGTAAGACAAATTGAATAATTTTGCGAAAGTTGGGGTGAGTTCGTTGGCGCAATTTTTGAGTACTATTGCGGGAATGCCATCCGGACCCATTGCTTTGTTTGTATCTAGCTGTTTAAGGGATTTTCGTATTTCTCTGTGACAAAAGGGTACCTCTGGCATACTATGGGAAACCCTTTCAATGAACGGTGGAGTTTTTCCGTTTGGCACTGTTAGGTTGGAGTTGGAGGAAAACATTTGGGCCAGCATATTGGCTTTTTCCTCTGATGTTGTGGCTAAGTGATTATTTTTATCTGTAAGTGGTGGTATGGATGACTTGGTGAAGTTAGATCCAACAGCTTTTGCAAGAGACCAAAAGGACCTAGAACTACTTGGACAATTCAGCAACCTGTTTTTTATTCTTTGATTGTATGTTTCTTTAGCGGAGTCAATAGTAATTTTGCAACTATTTCTGGCTTCTACAAATTCAGTGTGGTTTTGAGCGGTTTGTTGTCGTTTCCAAAGGTTTGTTCTAATGGGAAATTCGTGTCCATACAGGTACTTGTGGAAATGGTCAACCTCTTTGAATTTTGCTAACAGTTCCTTTCTTGTAACGCAGTAATTTCTCTCGGGCTTGGTTAGCATTTTGTATTTGAGACAGAACAGCTCCGATGACTGTGTTGCTCGCGTCTGTAGGAAATCTTACATATGACTGGAACATAGAGATGCCTTAAGCCTCCCAAAAGCTACATCACAATATCACAGTCGGTGGTACATCAATCAAAAATAGCTTTTTCTTCAGTACTTACGTTTATGCAACGGCGCTGCTACCTTAGAAAATCTTTCTGCAAATCGTCTGTGTAGTTTGTACAAAGCCCAAGGAAACTTCTGAGTTCATGTTTGGTCCTGAGATTGAGGCCATTCACCAATTGCTTGGATTTTTCTCGTCAGTATGAATTCCTTCGTGTAAAACTGTGTGGATAAGAAAATCATCGTGCTGAAGGCGAAGTGAACATTTCTCGTCATTTAATCGGAGGTTTGCTTCACGGATACGAGTTAATACTTCTTGTAAGTTTCGTAGGTGCTCATCGAGAGGTTTTCCCATCACTAGCACCGCATCCAGGTAGACAGGATAGATTCTTTTCTCGTAAGTCCTTGTAGTACGATTTCCATCAACCTCTCAAATATAGCGGGGGCGTTACATAGTCCAAAAGGCATTATCTTGAATTCATAAGGTCGACTTCTAGTAGAGAATACTGTCTTCTCCTTGTCTTTCGCCCGATGTAAAATAATATGTACCTACCTAATTTCTTGGAATCTCGGACGCATTGATGCATTTTCGTAACAATACGTTTCAATAATTTATCAAAAACTAGTTACTGTTATAGCACCAAGGTACCTAGTAAAAGTTAAAAATAAAACTGAATGCTCAAAAAAAATATAATAATTTTTATCAAAACTACTTATAGGATAGAGGTGATTAAAATATGATCAGGTTTTTATTAATTAGATAGATACATCATTAACTAATTATAAGATTATCAATTCTTGCACTGTTATCGACAAGTGATATAAAAACTCGCCTTTAAATGTCAGTATTTTGTTTCAGACATGGTAAACAAATAAAATGTATCAATATGGCACTTTGAAATGGTTCTTATTGGCGGTCTTTGTCGTTCACTTAATTAAAATTGAAATCGCCGAAGGCCATGGAAGGCTTATGGATCCACCAGCAAGGAACTCTATGTGGAGATTTGGTTTTCCCAATCCTGTGAATTACAATGACAATGAATTATATTGCGGAGGATATACTGGTAAGAAGGTTTTTAATTTTTTCAAGGTTTCATTAGCTTTTAAAATTTTAATTATTCAACTCATAAATCCTTAATTTTTAGTGCAGTGGGAACAAAATGATGGAAAATGTGGAATTTGCGGCGATGCTTTCCATCTGAAAGAACCAAGACCTCACGAAGCTGGTGGTTTATTTGCAAAAGGAATTGTATCACGTCATTATAGGTAAGAGATGCAACAATTTAATAAAATAATATCGGCAACTTTTCAAAGTGTTGGTCAAACAATCGACATAGAAGTGGAACTCACTACCAACCATTACGGAAGATTCGAAATCTATTTGTGCCCAAACAACAATCACAAGCAAGAAGCTTCATATGAATGTTTCGAACGATTTCCCCTTTACCTAACTGGTACCAAAGACGTTTCCTTCCAAATTCCTGAAGATGAAGCTAAAAAAGCTGTGTTTAGGTAAGAAGAACTTCATTCTTCCTCTAACATTGAACTAACTTAATTCATATTTCAGATATCAAGTTCAATTACCACCATACGTAACTTGTACCCAATGTGTTTTGCGATGGATTTACTTTACAGGAAACCAATGGGGAGTTTGCGACAATGGTACCCATGCTGTAGGCTGTGGAAAATCAGAAACTTTTATTAATTGCGCTGATATTGCCATTACTACTAACGTTGCAGGTAAGACATTACTTACTTATATATTTCTGATAATATCCCAGCAAGTTACATTCCCATTCAACAGTTGGTAAATTATCGTTACATTATAGGTTCGATTCCTCCATTGTTTGTTGGTCAAGACAATCCTTACCTACTCTACTACCAGGATCTAAGATTTGCCTCACCTTACAACGTGTTCCCATTAGTTGTAAGAGACCAAGTATGTGTTTCTGATAAACTGTACAGGATTATACCAGGAATGGACGATTGGTGTATGACAAATTGCTTGAAATATCCTCCAAATTGTCCGTCCGAAGTTTGCAAATGCCCGTAAGTGTTGATTTTTGGGTTGAATTTTGTTTAATTATGACGCAATTTTTCTTAGTTCAACTTGCGAAGCTATAGGGAAATACAAAGGAATAAGAGATGCAGACGTTTACTGTATGGATCAATGCTTGATGTATCCGGCTAAACATTGTCGTAGGGATGAATGTTCTTGCCACGAAGAAAACAATTCGCTAGAACAATTTGACTTTTAATTAGTTTAGTTTTCAATTCAAATTTTAATAAAACAATGAACTAAAGGAGAAAGATTTTGGGCAACTAATTATAAATATTTATAGGCAGTATTTTCGCTTTGTTTGTGAATCATTGGCATTTCGTACCTTGTAAAACCAGTTGTCAGGTCGATGATACTTGCCCACTTTTTTCTTCAACGTAGGCCAAGTTATTGAATAAAATTCAATTTTTGCATTAGAATTTGTTTCATTTATTAAATTAATTGTCTGTATTTTGGCTATTTTCCATACAAATACCTACTCATATTGCAGGTCTGTATATTATGCATTAATTATTGTTTTATGGGGAAATGAATAATCAGTTTTGGTTAACAAGGCTTGTACAATTAACACGGCAAAATAGGATCAATATGCAAACTAAATAGTTTCTATTTAGTTTTGGTATCAATTCCGTCATTGATAGATTTCAGGGTATAATTTTTTGAAATGTCTATTTTTATATATATATATATATATCTATATATCGAATACAAAAGTGCCAGTCTATCACAGGATCTTGGGACCAAAGGGTATGGATTCACAAAAAATGCTGTTCATAATGGATTTTTTTCAGCCGGCTGAAAATTCGTGGTGATGTTCCTACATTATTCCGCGTCGAACCCTGCAAATTTCAAGCGTCGAAACTGGGACCAAAAGGGTGTAGAAAAATGGATCATTTATCGGTTTTTTTTTCATGTATTTTTTTAAGTTATTATTATACATACAGGGTGATTGGTGAAGTCTATTTTGCTATTTTACTATTGCTAAATATACGTTAATATTGAAGCTATATGATTTTGGACAAACTAACAAATTAGGTATTTCACATTGAATAAAATGAAAAAAAAAAGTTAAATATCGCGTTATAAGTACCTATGTATGTATAAACCTACTTCGTGTATTCCACTTTGCGGCAGGCTCAAATATGCCAGAATCTCAAGCAACCAAAGTAAATACCTGCATCGCAAGTTTGAGGACAAATACATAATGCTCAAAAACCCCATAACAATATGAAAACCGGAGAATTCTGGCTGGATAAGCAAACAAAACGATATCGAGTTATGCAGGTTCGAAGAGAACAATAATTACCGTCATTTATAAAGGACATAATGATCCAGCCAGAAAAGGATTGTAATGTGGATGATGAATTATTGGCTAAAATTGAATACTCAATTGAGTGTTCAATTATTCCTTTCAATTTAACGGCCTCCGACGAATATTATAGGTACCTATTCACATTGTTATGTTAGAATTTCAAGATGAAGAATTTACCAAAGAAGTCGCGGGTGAAGGCGACGAAAAGCGGCCTAGGCATGGAAATGTTTGCACATTTCTTTAAGCGACATTTGTATAGGTACCTACTTATTTTCAGTGCAAGTAAAAATTGCTAGGAAGGGGTTCGCTATAATATTATAATATACCTACAATAAAACATCCCTTTAGTATTTACATTGACAGGCCTCAGACACAAATGCCAGTTAACCAAATTCAGCACAACGATTTTTATCCAAACAAAAAAAAAGGACCTGCAGCCTAATACAGTGAAAAAAAGCCTTGGATGACCAACGAAATCCTACAATTAATGGAGCAAAGATGCAAAGAGAAAGATGACGCCGTTTAACATAAACAGAAAAATTAAGTGAAAAATTTGGAAAGCACAATAGGTAAGTAGGTTGTTAAAGATATGTGTACCGGAAATTAAAACTTTACAATCCAAACATGATAGTTTCAACGAACACAGAGAAGTCAAAAAACTGGGACATGTAGAAACCAGACAGATGATCTATATAACCAATAACCAACGGAAAACAATAATTGGGAAAGATAAAGTAAAAGATGTATGGAAAACGTACATCGAAAAACAATAATTGTTCGATGGCACTACACGACCTGATCCGCCTGAAATAACTGAATACGGGAGCATGCATCATTGATGAAGTTGGAGTAGGTAGCAATAAAGTCCATGAAAGAAGGAAAATCTCCAGGACCTGACAGCAAAAACGCCGATTTTTTAAACTTATGGACGATGATAATCTTACTTTTTTTTTATTATGTTTTCGTACACATTGTCCACCGATTCTGACAATGATTTTTTGTCAGGTTTTTTTGACGCACTTATGTCTGGACTGACTGCTGCAATTCCAGTTTAGGACGCCCTCTTTTTCTAAGCCCTATTGGTTGCCATTCTAGGACCTGCTTTGGTAATATATCGTCGTTCATCCGCTGTTTATGGCCGTACCACATTGGTTGTCTTTTCGCGATGTCATCCGTTATTATTCCCTCAATTCCCATCCCTCTTTTATAGTCTCATTTTTTATGTGATTTGTCATTGTTCTAGATAATATTGTCATTGATTTTCTTATTGCATCCATTTCAACACTTTCCATTTTTGTTTTTTATTATTCAGCAAGCGACAAGTCACTACCTATTCAATACAGCAGCGTATCGGTACTTTCCACCATTGTTCCGTTCCACATGTTAATCTTTACATTTTTCTTTAATTTCTTTATCCCTCTGCCCCATAAAATACTGTTAAAGACATCCAATAACCCTTTTTCGCTTTTACTATTAATTTTACCAGTTCTTTACAATCTGTCCCTGTCTCATCAACTGTGACACCTAAGTATGCATACTCATTGCCTGGAGAAATTGTTTGTCCACTGTCGAGCTCTAATTCACTTACTTCATTTTCAATACATAAGTACTGTGTCTTGTCCACGTTCACTACTACAAGCTGTGACTACACTTTCTCATCATATACTCCATGTCTTCTGTATCGTTAACTACAAATACTTCATTACTTAGTCGTACAGCAAACTGTCGTGTGTATATGGTACATCGGTAGTTAAGTAGTTTTCCCATGCCGAGTATTTTACGTTACCAGTTTTTTAGAGCTACTGCGATATATATTTTAAAAAGAGTTGGGGAGATACAGCATCCCTGTCTCAAACTTTTCTATTATCGTTTTTACGTACCTGATTGATGTTACTTTTTTCTAACACTTCCCATAATTTTTCTACTGGAACGGTAGCATGAGTGTTTATATTTCTGGCACTCCTTTTCTCATTTACTTGTTTAAGACCAAATACATTATCACTTCAAGATCTTCTTGCACGAAACCCACTTTACTCTTCTTCTTCTAGTTCATGAGAATCAATATCTATTAAATCTCTCAGAATCTTACCGTACAATCTACTTAGAGTGCTGGGCTACTGAAATTGCTCTGCAGTTATTGCAATTCAGCTAGTCATGCTATTTTCAGATCGTCCAGGTACCTACGAGGTTTCCGTTCATGCATTCAGTGGCGGAACTAACATGAAGCAAACGACGCACTCTGCGTCGGGCCCCCAAAGCTGAGGGGCCCCACACAACGGAATTCTAGAGGCATCGATAAAAATGAGTAAAAAAAATAGGCTAAATATTAAAAAAGAATCGAAAATTCAATTTTGAAAGATATCCAGTAGGCCAGGCAACATAGGGTTCGTAGGCGAATTAATTCTCAGAAAACTGGAAGTGGTTTTAATCTTTTCATTTATATCAAAAAATAAATAAAAAATACAAAATTGAATGAATACAACGTCAACTGAATTTGCTGCGTTTGGAAGTAGAAGCTGATTGAAGCAATTAGTCCAATTTAAGGTAATCGTCATCCAGAAGGTCTTCCAGAACGTCCTCTTTGTCAGGTAGCAATATTTCGGCATCATTGAAGTGTTCTTCATCGATTTCATCTGGTGTGTTTATGCAAGATGCTCCTCTGCAGTTATAACATGTTGGGGAACATTTCATTCTCTGCTTCCTGCAACCACAAGCATTTCGACACCCCTTCAAACATTTGACAAATCTTGCGAGGTTTGTTCGGCTGTTGATGTTATTGATAGTTCCCTTGCTTAGTAATTATCTAACCCCATTAAGGTGAGTCCATCAAATGATCATTCTACAAATTAATTTGTAGGAAAGCCCTCATGGTATGCAATCTAGCAGCTACTTCAGTTGGAGGAAAGAGTAGCCAAGTTGAAATTATTCTGACGTGTCGTCAGCTTTCAAGCAGAACTGAATGGGAACAGGGCATACCGAAGCCGAAGATCGAAAAGCAGGACCGAACCGTATACAAACGGGTCGAAGACTGCGGCTGGTATCAGGGCAGGGGTATACTCCGCCAGCTACAGCAATCTGGGTGCCAGGACACAGAGGAATCGAAGGAAATGAAAAAGCTGACGAACTCGCGAAGACAGGATCAGAGACAGTGGCCCAATTCTTGAAAAATGTCGCATACGAAATTTGATCGAATTTGACTGACAGCAATGTAAATTAAATGGGAAGCGTTCGAATTCATATCAAATTTCGTATACAATATTTTTCAAGAATTGCGCACCAGAACTTCAGAGACGGCACCAATTTCTAGAAGAGTAAAACTTTCCTAGAAATGCATGGTTTAGGAGTTATTTCGTAAAAACTGATAAAAGTCAGCATATGTCCAGGTTATTCGGACACCCGGTATAGAGCAAAAGCAGAAAGTTTGAGGAAATTTTAAAAAACACTTTTTACACATGAATGAAAAGATTAAACCATTTCCAGCTTTCCGAGAATTATATCGCTTACACATTCGGCCATGGGTCTATGTTCCCTGGTCTACAGAGATAATGGATGGAACTTGTCAGTGGAGTACAGATTGTACAGGGTGCTGCAATTTGGAGTGTTTCAACAGGAAAAACATACTTGCAAACCAACTAGAAGAAAATTGACTTAGGCGTCATGGGATCGATTTTTGAGAAACGTCAATTGTCAAAAACCGTTTCACGATATCTTCAATGGTACCATTGATACAGGGCGATTTTCGATTTTCCCCTATTATGAAAAATGGCTATAAGTTTTTTATCTGTCAATTTTTTTTATTTCTGTAAAAACATTATGGAGACACTTTTTTTAGCACAATCCAGTGGCGGATTCAGTTTTTTTCTATATCGCTCTGATTTTGAGACATCGACCAAATTCCAATATTTTCAAATGAAACACCCTATATATTAATAGCTCATTGGATAGCTCTGTTTTTGCTGATTTCAATGATATAAAGTTCGATAGGTTTATCTCTAACAGTTTTCGAGAAAAAGAATTATATCTGTTTTTATCGTAAGGACCAATGTGTTAGAAAAGGATTTTATATGTGTAAGGAGAATGAGGAAGAACTCTGTCAAACACATTGTTTCTTATGACCGAAACAGATATAATTTTTTTTTCTCGAAAACTGTCGGAGATAAACCTATCGAACGAAACAGAGCTATCCAATGAGCTATTAATATATAGGGTGCTTCATTTGAAAATATCGGAATTTGGTCGATATCTCGGAATCGGAGCGATATAGAAAAAAACCGAGTCCGTCACTGGATTGTGTTCAAAAAAGTGTCTCCATAATGTTTTTACAGAAACAAAAAAAATTGATAAATAAAAAACTTATAGCCATTTTTCATAATAGGGGAAATCGAAAATCGCCCTGTATCAATGGTACCATTGAAGATATCGTGATACGGTTTTTGACAATCGACGTTTCTCGAAAATCGATAACATCTCATAACATCTAAGTCAATTTTCCTCTATCTGGTCGGGAAGTGTGTTTTTCCTGTTAAAACACTCCAAATTGCAGCACCCTGTACAGTACGGTGGTTTTTAGTTTTGGTGCCTGTGTGTTTACTAGTAGGTGTCAGTTAACCAACCAATTTAGCCGAAAATAAGACAGGGCCCCAAAACTTTTTTTGCGTCGGGCCCCAAATAAGGTCCTAGATCCGCCACTGCATGCATTGCATTGATTGATTATATAAATATGTGAGATTTTCTAGGAGTTTTTCTGATCCGTATTCGAGTGGGTATTCCAGCGTATATTCCTCCAGGTCCGCTAGCTTTTCCAGATTTAAACTTTTCAATACATGGTACTATTTTTTATCATTTCTTTTCCGATGATTACTTCCTGTCCTAAGTCTCTCGTAGTCCTCGGAGAGAATGAAAGAAATTTGGGTCTCGTTTCCTACAGCAGTCGTAGTAGTAGTGTTCTGTCCATTGTTCTGGTGTGTTAATCTGAATGTTTACGTTTTCTTTTGTTGGGTTTTTATATCGTAGAAATGAATTTCTACACTTCAGAACTTTTCCTGTCTCCCACGTGTGTAGGTATTTATATCGTGGCACTTGCGCTCAAATATATTTTTTCATGCGTATTAGATTCCTTAGCTGTCCTCTGGTTTCCCTGTACATTTCTAGGTCTCTTTGGTCTTTCAGTGTTCAAAAGCGTAGGACAGGCTATAGGTATATGGTATATTGGTGTTAATCCAAAGATGCAGAGACATCAACTGTCCCAATGCATGTTTGATAGAGTACGACAAAGAAAATTGATGGAAAACCTAAAAAAAAAAAAAAAAAGATGGTCTTGGATAGAAAAGACATTACAATAATAGCTGACCAGTACTGTACTGGAATCAATCGGCCTCAGTTAAAGTCTGAGACAGAAGTCACAACACGAAAATTTTACGTGGTCTAAGTCAAAGGTGAATTCATTTGTAATAATATTTATCTACGACCTGCACAATGAGTGACTATTATATCACTAATTTTTGCTTATTTGCGTTGGGTAATAAGCCCTATTACTGCACTAGTGCGGTAATGAATCATAACGCGTTCATTATCGCACTAGTGCGGGAAGAGGTAAGAGGAAAATAGTCACTTATTGTGCAGGTCGTAGATAAAATGTTGCGTATCACACGTACGGTAAGGCCCATTACAACACTCGTGTGGTTACCACGACTCGGTCTACGACCTCGTCGTGGCAATTCTTTACTCGTTACTGAATGAAGCTCATACCGTACTAGTAATATAAATAACTATTAATAGGTATATACCTACCTATTTATAATTATTCATATAAGCTTTGGAAAATACTGAATCCGAATTCCTTCTAAACGAGAAAAGAATAGAGGAACTTCAACATATATGGACAGAATACCAGATAGTATAAGCAAAAATCAATCGATCAGACTCCTTCGATGTTGTTGTGTTTTCCGTCTGGTTTTATGGTGCTCAAGCATTGAAAATACAGTGAACAGAATATATCAGAAACATCGAAGCTCTCAGAAAACTGGACAAAGAAAAAGCGATCAGGACTGAGAAAATACGAAAACCACACTACTTGAACGCATAATGAGAAACGAAAGCAAATTTCAATTATTTTATTTATGTGCAAGGAAAAGTCAGGGCCGTAGCTAGAGTCAAAATGATAAGGGCATGACTGACAAATTTGACATAAGGCATACACTACTTGCCCCCTCCCCTTAAATTTTTTATAGGTAAACAAAATGGGGCTTAAGGCGCCGAAGGCAAATTTTTCAATAAATCAAGGTTCAGGTTGTCTAATAATAGGTATAACTTGATGACGCATCTGATCTGGGGTACCTTATGGAGATTTGCATTATGTTGAGGCCCCCAGATGACGTCATTAAGTTATCAGGCAACCTACCTGCCTCGCCTCTCGCAAACAACCTTGCAATAAATAACATCTCTGGCAAATCAACAAAATGGCGCTGATTCGCACGCCGCCTTGGGCCATTCGCACTCTTTCGAAACGAAAAACTTCCTCTGTGCAAACGTCAAACATTAGGCAATTGGTCACTAGCTGACGTCACACACAAAACCTCTCAATGACATTTTTGTCCCCCTATCAAAAATGACGTTATATGATTTTTGACGTAATAGCTAGCGCCCAGGGCCGGCCCTACCATAAGGCGAACGGAGCGGGCGCTCCAGACGCCAGGCCTCGGGGGGCGCGCCGACTGGTTCTTTTGTGATAAAAAAGGAAAGAAAGCAAGCGTCTGGTTATCATGTGATTAGATAGATAGAGGCATATCATATTACATAATAATATGTAATGCTTCCGAATTTTGAATCGGAGAGGATGGTTGATCTTGGGCAACTTAAGCTATCTACCCTTAATGTTTTTGACAGAATTTGCAAATTAAAGCAGAGTCTCGGTGTTGGGCCAGATGGCATACCGTTTGTTTTCCTAGAAGGCTGCAGGTTTGTTCTGTCTCAAATTTTGTGTGATATTTTTAATATGTCATTGTCTACTGGTACATATCCAGAAGCCTGGAAAAAATCCTACGGTATTTCAGTGTTTAAAAATGGAGACAAATCAGACATTGAAAATTATCGAGCAATATCAAAGGTCTCCTTGGTAGCCAAAGTATTTGAAGGTTTTGTTAAATAAAATCACCCCACATTTTAAGAATGTCATTATCAATGGACAACATGGTTTCATGTAGGGAAGATCCACTATAACAATGATCAAAATCCATGCTCTAGCATATATACTTCATTCATAAATATAGGGAATTCATTTGCATTCTATTACTATTTAATAGTCATAAACAGGAGCTGAAATCCAGCAGTAGGTAGACCTTAGAGGTAGATAGGGAGATGGGTGGGTTGTACTAGCCAATGCTCTGCTTTTTTATTTAAAATTGGCCACCCACTTTTTTTACCTAATGACATAGGTAACTACTTATTCCCTTTGTTTTCTTCAGTATAAGGGGTATATGCACGTGGCCGAACACAGTAAATGAGGCAAATAATTTATTGAATTTTAAGACATTTCCTATATTGGTGAATAGAGTATACGATTCACATTTAAAATGGGGGCGCCAGAGTCGGATCTCGCTCCATCCTAAAAGTAACCTCGGGCCGGCACTGCTAGCGCCTGCATGTAAAAATAGACCTTCAAACGCTTTGTGTGACGTCAGCTAGTGCCTAACTTTTCGCGAGGATAATCAAGCATAATGCTCTGGGTTATGTGATGTGTCAATTGTGTCATACTCCCCTAACTCCCTCACCATCAAATTCTGGGCTGCGAGTGACGTCAATATCAGCAGCTTATAGTGATAACGTCACCCGCAGACCTCAATGGAGTGCTTGCGATTCAGGCTTGCCTGTGCTAGCGAGTTCATTTTTTCGTCGATTTTAAATGTAGAAAAGGTGATTTTCGGTCTGTTCTCATAGAAGAAATTGAGTGTTCTTGATCCTCCAGTATCCCAAAATTTGATGGTGGAGAAGTTAGGGGAGTATGACACAATTGATACATCCCATAATCCAGCAGAAGATTATGCTTGGTTATTTACTCGATTTCAGGCCTAATCTACTTCAGGCATTATCTACTTACTCACAAATTTCCTAGAGAAATCCCAATGCATGTTGATTTTTAAGGTAGGGCATCATCATTTAAAAGATAGGGCAATGCCCCCAAATGCCCCCCCCCTGGGTACGGCCCTGGGAAAAATTTAGGGAAAAGGAAGTGTTGGTAGACAAAGCATTTTATGGTTAAAAAATCTCAGAACGGTTTCGTATGGACACTACTGAGCTATTTGGGGCAGTAGTGAATAAGTCAGAATAGCAATATAGCATTTGTATGATAGGATAGATAACATCCGAACGAAATGGATAGAGGAAATTTTAGAAAAAAGAAGAAACATTTTTATTCCACTCTAGGTTTAACTACAATCAAGCTCGACTAGTCACACCTCACTGTTTTACTATCGACTCGAGTTCCAATAGTTATCCGATGAATAACTGATTTGCCGACTTCGATTCCGTTTTATGGCGCGTCGTTGCTTCTAGAATTGTCTAGATAATCGATAACTTGGTTTCGCTAGTGAGTGTTGCAAGATTCTGCACAATTTCCACAACTTAAGAGATTCATAACAATTATTATATTTATTTGGAAGTGTTATCCAACGCGGAATCATTTGAAGACACAATTTTGGACTTTTATCTTCAGTAATTCTCTTTATAGACAAAGGGCATCAATAATTGATAATGAGATTATTCGAATTTGTCGCACTGCGAGATCCACTCCCCTCTGTTGGAGCACTTTGGTTCACTTTCCGAAAGCGCTTCAAACAGCTGTTTACAGAACGTCTAGCACACTGACAGTTAGAAAATCGATAAAAATAAACAGAGTTCCCTAGATGATGACCAATTTTTAAAGAGAGTGTTTTGGAGTGGTTGTAAATAAATTATTTAGGCGAGGCTAATCATTTTCGGGGCGTATTTTCCTCAAGTATTAATGCCTCGAATAAAGTATACCTCGACAATAGACAGAATGGAGGATATAAGCGATTTATCTGGGGAAGTTACAGTGGTTGATGTCTATGATATCGCTTCGGATATTGGAAAGGAATGTGAGAAAATCATCGACAGGTAATTCTACTTATTATTTTGTTCAGCGCTCACTTACAACAGGGTTTTTGATGTACCCAAAACATTCCTAGAGAGCTATCGGGGCAAACTAACCCAAACTAACCCAGGTCCTCTTAGTGGGATAATAAAGAAGTATTTCAATCTGACAGCAGCAGAATTGGATCAAATCCACTAGTAGTAATAGTAAACAATCTGAACATACTTTATTGTCAAAGAGTAAAGCTATTCAAATGACAATTCCGAGTGATATTTTTCTATCGAAAGTATCGGTTGTTCTACTAAAGCTATGTCAATTTTAAAATTGCTAAGGATCAGATCGAGGTTAACATTAGGAACATCATTAAGCTGGAATAAGTTAAGATAGGCAAAAAAATCTGACAGGACTTGACTTTGTGAACTAACATTACCAACTGCTTGGGTACCTCGACCCTCATTTAGTCACATTACATCTGGTATAATAAGGTCCCTTAATAAAATAACACTTTGAAAGTTCTGATCATCAATAACATTTTCCACAGTGCTACAATAGAGCTCCATGGTGGATTGTGCAGGTATAGATCAACAGTACTAATCAGAGTGTTCGAAAAACCCTTGGACAGTGTTGAAAATACACATTCTATGTCTGGAGGATTTGTAATTTGTTTAACGACATACCTGGTTTCACTGCATTCATTACGCCACCTCCTCTGGAACACTCAACGAGTAGTTCTTTGGTTTCTATCACATTGAAATATGGAGTAGTCTTTTATACCGAGTTTACTATCCAAAATCTCCTCTTTCAGTCATGTCTCTGTAAACACAATAATATCATAGTCAAGAACATCAACAGAACTTTCCAAAGCTTTCAGCTTTGTTCTTATGCCTCTAACGTTCTGAAAGTATACTTGCTGGTCCACTGAATTTTCAATAGATTTTGATCTTGGTTGGCAGTTAGTTCCTTGGAAAATTTCTACCTTGCTGATTTTGCCATAGTGTCCTGGGTTTCTACTTGATGAATTATGTTGTCATTTTAATACCTTTCATTTCGCCTGGGCTCTTGTTGAGTTCCCGATCTCTATTTCCCTGGGGTCTCTGGTGTACAGGTATATGTGCATTTGTGTTCAGGTGTTCAGCTCATTACGGAAATTATATCTTCTATCATTTCTAAAAAATGTTGTCTCTAACTGTCACATAAGGGGGCCAAAAATTCACATGGTTCAGCCGATTCTCATGTAAGGAAACGACACCAACCTTGAAGGTATTGAAAAGGTCTCCGCTGCCCAATTGAGTTACACTTATATCTTTTTCATATATGGCAGTTATGTTTTCCTGGATATAATTTAATACTGCTTGGCAATTATCGCTGGTTACTACTCTACTAACATGCAACCACTTTTTCGATACTACACCTGCAAAACTATGATCTTATATCTGTTTTTGTGTTTGGCTCTCATCCTTAGAGCATAGACAGCTCTCTGTTATATATCGTTGATATTATGGGTAACAAACTTCTTGGCCCCAGATCCTGTAAAGATGTAGGTCTGGACATTTCAAGAATAGGACACACCAGATAATGCAAAATGTCGAAGTTCCTAATAGTGGATCCAATTACTAGGAGTTTTTTCTTGCCTGTATTTGACCATTTCTCTATCCCTCTGTTTATAGATTTCAAACTATCGGTCAGCCAATGCACTGGAGGTTTACTCACTTTAATAGTTTTTATTAAAGCATGCTTATCAACTTGGAAATTATATCACTTCCCAAGAAACGAATTTTTTTATTGATGTTTGTTATATAAAATATATCGTTCTAGTTTATATTATTTAGATCAATTTAAAAGTTGTGAATGTTAGGTATAGTTACTAACGTTATAGATAGTCATTAACGTTATAAAGCCTATAAATAGCAAATAAGTGCTGGGCCAGTTTTGATCCCGTTATAAAAGATTAACAGTACAGTATAACGAAAAGATTTTTATAGTCCTGTACCATAATAAATTTTAGTTTAGTTTTATTTGCTTTTATATTAAGAATGCAAAATGGGACCTTGTTGTGATCACTATTATCAGAGTGGACTGTACCATTTCGAAGGACCATTGCCGTACTGTTCACAAAAATTGGAACAAGACATAATGTTACCAAAGTGCCAGTAATTTTGGTGGCTTCATTTAGGAGCTGACGAAAACCAAAACTATGCAAGGCACTAAATAATAAATTAAGTTTGAGCATATCAATCTCGATATCAATATTCAAATCACCTGTTATAATTGAGTACCTAATCATAGTTTATGTCATAATTATGTGCACTAATTTTCCGTATTCCTAGGTATTCTTATGTATTCTCATGTAGTAGACTCGCGCTAGTGTGAACACAAACTAAAAATGCAAAATACTGTCAGGAATGGTCTCTAATAAACTTGAAATTCAAGAAAAATTAATACAATAGGTACTTGCAAACCTCGTTGCAAACATATCCATTAAGTAAATTTTCCCAGTTTATCGATTAAAGTGAGATGTTATTTTTGTCCGAATGGTTCTAGCTCTAGCTAACCACTGGATGGCTACCTACTTTGTTTTGAATATTTCTTAGGCTTTCGGAGTCATTAACGCCAATATATGCTCTTGCCTTGCTGGCTTCTAGAATTTTAGACTTCTCATAACGTCTGTTCTCACAAAAGTCCCTGACAGTTTGCAAACTTTCAGTAACAATCGCTCAGTTAAGTTACTTGATTTATCTTGTAACGACGGCATTGAAACATGCATGAGCGATGTATTCTGACACTTTGCAAACTGTCAGAGACTCTTGTGAGAACAGACCTATAGAGAGTTAAAAAAAGTGCGTTTTCGCCATTTTCACAAAACTGATTAACCACAATGAACTAAAAACCTATACGACTTTTGAACGTGTTCTTGACGCACTGCCACTTGTGTATTCCACATTAGAGTGACAGATAATGCAGTAACTCAATATATCTGTGCATTCCTTGTTTCCAAACATTCGGGGAACCCCAGAATTGAACGGAAAAACCGATGAAAACAACAAGTAGGCAGAAAACCGTTAAATTCGTGGTCAAAATACATTGTTCATACTACCGAGAATCTGAAAAGTTCACATTACTTGACATTACAGAATATACAGGGTGCTAAAAATTGGAGTGCATGCATGGGGATATCGGAAACTGTAAAAGATAGGAGGTTGGTTAAATTATGGCAAAGTTACGTAATTTGATGCTTAACAAAACGCCGTGTCGTAATTTGAGAAATTCCAAATACTTCCGGAGATAACCGGAAAAAACCATAGTTTGCCAAAATCGTTTTTATTTTTTCCTTGGTTTGTTTGAAGAAATATGTCAAAGTAAATGTTACTTCATTGTAGCCACATTTTCTGCGTTACAAGATGATATCATCAAATTTGAAATCCGACGTTTCGTCTTTGGGCCACCATCATCAACTTTATTTTTTCAAATACGATCCTGGATTTTTTATTTCAGATTTTTAGAGCTTCCGATGTCCTAAAACCTATGACGTATCGCATTTATTCGAAAAATTATTTTTATTACTTTTTAGCAATTTCCTACCAAAATTCTCTTCTTTGTCTCTATTTAACACACTAGGTTCTTATGGCAAATGCCAATAAAATAAATTTTTCGAATAAGTGTAATATCTCATTGGTTTTGGGACATCAGAAACTCTTAAAATCTGAAATAAAAAATCCAGGCCCGTATTTAGAAAAACGAAGTTGATGATGGCCGCCCAAAGACGAAACGTCGAATCTGAAATTTGGTAGTAACATCTTGTAAAGGAAAAAAAGTGACAATGATGAAGTGACATTTATTTTGAAATTACTCTTCAAATAGACTCAGGGAAAAATAAAAATGATTTTGCAAAATTTCGGTTTTTCCCGAATATCTTCGGAAGTAATCGGAATTTTTCAAATTTCAAAACGGAATTTTATTTGTCATAAAATTGCACAACTTTGCCATAATTTAACCAACCTCGTATCTCTTACGGTTTCCGATATCCCCATGCATGCACTCCAATTTGTAGCACCCTGTATAATGTATTCATTCCGGATGTTCATACTACTAGGAGGTTCACAGAAGCGTGTGTTCACACTAGCGCGAGTCTACTGTATTTTCATGTACTCCGGTGTATTCCCTTGTAGACATAATGTATTGATATGTATTTCTTTGACATTCTTGTATTCTGTTTAATGCACTGGAGGAAGGATATCAGGTAGACGTTATATATAGCGACTACCAAGGCGTTTGACAGAGCTGATCATAAAATTCTGGAAAAAAAACTTGAAAGTTCAAAATTTGGTGGTTAATTGATCACCTTTCAGAAAGAAAACAGAAAGTAAGTCTCATTAGAGATTGACACTTCTAGTGTTTTTCAATATTTTCTAAATCGATGGTAAAATTGTGTTACTTGAACTGTTAAAGAACTTAAAACTTGTCCTAAATGATCAATTGTTTTTGAGAGCTTGAAATAATTAATCCTTTCTTTGTCTCATTTTCCTGAAACTTATCTTTATTCTCTATGCATGTGTTCATTCAAGGTACGGCGCAGATGCTGTTACCTCTCTGATGCCAAAAGTCATTAATGCCCTTGAACTTTTGGAAAATCTAGCAACCAGAAACGAAAGAGAAAACACTCTACTCAACGAGCTACAACTGAAAGTTTCTCAATTAGAAAATGATAAACTTGAAAAGGCAGAATACCGACAGAAATTTGAAAAGGTTAGCTGTTTCTGTGTTTGTTTTGTTGAGCGTTACGAACAAACTATGTTGTAGGAATTGGAAGCTATAGAAGAACAATGGCGCTCGGAAACCAAAGAATTAGTCTCGATGGTGTCGAAGCTACAAGAAGAAAATCGGAAATTGGCTAAAACGCAACAAAATCCAGATAATCAATTACCATCGACTCTATCGGACAATTTAAATGATGCTGAAATGTTACAAAGATTAAAAGACAATTTGGAAAAGCAAAGGGATGAAATCAGGGAGAAAGAAAAATTGTTACAAGAAAAATGTTTGGATGGCGAAAATGTGAGTTAATGCTTTCATGGTTGTTGCTTATGCATTGACAAAAAAAAATCATTTTATTTAGTTGTCTTTTGTTTACTTAGTTTCTATTCTGAGATATTTCATGTAATTTATTTCTAGCTCAAATCTCAAATAGACCGTCTAACAAGCACAAGCAAAGAGTTGCGAAGAAAGCACAAATCCATGCAAAACCAAGTTAGAACCTTATGTGACGAAAGAGCCGACTTTTTAGTTCAATTGCAAGACCAGCAAAGGGATATCAATACACTTAGACAAGGATTGGGGTTGGCGCAAAAGGAAAACGAAGATTTAGCCAAGTGTGACTTACCTTTTCCAGCTAATAAAGCTATTTATGATTTGGATGACCCCAATAGGCCTCGATTTACCACTCAAGAGCTGAAAGATATTTTACACGAGAGAAACGAATTGAAAGCTAGAGTTAGTGATTTGGAGGACGAGTTGGAGACTTATAGGCCTAAAAAGAAGCCAGAGACGTGAGTCTTAGAATTTAATTTATTAATTTGTTTTGTGTTTTTATTTATTTTATTTTATTTTTATTTATTTTATAGATTTAAACTTTTTAATTTTGCAACAAATGCATGTGATAGTAGTATCCTTAGCACGTCATCTTTTGAAGATTCTAGCTTTGGTAAAGTTCCATCACCAGTAGAGGAAGCACAACTATATTAGTGAGTGTTTATTTGTAAAATTGAATCAAAATATGCTTCTTGGAACCGACATGTGTATTGATTTTTAAATAAATTATGAAACTGAGAAGGTGCTTTCAGATCATTATTTTTTTATAATTTCCAAACTTGAAGCGTATTTTTACTGCCTTTTTTTAGTAGTTTTTTTTTAATTTTCTCGATCATTTAAATTTTTTGTTAAATTTTTTTTTTGTCAATATCCAGTCCTTTGGATGAAGATGCTCCAGTTCAAGGTCCACTTCCATATGAACCGGATGACGCTCCCTGGAAAAAATCTTCTTCTGAATCGGGCATTAGAAAATTGTAAGTACATATTAATTATTTTGCCACAACTTGCAAATATGTTTTGTAGTTTTCGGAAAATATTTACCGAAAACAGCGGTGGCCCTAGTTTTCCTAAGCGTAGTCTATCCACCCTCTCGAAGATGGCTTTGTCAGCGACTAGCGAACCAGTGCAATGCTAAAGTACTTGGTCTGCTTTATCAACTGATGTTGTCTTACGATTTTACCCAGATGACAGGGCAATTATACAGCTTAATTTGATTTTTAGCTAGAAGAACTGCCAATTGGCTAAAAGAAAATTGATTTGCTTTCTTTGGAAAATTCAACAACGATTTTCTTTTTCAAATTTACGAAGATTGAAATATGATATATATTATCTAACAAGTTAGTGTAGGTTGACTTATTTTAAATTTGAAAATATTCACTTGAGAAGAATAGATATCCCATCAGGAGAACCACCTGTGTGAAATTTGTAGCTAATGCTTTCAAGTGAATTTTTGCATAAATTAGAAATGAGCCAATAATGATATTGAACGTATCATATACTTAGAACAGTGTTTTGTGATAATACAAAAAGTTAACATAGAAGAAAATAAATAATCCATTAAATGGTATTATGAAGCATTTTATTGTTAGACAAAATTGTAACAGATATTTACTAACAACGTTGTTTTAGAAAAATGTTTGTGTTGTGTATATTTATCTGATTCAACTTATCATTTTCAAGTAGTAAACCGAGAAACTGTATCAACAAATAAAGACTTATTTTTTAAATTATGTTCAGAGACAAGAGAGACTAAGAATGACATTTCTTGGGGCAGAATTTAGTGTGACTTCCTGTTCTCATAGCTTATGGGGGGTCGAAAATTGGAATATTTTTGACCATGGAAATTGGTCAAGAACTTGTTGAAGATTCGGTGCCTCTAAGTGGGCTTCAAGGCATAAACCAGTCAATAAAACATTAGTTTTCTTCAATAGATGATTTCTAGATTTAGTTTAAAAAAAAAGAAGAGAAGCAGGGGATGAACAACCTTCAAATAAATACTACTAGTTTGAAAGTAGAAATGTTGTAAAAACTGAACTTTATTTGTTGATAAGAAAATACTGGCATTTAGAGATAAAATAATGATTGTGATAGCTAGTAACTTGTTAGTGGCACGCAATTATTAGCAAAAAAAATCTGAGTTTAGCTCTAAGTTTAGTTTAAATGATCACCATCTTTTATTCACATCAGGAAAATTATAGCAGTATACTTATATTAGAGAGACTTTTAGGGCTTGAGCGTGAAAAGACTGAAATGGATTATTTGACTTCCAATACTTATGGTTTATGCTTTAATATTGTTTAAAAACTCTCTAATACTTCTAGAACGTGCTTGGATGATTTATCACTCACAGGTGAGCATTTTGATTCTTCACAATTGCTGCTGAACAACCCTACAACTACTGAAACCAAAGAAATTTTGCAGGTATTTGGGAAATATTCTTCTCTTTCTGTTGAAAGAACAGAAATAGGGCAACACAACCATATAATTCAAGAGCTTTTACCACTGGGTTTTGGCAAATCCTATCCTAAAAGTCCCTGAATGGGACTAATCAATTTTCAATCATAAATTATCTTACAAGAAGTCACAATTGCCTGGCAATTCCAAAACAGTTCCTCTACTGATGGTTTTTCCGGCATATAAAATATACTTCCAAGACAAAAAGACTGAAAACGGAACAAGCCCTTTTTACTCCATTGGAAAATTTCTTGAATTTTGATTGGAAGGTTTTAAATTTAAGTCACATTGTATTTATGCAAATTCAACAGCATCAAATGTAGTAGGTACTTATAAACCCCGCTTAGGAAAAAAAAATGCTCACCAGTAAACATATTTAACCATTACATAAAAAAAAAAACATAGACAATCTAAGTACAGCCTTGTAAACTGTAAAACTACTCTCATTAATTTTTTCAGTTCTTCCATTCCATAAGTGACTCTAGTCAATTATAGTTGCCGTTGGGTTAAATCTTTTTCAGACTCTTGCAGTCCTCTCATTCTAGAAAAAAAAAACTCAAAATGCTGTTGTCTATTTTAAACTTTTTATAGTGTTTTTATAATTAAAATAGACTATTTTCTGCAATAAGGTATCCTTACGTATTTGCTCCCTAATCAAAGAACAGTTTAAACAAAGTAAAATGATTATGAAAATTTTGAATATACTTAATCCTCATCAGTTTGTAAACGTATCAAAACAGAAATGCGATTAATTTGTCATATTTTGAAAAGAGTGACCGGAGTGACCATGAGTGACTTTTCCTTGCGTCCTTTTTGTTTATCATTATTCTTCATTCTACTGTAAATCCTTATCCTATAAGGTAGGAATTCAATGCTTATTTTATGTTTCTCATTGTAATTTGCCACCTGTAAAGAGCTTCGAAAACCCAAAAGCATCTTGCAGAATTTATGAACAAAATGGAAAAATCTGGGTCATTAGATATATACCTATGTTAAATCTAATTCGAATAATTGAATTATTTGATGATCTGACAAATATCCTTCTAGATTTAAAGCTATATTATCAAATACTCCCTTTTAAAAAACGTATCACAAGTAGTACCGGATAAGGATCATGACAAACACAATTCCACTTTTTTGTCGCATTTGCCTACACTTTTAATTAATTATCCTTCACGCATTTACAAAAAAAATGAATTCAATTTGGCCTGATCCTTTGCAAAAGGGAACAATTTTTTAAATATAGAGGCTTTATTATATTGTTACCCTTCATTATTATTATTAGTAATCTCGATTTTGATATTTTGTATTTATTGTATTATATTTTTTACTTTTTATTGTATAAATTAGCACATCTATCATTTGGTCTGGACAAGTTTAGGAAAACTGTGTGCCAAAAATAAAAACGTAGATACTTATACACTGAACAATTTTGTTTTATTTTCATTCTTCAATATTCTTATTGTTTTACTGTCAATCTTGTAAAGATGAATTTAGAAATATGTGTTAAGAAAAGCCTAAAATGAAGTAATAGAGCTTTTGGAAGGTGAACATGAAGATTCTGTAGCAAAACTGAAAAAGCAGATTACTGAATTAAACAAAGTTATTATTGCGAAAGATGATATACTTCAACGAGAGAGAAGGAAAACTATAGACTTTCAGGACGATGTTTTTTCTGCAGAAAATTCACTGGGAGTAAAAATCAAGGGACAAGAAAAAATTATTGGAACTTTGGAAAGGGAAATTGGTCGCACAAAGAACGATATTACTATGCATCAAAAGAAATATGAAGAATTTCTAGTAAAAAATAAAAGTTTGGATACAAAAATCGAAAAGATTAATAAGCTATGTAGTAAATCTGACACCAAACGTATTGATGAACTAATATAGAGGAACGAGAATTTGCACTATTTGCAGCAGATAATATTGGAGGAACATAAAAAACGTGATAAACTGGTTAAAAGAGCTAGATGATTTGAAGTCAATGAGAAATCAAATGCTTACAACAATTAGTACACTTGAAAATGATAATGATGTATATGCCAGTGAGGATAAAAAGATCAATAAATAATTATTTCAGTTTAAACAGCGTAAAGTTTCGAGAAAGGATGATCAAAAAAGTCAATCAGATGGTGATATTGCTGACATAACTGCTATGAATTCCCTTGTTAATTTAAAAAATGTTAAAAATTCTAAGAATAAAATAGTTATTTTAACTGATGACTTTGGAAAAATGTTATATGATGCTATAAACAAATCAATGAAATTCAGCTGGTAACAAAACCTTATATTACAATAAGAGTTATACATAATTCAGACTGTTATGTGAAGGATTTGACTGATAAGCGCTATGTTGTTTTAATAGCAGGACTTAACGACACTGATATCCGAAAAGATGACATAATACTGCTATCAAACAAGTGTTTTGGAACGAATTTAATAGTCTGCAACCTCCCTTAAAAAAATTACTATGGCAAGAAATGTTTGTATGTTAGAAATAAAAATTAAAAACTTAGGGAAGTTGCCCAAAAACTACAAATTTTCTCTATTAACGTAGGTTTTTTGGATTTAGCGAGTAATTTTTGTCATGGAGATTTTTGTATATTTATTTAAATAAATACGGATTGTTTAAGATTGGAAAATCGATAAAACAGTGTGTTCAAAACTTTATTGTACAAAGCATAACAAATCTTAAATATGTCCCAATAGATGATAATATCTTCAGTATTAATGACGACTCTTTTTCAAAGGTTAATAATTTTTCAGAGGTAAATTTTTTAGAGCAACCTCTTCCACAAACTGCTCAAGCGCAGCACAAAACAGAAAAAACAATAAAGCCGCTGTCTCCGTATTTTCAATTAATATACAATCGCTAAGGAACAAACTTGATGACTTATATCTTATATCTGCTGTTAGAAGATAACAAGTTTCCAGCTATAACTGAGCATTGGTTAGCAGATAATGAACCATTTTGTATTGAAAATTATACTCTGGTGTCTATTGTAGAAATAGTGTAAAACTCATGGTGGAACTGCTAGTCTTGTCAATAAGACATTTTCACAATCTTTCGATTTTACCCCCATAACAAAGTTTAATACCCTTTCCTTTTAATTGAAAATGTTTTTGAATTTTCCTTGTTATACCTATAACAAAAAGAATAATTTATATATTTTGTGTATATACAGAACCCCCATCATTCAAACTTAAAGCAATACTTTGAAAATCTTGAAATTCTTTTATCAAAACTGCCACCCAAGGCAGGTTTGATACTAGGGGGAGACCTAAATATAAATTTTGATGATCAGAGACAAAGCAAATTCTGTTTAACTTGTTTTCATCATTTAACCTAGAGATGTACCTATGTTAATGAACCTACTAAAATAACTGCTCATTCTCAAACCAAAATCGATTACCTATGTTCAAATTTTGACTTGAATCAAATGTTTGTTAGCTGTATTGTAATTCCTGTAGAGCTTTCGGATCACGAGACAGTTTTAGCAAAATTTCAACTTGCGATAAATAAACCACCAAAATATAAAGTTGGCAGACTACGCAGCAGTAACAATTATAACAAATTTAAAGATATGCAAGGAATTAAATTGGTCAGCAGTTTTGAATTGTCAATCACAACTAAACGGATACCAAAAGTTAGTAACTGATGCATTTTTAAAATCGTTTCCATTGATTGATTGATAAATTCTGGGCAATAAAACGCATATTGTAATGATTTATTTAAATTTTTATTAACTATATTACAAAGACAAACGCAATCAGATATAGATTTTAATTTATACTTTTTTTAACTGACATTAATGCATAATAATTATAATAGAAGGAGCCTATATACATACACATTGTTTCAAATAATAGAGTAAGTTTTTTTTATAATCAAATGCCTATTAGTTTTCAAAATCTTACTCTAATTAGTTCAATTTGCTTCTAAAAACGCATAATAAAACAACAAAAAATCATTAGAAATACGGGGCAATGTGAGAAACTGTGTTACTTGAAATGGAGAAGACAAAGCCAATTTCTTATTCGTCGAAATTTTGTGAGAGCAAAAAGTTGGCTGCTAAATTTTCGTTCTTCTCGCACGCAAAGTAGGCCTATGATGGATAATAAAGAAAATAAATACATTAATTATCGAAAAAGTATAATAAATCTAAAATTACCTGTACAACTAAATGCTCGGGGAATCCTAATGCCTTCAACCTGTCAATAGCGTCCTTGTCTTGTTGGTTCACCTTTTTGAAAAAAGATAAATCAGAATATTGCGACACATTAAATAGTTATAATTTAAATGTTCTACTTTTTGCCCACTAGAGTTTTTCACAAGAAAATTCAGCTTTCTGTGAATATTATAAGTAGTTGAGAACATCAGACCAAACCATTTTCACATTCATGAAACAAAATGGACGACAATAACGCCACTTAAACAATGTCCTTGCTTGTTTCAAACTGTTAGTCTAACAGTTAAAAACACAAGTAACTAAAAACTGTATATATAATATAAATTGTGTTGGAACAAACCTGAATTGGAATTCCCACTGGATTGCCCGGAGCAGGTTGAGCTCCCCCTGTTACAGGTGAAGCACCGGTACTTGGAGGATTTGCAGCAGGAGTAGCCCCAGGCGCCGGTTCATTTATCATCCTAACAAACGATTCTTGGTTTTGCGAAATTAACTGCAACAATGCAGGATTAGTTTGGCCGATTTGTTGCAACACCGCATTGAGTAGCTGAGGATTCTGCTGGATTACTTGTCGCATCTGTTGGAATTGGGGCTGAGTCCTTAGGAAGGCTAATGGGTCTTCCGCGTCAGATTGGCTCTGGTCTACGCCAGACATGTCGGTAGATTCACTTACCTAAAACACCAAAATATTATGTAGAGGAAATCACTAGAAATAGCATAGTATGGCATATTGAGTGGTAGCAAGTTTGAAAAAGCTAAGTATTACTAAACAATTACATTTCATTTGATAATAATGAAAATACCTATATTTTTTTTCTCTATATGTTTGCTAGCCAAGTGATATTCAATAAAATTCTTCTTACCTCCGACTCATATATCTGTGGTATTCCAGTGATCAAATACTCCACAGCCCTATCCGGATTATTGAAACTAGCCCTAAGCGCTGATTCGACTTGATCTCTGGCATAACCCATATCCATAATATTCTTAACCATATTTTCATATTCTTCGCCCATTAACAGGGTGGATTCTGCGGCACTGCTTATGGATACATCAGATTGTGTGTCGGTGACTGTTGGCTGAGCAGCTGGAGTTGGAACTGCGGCAATTGGAGTTGGAGTAGAAGGAGTTGTAGGGGATGGGGTTTTAGTTGCTGCTGCTGGAGTTGGGGCTGGAGCAGGTGTGCTTGAAAAAAAATATCCATGTTATTAGCAATATTATGTGAGGAGGATTGAAATAATTAAAGGCAAAAATGTAAAAGCTCTCATTTCAAAATGTCTTTATGACAATGGTTTCATTTTACGACAAAAAAGCCCAACATTAATAGTATTTTCAACTTAGAAATGTGTTTGTTTGAAAAGTAAATCAAAAACTCTGTACCTATAATGTTTTATCCTTGACCTCTGAAGTATTTTAAGCGTAAACAATCTAATGGAAATTGATTTTTCAAGTGAATTGATAACCTACCTTGTTTTGCTGTTGCCCGAATCTCCAGACTCGGTTTTTTCCGCAACTTTTGGTTTAGTGACCATAACAACAACAAATTTCTTTTCATCAATATTGTATTCTGATAACGCAGTTTCATCTGTGAGGATTTTGCCTGAAAAACCATAAGGGAGAAAAATGAGTGACTATATTTTATCAATGTAATGCAAATTAAAGACTTGTAAATGTCTCTCTATGGAGCACTTGGAAGGGTTTTTGATTTTCTTTAATCATACATTTGTAACAAAGAAGTCAATCCTATAATGGCAGTCAGTCTACTGTTCTCTCAGTAGATACTGGGGTACCTCAAAGATCCATATTCGGAGCCCCTGTTATTTTTAATTTAATGTAATGTCTTAGAAATGTCAAAGTTCTTGCGATTTGCAGATGAAAAAACATTTAATAGTTATTAACATCCAAACTTTGAGCAGGTCAGCCTGATTATTGCAAACCTTCAAGCATATTGAGAAAAATAATGGAATATGCCACAATAATTGATACGGGTCGTAATGCATACAATGAATTTATTTCAAAGCATCATGACATAGGTATGGATTGATTACATGAGGAAAGAGTGCAGATTGCCTTACAGTATTCAAGCAACAAAAAATAGCTATACAGATCATGAACAAAGCTAGGTTTCTTGGAGACCTAAAGAACATGTCCAAAATTCCCTTGAAAACTACAAAATAGTCTAAATTTGTATCTTTATTTTTCCCAAAAGTTCTTCCATTTACCTTTTCTCTTGAATAATCTTGGAATGTCGAAAATGAGTATATACCTTATATTGCATTTTAACACTGTCAACGATTTTTTCTTCTTTTCATTCAAACCCCTTCCAAAGAAGACTTGAAGTACGCGTTTAGTGGACAGACAACCTAAATTGAAGCATAATAATGGTTAACCTCTGCATATGTAGGTATACTTTCTCTGATGATGCGTAAATTGTTATTTTAGCAAAAAATAATGATATTAATTGATTGACTGATTGAAACCGTAGTCAGTCAGGATACGAACAAATACTCAATATACCTCTAAGATCGCAACCACAGACTAAGCTGAATTTACCTTATCATTTCTATCTTTGTGAGACCATGTGACACTCTGTATAGTGAGTTCCTATAAAAATTATAGAAACAATACAATTTTCTCACATGGATTTGCAGTTACTTGTTTGTCCAACCGTATCATGAAAGTGAAAATAAATAATGTTGAGTCATCTGACATGATTGTAACATCGGGAGTTCCACCTTGTCCTATTCTTTTCAATTGTTAAATCAATCATATTGATGACATTATAACTAGAAGTGAATTCTTGGTGTTCGCAGATTACTTGAAAATATACAGGGTTGTAGAAGACAGGAGAGACAGGAGGACTTGCAGAATTCTGCCAGATTTTGCGAATCAATGGGCTGCACATTATGAGATATACAAGAGAGAGATTGAGAGAGCACAGAGGAAATTCCTCCGCCTTGTTGCTTTCCATCAGGGTGTTCAGCGGGAAGATGTAATGTATAGTAATATAAAATCTTCCATCAATATACTATCTCCGAATCAAAAACACATATATCTGGATCTCACCCTGTTTTATTATTAAAATTATAAATTTGCTAACTGATACCCCTGATTTGCTTCAGACGATAGGTCTCTCTATTTTAAAAAGAGTTCTTAGAGCTAACAGTTTGTTCCAGATAACATTTCACAAAACAAATTATTTATTTATTTACAGCAAGGGCAGTTCACAATAGAAATAAAAATATAATTTTAAAACATTCCTAAACCTAAGCACATAAACAACATCCTGATGAATTTACCAAAGATGTCAATACTCGTGCTCCTTGAGTCACCAAACCTAAGGATCCTTGAGATAGACTCATTCATATCATAATTAGTATTATGGAATGGTACATAAAACAGGTCAGAACCTCTCACCCTCCCTTCTCCTGCTCTAAGGGAAACGAGAACCAAAAGATCTGGGTAATTAACCCTCTCAAAAATTTGTAAAGGTAAGAAAGATCCGCCTGAAGTCTCCTGCTTTACAAGGTAGGAACACTCACCAACAAATTTACTATTATATGAACAAGTAATTTCTAAATCGCTTGGGAATGGATTTGCAGTTGACTCCATTTATACAGATTTTGAAAAGGCTTTTGACAGAGTCGATTTTGGTATTTTGTTGCAGAAGCTTTCTGATTATGGAGTGAACAATATATTGTTGAAATGGCTTGAATCATATTTGAAAGGTCATAAGCAAAGGGCAAAAATTGGAACATCTTTATCTGATGATTATAATGTAACATCCGGAGTTCCATAAGGGGGTCATCTTGCCCCATTACTTTTTAACATTTTCATAAATGATAGTATTGAGTGTTTCCATCATAATGATGTTTTATTGTACGCAGATGATTTAAAGTTATTTGAGGTGATTGACTCACCAGATGCATCAGTACTCCTGCAGGAGTTTTGAGAAATGGTGTGAGAATAATATGCACCTCAACATAGGTAAATGTGAATGTCTCGGTAAATGCATACAATTCAGCAGAAAATCAAGTCCAAAACTTAATTCCTATTATATACAAAATATTCTGCTTGATGGTGTAACTACAATTGAGGATCTAGGAATTGTGTTCGACCCGAGGTTCGACCACAAGCCAACTTTTGTGGATCATACTAATTATATTTGTAATGAGGCTCTGAAAATGTAAAGCTTTGTAAAAAGACATACCAAAGATTTCAAAAATGTATTTGTTCTCAAAACTTTGTATGTGTGATCAGTTAGATCAGGGGTCCTATTCTCGAATATTTTCGCATACGAAATTTGATACGATTTCGAATGCTCCCCATTTAATTTACATTGCTGTCAGTCAAATTTCGAGTACGAAATGTACTCGAATGGTTTCAAAAATCGCACCCCAGATATCAATTGAAGAATAATACTTGTGTGTACATTCATAAATAGAATGATGTCTCATGCAAATGAATGAAAAATTGACTTGTTTAACACCTCTTTGTACTCCCTTTATCAATCAATAGATTGGACACCTAACCTACATATTTCAGTGATTAAATGTTCCAATGTTGTTTTTATGATTGGTGTAAATTTTGGTGTAAATGTAGTTTGTATTTATTTTATAATTTGTTTGTCATTTATATACATAAGTATTGTGTATTTGATTTTTTTTACATTTTATTCATAGGAATATTCCCGTTGATGAATAAATAAATAAATAAAGAAAGCCCTTATCCCATCATAAGTTTACTTATCATGAGCAAAGCAGAATCTGTAAGCAGACACCCTTAAAAATCTATTCTGAACTCTCTCCGGAGCTGCAATGTGAACAGCATATTGGGGTGACCAAACAACTGATGAGTATTCTAACATGGATCGCACAGTACAATGTTCTCAATGTACTCGCAGACATATCAGTTAGTAGTGGGCCTATATATAAAGCCGAAACATCTTACAGCCCTTGACACAATATTGATAATTCGAGTGAAATTCCACTCCTAAATCATGAATGCTTGCTACCTTCCTATGTTATTAATTGTGTGTCAACTGAGCTTTGAAATGAATAATAAAAGCCTATGTGATATCTAGATTTACTTTACACTCTAGCGAGCACTCTAGGTTGTGAAGTGAGTTACTTTTAAAGTTTTAGACACCAGGGCATAAAGTTGTGATATACCAACTTTTTAAAATCTATGGCCGTATATTGTCAGTAGTAGAAAAAATATTGTATACAACATGTGTGTGAAGTAAACCCCATTTTTTCACTTATGGTTTATTTTTTTCCAAGATAGAATTTGGCATTGTCAACTTTGAAAAATAAACAATGCCACTAATGCCGCTTATTGGTCACTATTGTAAACCTGATGTCAACCTGCAGAAACACCTCATTTTGCGACCAGTCAGGGTCAAGCGTTTATTATTATTATTATTATTATTAAGGTATAAATTTACGATACAAATATACTACTTATTATATTAGGTATCTAAATGGTAAATGGTTTTATATACAACAGCACCTAGATGCAGAGCATCTGTATGTGCTTCTAACTTACTTCATATATATATGTTATTTCCATAGGAATACAAATTTTTCGAATGCTGAGAATTTAAGTATGTACGTTATTGTCATCAAATCAAAGCAGTTTTTCAAACAAAATCCGATTTGTCCAAACGAATGCCTTCGATCTTTTTGAAAACAGTTTTGGTTTTACAACATTCTTCACCTCATTGGGTAATAGGTTGTAAACCTTTGGACCCATGAAACCAATTGAGCGTCTATAAAATTCGCTTTTACATTCCGGAATCCTCAAAAGCTGATTTATGCGAAAGCGGGTGTTTTGATTATGTAACACAATAGGCTGCATCTTGCGGTGTTTATGAATGTAACAACTAACTGAGTGGAAGAATAGAGTTCTCAAATTTACTATTTCCTCAGTATATAGCATATTTGTGGGATACAGATGATCTTTTTTATAAATTATTTTTAAAATTTTATTTTGAACAATTTGTAGCGGCCTCAGCGCATTTCCATACATCGAACCCCAGATCGTGATACCATATGCTAACAAAGATTCCACCAGACTCCGATACAGTGTGACCAACATGTTTGATGACAAAATATTTCTAAGAATATAGAACCTATAAGTCAGAGATCTAATTTTTTTAGTCAGATATTCAGCATGAGCATTCCACTTCAAGTGACAGTCAATCATAACCCCAAGGTATTTAACGTGAGTGACCTCTTCAATTTTCTCGTTTACGTCTATTTCTATTTGGTTAAAAAGAGGGCGATTCAAATCAACTTTAGTAAGAGCCAAATAATTTGTTTTTTTAACATTAAGGGATAATTTGTGTATATTAAGCCATCTTTTAATTTTTATAAGGCCATTTGTTGCATTTATTCTAGCTTCTTCCCAAGAGGATCCATTGAAAATTATGGCCGTGTCATCCGCATATGACACAATCTCACCCTCAATCCCAATGTCCTTAATTGAGTTAATGTAAAGATTAAACAAAATGGGCCCGAGAACTGTGCCTTGCGGAACACCTATATTTATTGTTCGTGGATCACTGATTGTGTCGCGTATTCTAACCCGCTGCTGCCGTCCAGTCAAGTAGCTCTCAAACACCCTCCACACAGTTCCCCTAACACCACTATGTTCAAGAACATCAAGAAGTATTTTATGGGAAACTGTGTCAAAAGCCTTCGCGAGGTCCAGGAACACCACCAGGCATTTTTTGTTCTCATTAATTATATTTGTGGCTTCTCTTATCAGACAACACATTGCATCATTGGTGCTAAGACCCTCTGTAAACCCAAATTGATTTTTTGACATTAGATTATTTAGTTTGATGAAGCTAACTAGTCTGAGTTTTAAAGTTTTTTGAAAGAGTTTCGCAAAATTATTAATTAAACTTATTGGTCTATAATTACTTATGATATTGTGTTTTCCAGATTTGTATATAGGGGTAATAATTGATTTTTTAAGTGGTGAGGGCACAACACCCGTCTCGTATATTAAATTGAATATATGCATAAGGGGTTTCAGTAAATAGTTATGAAATTCTTTTATAGTTTCTACAGTTATTGCGTCACAACCTGGAGCACTGTTTGACTTTAGACTATTGATATGTTGGATGAGTTCATTTTTAGACACTGGTGAGAGAAACATTGATTTGCTTGTTGAGGCTAGCCTAGACTGTTCTACAATGTGAGGAATTTGGTCGCTCATTTCAATTGCTATCCTAGAAAAATATCTGTTACAGAAATTGGACATATCTAGATCATTTTCAAAAGTTTTGTTATCATTGTCAACTATATTTAAGGCTTCGCTGCATTTTTTCCCCTGATTCGTTGCCTCGGCCATCAATTTATAGATTTTTTTTGTGTCATGCTTGTTTTGTTCAATTTTTGTTTTATAGTATTGTTGGTGTTTCAAAGTTTTCAATGTCAAAATCTATCTTGGGAAAAAATAAAGTGTAGGTGATTGAACACAATTCACATTGGTAAATAAGGTTCACTTTGCACAGTTGTTGCATAAATAGCTATTATACCTAGGGGAATATACCTTACTTTACAACCCTGAAAAAATACAAAAGAAGTAGGTAGAGGAATCTTCTTCATCCTGAAAAACTCTAAGAAGATTTAATTTGAATTTGTAATCAAGTGAAGATAAGATAGGAACCTGTTGCAATAATGAATAGACATATAAACTTCAAGTCATGGTAGGTAACAAACCGAGTAACAAACACAGGCCAAGACAAAAAAAAAATCGGGATTGAAAATTTGGCATAGATTTGGGAAACTTTTTCAATAAAGAGAATATAAACTTTAAAGTAATGTAACTATTAGGTTAAGACAGAAAAAAAAAGTTCAAATCATGATGGAGAATTCGGGACCTACCTGCGTAAATAAGTCTTTGGTTCTCGGACGGATAGTCGGTCCCCTTTTCAGACTCGATCTTCTGCTTCAGCTGCTTGACCTAGGAACGCAAAAAAAACCACATAGAACCGATAGAATTGAATTTGCAAAAAAACTCACAGTTTGGCTGGCCTCTATCTCCACAACAAAACTTTGTTGCTGTAAATTTTTCAGGGTAACCTTCATTTTGTCAGGAACACTTTAAATAAACCTAAACAGTCTCAAATAATAAAGAAATCGTAACAAGCAAAAATTCCGTTTTTCCGGCTTTTCACCTCGCTCTGGGCTTTTTTATTTTGGAAAGATAAATATTTCTCATCAATGATAAAGCACAACCAAAAAATCTGACAATGATGACTGATGACATTACATTTGACAGTCGTGGATTTTGTAGTTTGACAAAACGCAGTATTTGACGTTGGATATCAAAAATTAAAAAGCCGAGTGAATTGGCAACGTTGTTCAAGGTCTTCAAGGATTTTGTCAACGGAAGGAAGCAATACAAAGATGATGTTTTTTTCTTCACTTCAATCAAAAAACTTTTTTTTTTATTAATTAAATATTGTTCAAATTAATTAAATCATCCATAATGAATACGAAAAGACAACAAAAAAATACGAGACGCCCTCGAAAAGTCTCCGCACTGGGTAAAGGCGGCTTAAAAACTAAAATGAACGCCATAAGCGCAAAAAGGGTCTCGGTAAGAGAATTTTTGAGAAAAAAGATCATTTTAAATTGATTTTGAATGATTATTCTAGTTATATCCTGGATTTTTAATGAATGGAGTTGCTTCTGGTACTATGAAGAAGCCTAGAGGTTCGTATATCAGGTAAAAAAGTGAATTTGGAAATCCCGTAAAGTTACTCTACCAGATAGTGTGCGATAAAGTAGACTGCATAGCGTGCGGTAAAGTTACTTTTTCTACGATTAGAATAGTTATTTACCTAACAAATGCGGAAAGTGATACTTTACCGCACGCAACGGCAGTTGACCGGACGACGCGAAGCGGAGTTCGGTCAAGCCGTTAAGGGCGGTAAAGGCACTTTCCACATGTGTTAATTAGGTACCAAATTTTACCTATGAGCATCTACATCTCCAAAAAAGGGCATTGATAAAATTAATTATTGAATCAGATTATTGAATTAAATTAGATTAGATTTAGAAATTATCAAAAATCTGGAAAAAAAAGGATTTTTGATTATAAATATCAAATTCTACTTAACCGCACACTATGCGGTAAAGTGCACTTTACCGCACACTTTGTAGTCCACTTTACCGCATACTATGCTGTAAAGTTCACTTTACCGCACACTATGCTGTAAAGTTAACTTTACCGCATAGTGTGCGGTAAAGTGCTACTTTCCATTTGCAAATACGTGCGGTAAAGTGCACTTTACCGCACGCTCGTAGGTAAAGCTATTAACAACGCACTTATCACCCATTTGAAATCGAATTGAAACTGGACTTGACTGAATCGCACTTATAATAATACTACGAGCGATTATAGCAGACAGGATACTCGGGATTTATCTAGAAAAACCCGGCGCCCTACTTGAAAAGAATTCTCCTAATTGTTCACGCGACGCGCATAGAATTGCATTCTTGAACCCGGCCGGGCTGCGTAAAGTCAAACCCCTGTGTAGAACAGAGCGCGCGGGATTCTCTATATAACTCGGGGCTTTGTTTTTGATTACGCTGGATCGCGTCGAACAACTCTTTTCTGCTGATTTGTGATTTTACAAATAATAATTCACAATGGATGGATGAAGCAATGTTAAAATATATTTATTAGAACCTTAGATTAGGGAAGACAGATTAGAACGTTCGTGTGAGGAGGTCAATATTCGCGAAATAACTATAGATAATGACGAAAAGTTCACTATTTTATTCCAGTGTATGCTCTTAGGAAATGTAAGCAAATATTGTTAGATATTTATTAGCAATTCCATTTCTTTGAAGTGTAAAATGAGCTTCCAAACGCAAAATTGCATTAAATCATGATAGTATGTATGTATTTCTTTTTCAATAAAAATAGAGTTATTACAATATTAGTATATTACGTGCGACTCGAGGTGCGACTTTTGCTTTAAAAATACCCATCTTGATCAGCAAAATGTGAACAATTGTAGACATTTTTATAGTCGGATTTTTTGATGAAAGTATTGACATCATTTTCTGTTATCTCTATTTCATGTCTTATTTTAAACCGTGAACCACGACAATAAATTTATAAAAAACTTGCCGACTATAGCAACTCCTCTTCTGCGTGAAAGGTGAATAATATGCATGCGTGCTCCGTATCACACTGGGATTTGTCATGCGACGCACCATATTCATAAACAAAGCCCCGAGCGATACAGAGCATCTTCTGGATCTCGCGTTCTGTACTACACAGGGGTTTGTTCGACGCGACCCAGCGTGATCAAAAACAAAGCTCCAAGTGATACAGAGCATCTTCTCGACCGCGCGCTCTGTAGTATACAGGGGTTTGGCTTTACGCGGCCGGGCTCCCAAGGCAAATTCGTAACACTACTGCCTTCCTCGGCTTTCTCTCAAATCAGATCATTCCGATCTGACTCTGCCAAGACGTACTACCTCTTTTTCTTCTATATCTCCTTTCAGTTCCATAATGATTTAATCTATTCTCTTGCCTAACATCGCTAGCCAGTGGACTGCGACCTGAACCCCTGAACGCAGCGCCTTAGTACGTGCACAACGGAGCTATGATACAAACTTGTAGCGATGACAGATCATAGCTGAAATTATGAGCGCTTTATAGGTGCACAACGGAGCTGTGATACTAACGTACGTGTAATTATATAGCTTTTAAACAATTTCATCTCGCATTTCCGATCGCGATGTCGGACAGTGATGATGATTATTTAAATATGTTCGTCGTTCGTCCACTACAAATTGGTATGTTCCCTGGCATACCAACCAAATAAACAAAAACGGATAGAACTAGGAGATTATCACCATTTCTATCAGGAGTTGAAGGGATAGTTTGATGCTGATGATCATTTTCATAAAATTAAAGACAAGACGATGACTGCGCAGGGCATGCGCCACCCTTGTCTGCTGGTTTCTGCCCGCAGAAAGAATGGTAAAATTTATTCTCGTATGCTATAAGCGATCATCCCAGCTATACTCCATACTCACTGGTCCGATGTGCACGCTCACATTTAAACTAATGATATAATTCTAAGCATCGAAGATAGCTTCTACCTATCATCCAAGCTATAAGTACATATCACAGCTCCGTAGTGCACGTACCCTAGACTGCTCATTAGCCTTCCTAGACGTCCGAGATCAACCCACAGGTATGCGTGGCTCTTATTCTTCCCTTGGATTGACGTCATGAATACTAGTCGAAGGGCTACCCTGCTCCTGTTCCCTGTTAATTGATTGCTGTTTCCTCGTACTACATTCCTCTTTATGGAAATCCACAGAGCGGGCGTTTGAAGGATCACTTTGACCTTGGATCAGCATTAGTCGTAATCGGCCAATTTTTCTCTACATGATCATTTGTTTCTTCGCTTGCCGGATATAAAGCTTAGTCCACACTAAAGAAACACATAGGAACATTTTGTTGCTGGTTGCCGCAACCTGTTTTAGGGCCAAATTATGGACTGACTGGTAAACGTCTGGTTGTTACCTAGCAGGTACTCTCTATGCACTAGAGAATAGAAAATACCTGCTAGGTAACAACCAGACATTTACCAGTTGGTCCATAATTTGGCCCTTATGGAAACAGAAACAACAGCAAAAGTTCCGTAAGGCTGGAAACACAATGACAAATACAAGGTACAAGAGACAGACAAAACTAGAAATTTTGTATCTTGGCATGGCAAGTATTAAATTGCATCGTGTGTATCGATTTATTCTGGGTTATAGCTTATATAAGCATTGATACACGCGTTATTATTATATTTTTGTCTCTTGTCAGTTGTACCTTGTATTTGTCATTGTGACTTCAGTCTCAACATTCTGTCCACAACATGGTTACTCTGACTCATTTTTGTAAATGTTTCGTTGTATCACTACAACAGGAAACTCTGTGTCTACTCCAGCAGTGTGTGTTCCTAGATTCGAAACAATGTGCATTGTGTGACGACAATGTACACACCCACATCGGCTAAGTTTCGTGTTTTGGGAACAAGCAACAACGTCTCCATATTATTAAAAATTAAATTGAGTTTACCAATGTCCTTTGTTATTTGTCGCTAAATATGGAAACAAGCAACTTATAGAAACTTTTGTTGCTGCAACCGTAAACATTGTAAATTTAATAAACCTTTGGAAACATACAGAAACAAGTTCCAGGAACAAGCAACATAAGCACAATGTGCCTACTTCCTATATGTTGCTTTCGGTATGGACGTAGCTTAAGAAAGCTACAACGATACAGTTGTAGGAAAAAGAGAGCAAACTGCAAAAAAGAACATGGATGACCCAGGAAATTATAAATCTTCTAGTAGAAAGGCGTAGGTAACTCTTAGAACACTATAACTCACAAAAAATAAAAACACACCACTGAAAAAGCAAGTACAGGGTGATTATGGGTGATTCAAATTCGAGCCACATCATTGGGATCTCGAAAACGGTGTGAGATACAGGGTAGGTTAAATTGTGGCAAAGTTGCGTAATTTGATGCTCAAAAAAATGCCGCTTTGACATTTAGGATATTCCGAATACTTCCGGAGAAATCCAGAAAAAACCGAAATTTTGCAAAATTGTTTTTATTTTTTCCTGACTTTATTTGAAGTGATATTTCAAAAAAATATCACTTCATCATAGCCACTTTTTCTCTTCTACAAGATGCTACCATCAAATTTAAAATCTGACGTTTCGTCTTTGGGCCACCATCATCAACTTTATTTTTTTAAATACGACCCTGGATTTTTTATTTCAGATTTCTAAATCTTCTGACGTCCCAAGACCTATGAGTCATAGGTCTTGGGACGTCAGAAGATATGACCTATGACGCATTTATTCGAAATAGTTATTTATGCAACAAGTGTGTAAAGTGAACCTTTTTTCACGAATGTGAATTTTGACGCACGAGCCGAAGGCGAGTGCGACAATCACATGAGTGAAAAAAGGTGCTTTACGCACGTATTGCATACAAAATTTTTTCTACTACCAATCAAATATGTATAAAAAAATAAATTTAAACAAATTCTTCACGCACTAGTGCGTAAAGTATTTTCACTTTACACACTAGTGCGTGAAGTAATTTACCAGAAAAACAGTAATTTGACAGGTCGACATCTGTCATTGACATTACTTTACGCACTAGTGTGTGAAGTGAACTACTTCACGCACTAGTGCGTGAAGAGAAATTTTACGTCTTCTGAATAGTGCGTAAAGTGAGTACTTTACGCACGGTCGTAGAATTTTTTTTTTTTTCACTTTTTAGTAATTTCCTGCCAAAATTCTCTTCTCTGTCTCTCTCTAACACATTTAGTTCTTATAGAAAGTGCCAATAATATAAACTTTTCGTATAAATGCAATACGTCATTGGTTTTGGGACATCTGAAGCTTATAAAATCTAATATAAAAAATATGGTTTCGTATTTAAAAAAGTGAAGTTGATGATGGTGGCCCAAAGACGAAATGTCAGATTTTAAATAAAGTCAAGAAAAAATTAAAACAATTTTGCAAAATTTCGGTTTTTTCTGGATATCTCCGGAAGTATTCGGAATATCCTAAATATCAAAGAGGCATTTTGTTGAGCATCAAATTTCGCAACTTTGCCCCAATTTAACCAACCCTGTATCTCTCACCGTTTTCGAAATCCCAATAATGTGGCTCGAATTTGAAGCACCACATAAAAAGAGCCAAAGAATTCAAAGAAAGATGAATAGAAGAGAACTGTCATGAAATGGAAGAACCAATGAACTATAACCAAAAACTGGAATGCTAACACATAAGGACGAACTTGAAGCCTAGTGCGGCTGCTGCGGAGGGGATACCTGTTTTTGTCGCACTCATTATGTTAAATGGCGAAAATTGCTTCCAACACGAATTCCAATTGATGAAACCTGTGAAGGGAAATATAACAAAACTTTCGAAAACGTCATATGTCAGCGAGCAACAGAAAAAAACAACATTCCCCTTTGTGGCATCTGTCTTTCATGGCTTCATTTTTTTGGCAGATATGGCAATGTGTGCGCATTCCAGTTTTTAGCTATAGTTGATTGGGAAGAACTGAACAATAAAGATGAGTATTTCAATTAAGATACAAAATTGGAGGAATTAACTGAAAACACTAGGAAAAGAATAGAAGTCGTCACAAGAAACATTCAGGGAGAGATCCATAGTTGATAGAAGATGACAAAAAACAGATTTGGGAAGACTACTACATCAAACATATTTGCAGCAGAAGGACGTAAGAGAAGAAAACAGACAGACGGAACAACTATGTATTCTCAAATCAGAACAGAAGTGGAGTATATGCTATAAATTTCAAAAAACAGAAATGCGGCTGAACCTGACAACATTCCAATAGAGTTCCTAGAGGCATTGGACGATGGAAACTTGACTCATCTGTCAAAAGTACTCAACAAAATCTATGAAACAGGAGAAATTCTAAAAGATTGGCTTAGATCAGTCTTCATTCCCTGACCTGAAAAGAACAACTTGTTCAGTCCTGTGATGAATATCGGATGATCAGTTTGATGAGTCACACACTAAAAGTAGGTACTTTTGAAAATAATCCAACAGAGTATAACAGGTCTGCAACAACACGTCAAAAACCGACCCATGAACGGTTTGGAAACCACTCTGTATACGAATTTCCTATTCTACGCACGAATTTTACACAGAATCGTGACGGTACGGTTTCCTGCTGTGATGGAACAAAGCTATTGAAAATGTAAAGAACAACTCGATGAGGCTCAGTTTGGCTTTAGAGCAGTATTAGGAACTAAAGAAGTATTATTTCCTATCAGAGTAGGTACTATTACAGAAAAGAAGAGAATACAATGAAAGTGAATACGTCTGTTCCATTGACTTTCAGAAGGCCTTCGATGAAGTCCAACACGATATACTCATACAGAATTTAAAGTGTCGATTTTGGATCCAAGCGATATAATGATTAATAAAGAATATCTACTACAACCTAACGGCCGTAGTGCGTGTTGAGGATATGGAGAAAAATGAAATCGAAATTCAAAAGAGAGTTTGCCAAGGCTGCGTTCTATCCCCACAACTGTTTAGTTATATTCTCAGTTTGTATTTCAGAAAGCGCTGGAAGAGAGACGCGAGGGAGTAAACACTGGAGGAACATTAATAAACAACCCAAGATTCGCCGATTATACCTACTGCTATAATGGCTAACAGCGCAGAAGATCTTCAAACCCTATCAGAGAGAGTCAACCGAGAGTGTGGAAGAAATTAGATTCATGATTATAAGTAAAAACCCAAACATTAACCCTTTTCTCACATTGACTGCAAGTCAAATAGAACAGGTGCAAAAATTCAAATATGTCGGTTCAGTTATAAAAATGATCAAATAGATCAAGACGAAGAAATCAAGATCAGAATAGAAATGGCTCGAAAGGCATTTGTCAAATACTCCTCAATGCTTACAAACAGAAATCTAAACCTTCATATCAGAATAAGGTTTATGGAATGGTATGTATAGTCAGTATTTTTGTACTTGGACCTTGAAAGCTTGCATGATGAAAAACTTGTGGCATTTGAGATGTGACTCTTCAGACGTATCCTGAAAATACTATGGACTGAAATAGATTAACCAATAACGAAGGATATAGTCTGGCAAGAGGTTCTTATTAGGCTACGCCCCACGTTCCTCCCCGCCTTTCGTCACTATTAAGATGAGAAGCATTGGTGATGAAAGAAAGCTGTTGACAGTGTTGACACTTATCAAGATAAGAAAAACATCTTACATAGGACACATCTCACGCAACGATAAATACCTACTGCTACAAAACAATACGTAGAGGAAGAAAAAATCCTGACCCCGAAAAATGAGTGTCGAAGAACTGTTGCATGTTGCAAGAGACAGAGACGCATTCAGAAACGTATAGTCGCCAACCTTCAATGAGCAAATGGCATGAAAAGATGAAGATCGCCAGCTTTCCTTATGGTGAAGAATGAGTCGTAGTCGAGGTCACTCTCTTCCAGTTGTTCACTTCCCAGCAGCAAGTTGGTCCTAGCTGTTCTTGAAAGAAATTGCACAAATCCTTAGAACCACAACGGTACAGTCCCGAGTACCATTACCGACCGAGATTTTAGTAGGTTATTGGATGACATCTCCCGGAAAACGTCACAACTGAGTGTTAACATACGTGACGTGCCTGATGATGCAGAAAATGCAGCCAAAACGTCTATTGCTGAGCGCTTAAATGATACTTCCCGTCCCGCTTCAAAGGAAACAAATTCTGTGATGGAAAAATTTCATCCTTCCCCAAATTGCTCGTCAGACCACGTGTCCAACATGCAGGTGAAAGGAATTTAGTCCAAGTAAACTGTTTGTGTAATCTAAATCCTAAGGAAGTTCATAGTCGAACCGATCAATTTATCCCACTTCTGAAACCAAATTGTCACGGATTCCGGGTTCACTAAAACTCACTTCACAACTTAGATAAAATTCACTTATCAATTATTAAAACGTAGACTATGTAGTGACGCGGAAATAAACCAGCAAAGAAAACAATTAAAGGTTCTGATTATTCTAAACAACTAAAGACCTAGGATCCAACTACCGAAAATTAATCAAGAATAACAAGGACTTACCAAACAACCATCCCAGGAGAGATCATCACTTAGACAGCACAACCAGAAACTTCAATTAAAATTTATCTGAACATCGATATTCAGAAATTATTGAAAGCCCCCATACCCTATATTAACTTATACATTGGAATGTGAATAAAATAAAAGTTCATGGACCTTTTTTTAAGAGCTGTCAACAATTAACATTCCAAAGGAGCCGAAAAATTTCTAAAAAGGATCAATAAATCATGCACGAGCCTATATGATGATACCCTCTTAACAAATCACTTAGCGACGCCCTTGATAATTAATTAAAAGGGGACCAAATACACTACTTGATAGGATGATTCAACCACAAAAAATCGAGCTCAGAAAAAAATAAAGAAATTCAAGACAATGGAGGGACCAATGATATAAAAAGGCAACTTTGGCAGGAGAAAATCAGTTTTCGAGAAAACCAGTATTCGAGAAAGAGCGAGTAAACCGGCAGAACTACGGCGTGAAAGAGTTGTCGAATTAACCGAGAGAAGAAGCACGACGTGAAATAACGGCGCGAAATATTCGAGTTTTTTATTAAGTGTTCATAATTGAAGTAAATTCCTTCGAATTAGACTTTGCTTCGACCAATAAGATTTCCATGTAATTAAGTGTGGCCAGCAGTAAATATATTATTGTTAAATGTAAGTAGAGTTTTTTATGTTCAGCCAGAAATTGTGAAGGCAAACTGTAAATAAAAATTTTTACTTGGAATCATATAAATTTTCCTTAACAGTTAATTGATGCTTATTAGAAATCTAACAATTTTATTGTAAGATTATTTATTACCGACGCCTGTTATTTAATAACAAGCATTATTTATTTTAATAAAATAAACTTTATTTTAATTGACCACAATATTTCTGTGTTTTACTCTCCACCCGCAAATAGGACCCATTTTAAACCGTGTCTCCACTCAGAAACTAAAGTCACCGCTCGCCTATTTAACATCTTGCCAAGTTTCTGAATTTGGGGTCTCACAACTACAAATATCGAATTAAAACTGACCTACAACACTCTTATTAGACTCAACAATGCTCTTGACTAGACTGGTTCCCACTATCTACACGCTATTATTTATTTATAGCATGCAGTGTACTCTTAATTTATCTGGAATCTAGAAAAACCTGGCGACCTCATTTGTACAATATTCCTACCTGGGCCTACCAGCCCTCCTTCAAATCTTGAATACGCATTATATTATCCAAAAATCAATAGCTAATAATTATTATTTTCTACTTAACTGGCTACTATCAATGACCTCTACTATTCACAAATGGCAAATAAAATAAAGACATGTATTTATTTTTAGGCTCCAATTCCTCTGGAAAACCTGAAGATAATGTCCTAACTGAAAACCTACAAGTGTTCCTAGACCAAAATTCTGTCCATTCCCAAAGAATTATCAATGAACGTTCTACTGTTGAAGAATATAAACCAAGCATGCCAAAACCTATAGGTCAAATGCGGTGTCTTAGAAGTTCTACAAAATCTCTCCAACCTGTTGTAGAGAAACACAGTAAAAGCGTTTTCAAAAAGATTAGCAATAAAATGTTCATAACTCCTGTTGAACCTGGAACAAATAATAATAGCAATTTTATTAAACAAACGGGTTATCTTACAGAAAAAGAGGAATGCAGCAATAATGAAATGGAAATAGTTTCCTCACCTCAATTAGTTGAACATATTTGTTCGCGCGAACATTTGAAAACTTTCACTCAAAAAATGCAAGTACTTTTTAAGACAAATTACTTCCCAGAGAAAAGCATTGAAAATGTTGCAGCAGAAATTCTTAAGCAAAACCTAATTGTGGAAGGAAACCTTTTAAAAGAGGAAATCTCTGTCGAGGAGGATAAAGCAGAAGATCAAGATTCAGACGAAGATATTGAAATCAATTTCGTCCCAGTGCCATCAAGAAGATGGGTTTATAACACACCAAAAAATCAAAAAATTAAAAAACGTAAAGTGGAACAGTGTCAACTAAAGCCTGCACTGCTTCTTGATAATAAAATTATCAAACCTATTTTGAGTTATAATGGTGCTTATAATGAAGGGTTTATAGGAAAAGTGACAGAACAACGTCCTTCTAATATGGGGTTTTTTGAGAAAGAAGTAAGATTTTTTTGGTACTCACTGCAAATAATCAGATTCTTTTTACCTGTTGTCTATGAAATTAATTCTTCTCAGTTTATGTTCATCAACTAAGATCAAAATGTTGGCCCTCATGCATATCTACCTACTGTAGTTTTTGGACATGTTTAATTTCTCATGGACGAATATTGTTGGTTGGTGTTTGATAGTCAGCTTATGATGCCATTTCCAGGAAATATTTCCCCAAAAATTGGAAATGTGCAGTTTCAGTGGAGATTGCCTACATTTACCCATTGGAATTTTTTGCCAAACAAATTCTCAATCCCATTTCCACAAATTTTACTAATTTCAGTTACATACTAAATCATTCCAATGTATGGGCACAAGGGCTTGTTCTATACCATCATTGGATCGGTCAGTAAAAACCCCAGGGGGGTGTTAAGACTTGAAATAAAACTTGAGCCTCGATACCTCCATTAGATATGCATAAGGTTCAAGTTCCTAGCTTCAAGAAAATTATATCATCATATTCACTTGTAAAGAAAGCTTCATTACTTTTTAGTCTTTTTAGCTTCCTTTCCAATCTGAAGTTAATCAGAGAAGCCACCCAATGCCAACTTACTTGGAGAGTCCAGCTGCTACTGAGAATGATTTAACGTTTGTAGGAGAAGGTCACAATTTGACAACGCAGTTGCGCCTGCCAAGTAAAAGCCACAAAAGACAAGAAAGCTGCAGAGATGATTATAAAGGTGAAAAAAATATGTTTGACTTTCATAGTAAACCTAAGAAAATTTTTGATTTTTAAATTATATTATGTATGTAGGCATAATGAATAAGTAAGTTGGAAAGTATGTGGCTGTAAGGCTTAATTCTTGTGTGAATTAAATTATATCAAATCTTGTTTCGTTACAATAATTCTAATTACTAGTGTATAAGAATGTGTTTGGTACAGTAATCACAATAAAATAAATATATAATTTTTGTAAATAATTTACCTTCAGTGATAAGATTGGGTGAGAATTAACATTTTTGAATTATTGGATATTTTTGATTTAACCTCGCGGATAGATCTCTGGCAAGCAATTTGTTGGATGCATGTAAAAAAAAGGCTTAATAAATGGAATTTATCAATTCCAAATCCATACTCTAGTTTTGTCTTACTGCCCAAGGTAACGAAATAGCTGTGAAAAAAACTGTTTCATGGTTTCAATATGTGTTTCTCTGCTTTGCTTCACAATCATTAGTTAAGTGTGATAACAACTAACTTTAGAAATCTCTTGGGCAATATAAAGTCATCTTTTTACATAAACATTATTTAATTCATTTTCTCTTTAATAATAGGGTGTAATTTATAATCTAATACCTAAAATACTTTTTTTTTCAATCAATATAGTCTCCCTTGTCATATCTATGGATAACAAAAAGCGCTTTCCTAGGATAGTAGGTACAAATAAATATACAAAATATACAATATAAAAAGAATAACCTAACAATTTTTTGAAAAGAATAAACAATACAATGAACTTTGAAAGTTTTTGCTCTCGGAACAGGAAACTCAATTATGCAAATAACTGGAAAAATGAAAACTGGGCCACAGTTTAGATATCTCCCCACCTAAAAGATCTGGGATCGATAATTTTGATACTAATTATTGCCTATATTAATTATTTATTTTACCATAAGTTGTATAATTTAGAAACTACAATAAAAAACGAATAGTTCTCATTATCATAAAATTGTAAATAAAATCTTGTAATAGATATGCCATCGGATATGCCTTTTTCTTTGTCTTCCTTCTAAGCATATAATTTCCAATAATTGTTAAACATTTCCATTTAGAAAAAACTAATTAAAATGAAAAATAAAACTGATACCAATTCTAGAATTTTGAATCCCGAAACATGAAGATACAGAACTTATTCAATGGAGAAATACAAAACAAAAATAAATAAAACTAATAATTACCACAGCCAAAAATTAAGAACAATCAATAGGATTTCATAAACAATAAAACACTATTCAAACAATGTCGAGACCTACTACTTTAACTATTTTGAAGTTATCGCCAGTTTTTGGGTTAGTACATAACAATATTCAAAATATTCTGTATAATTCATCAATAAACGAAGTTTGTTCTAGGAGCAAAAACTTCCAAGACCAAATAATATGTTGTCAGTCATTGAAAAAAAAAAATAAAATAAATTATGTAAATACAACATTCTTAAAACTAGCTATGTACAATGTAAAGATGTATATGTTGCGGCAAAAATATGTGTGTGGATAAAATTGCAGTTATAGTAAAAATTGACTGGCATTTATTTTTATAAAAGTATTTGAAATACTTCTATTGCAACAAAAAAAGTAATATTTCAAATACTTTGTCCTTTTCAACCATAATAATAATCTAAAATTAAGCGTAATGATCTTCAAGTATGTAAAGTCAAACTCATTCTTCCATTCACAACAATAACAACAATGAAAGGTCTTGAAGAATTTAATACTTTTCTCGGAAAGAACACTGCTTCAATAATTGAAATTTGACACTTTTCTAAACAAACTTATCACCCATTAGGAAAAACATCAATTATGGTTCAGAAATTCTTAACCTCTTCATGCTATACATTCTCCTATACAATACACTCTTATTCCAAAATATATTTAAATTTTTACCTGTGGCAAATTTATTTTAGAAAAGTGTTTATCACCCATCATTTAGGATTTCTTAGAGGCTATTGGCAAAAAATAGCCTCATCAAAAATGTTCCAATCACAATCGCCTCTATATTAGATAGGCAATCCAAAATGATACACCAAGAGCAAATTTTGATTTGGATCTAATCGTTTTGGAATGCCAACCCAATAATGCAGGAATAGTTGTTTCACTCCTCTTTATTAATCAAAAGTAGGGATTTATTTGTTCTCTTTGTCAATCACACTTAATATTTACAGTTGGGGCGGACGTTTTCTCTCGCTTTACAAGATAGCTGCATCAATACTACCCCTGACTGCAATAAGGGGACTGAGGGTTCCTGGAACTTTCTGGCCTCGTTCCATCTCGTAGTGAGTATCCAGAGGTATATCTGGAATATTTGAATTTTAAATATTGAGTTGGAATAATATAAATTTAGAGGACATGGTATTATTCAATGACCTTGATATTTCCTCCGCCATTTCCTAGTTGTCTCCCAATATAAGTGATGTATTTTCGCGTTGTATACATAAGTAATAACTCTAAAGAGAGTTTTAACAATTAATATTAAAAAATTCAGAAAAGCACGGGGCCCCAAGAAAGTTCCTTGAAGAACCCCTATTTTAACGTTGTCTTCTCACAATATATTATTCAATGCTACCCTTTGGAGTCCTTGATAAGTGGCTCTTAAACAATTCATACCCTCTTACACATTATATTATTTGATAATTATTGGAATCAAGCAACTCATAAGGCATGTTGCAAGATTTAAGAATATGGCTAGACATTTTATTTTGTAATACTAGATAATTAATTCAACATTTTATCACCAATTTATGCATTGCATCATTTGCGATGGTATTCTTTAGAAAACAAAACTGGTTGTCGGATAAAATTGTGATAAACTGTCAGGTAAACAATCTGACGGATAAAAACGCAATCTGTAATCCCATTGGTCGGAGAACGGTAAATTTATCTTGCAGATAGTTACCAGCAAATTTATCTGAGAATGAATAAAACAGGCCTTAGAGAATCAATTAGTCTATTTTTAAAGATTTTAAACGAACAAGCTGATAATGTTTTATAGTTTCTTTAAATTATGCCTTATTGAATGGGTGTTACAATAATTGATATTCAATAAACACAGTCGTTATAAATTTATGATGCCTTAATAGGTATTTATGTATCAAGGGTACTAAGTAGATGATTATGCCCTGAGGGCGACAGCAAAAATAATATGTTTATCAGCGTAAATTTATATTTTGTTAATGAAGAATAAGTTAATTGAAAACTGTTTTTTGCGTCTTTATGCCCGCGCGGGCCATAATGTGTACTTTATGCCCGCACGGGCATAAAGTAATGAATTATGTAGATGGTATCTAAGGTATAAAAACACAATAATGTATTGGTATGACATAAAATGTAATACACATAAAACTCAGTTCGTAATAATCCTCGGGAATAATAGCTATCATTATTGACTCGTGGTATAATCTACTATAAATCATACTTACTTGTTTCTATGAGAGTTTTGGTAGGAATAAATGAAGCGACGAAGATGGCGCAAATGACTAGGAAAGCGCCAAAGACAAACGGCGGTCCAGGCACAAGCTGAAATCAAGTCAAAAAATAATGATTTATGAACATTTACAATGTTGACTGAAAATTGCCTTACTTGAGAATAAGTTTCAAAAATTTGAGTGGAATGTGTGGCATTTTGATTTTCGCCTTCATTAAGGTCGACATGGAACATATAAAAGATTATTCCAAACATTGCGGGTCCTAAACCGTTACAGAGACCTCGCATTCCAGTTACTATACCTAAAAAAAACAAGAATTTAATATCATATTTACATCAAAATAGTATAATTTACCTTGTACAACTCCTTGCCTATCGGCTGTACTATGAACTGACACAAAAGCAGATATTGCAGGATACGTAATGGAACCGACAGATGCTAAAATTCCAGCCCCCCACATCATCCAAGTGGTAGTACCGAAACCGTACCACAAAAGCTGGAGCATTTCGAACAATAGTCCTAGCATAATTGTGTGCTTGGATCCAAGATTTTTTATTAAAATACCTTTAAAAAAAAAGAGTAGTAAATTATTTAATTAAAAATATTAAAAATAATTTTACCTAAGCAGAGCTGCGTTATGACCGCTAACAGCCCCACTAACCCTACAAACACTGCCACCATAGGGGCACTCCAACCCATGACTAGTTTAAGATACACAAAAATGCAACTATACTGCCCCGCTTCGGGCAAGTAACTTAGAAATACTGCTATGCAGAGTAAGAGAATTGTTGGATCTTGACCAACATTCCTAAAAAAGTAAATTAAAGTAAATTCGATAGAAATAAATAAATACAAAATCACACCTTAAAGATGAAAACGGATCCGCTTGTTCCCAACTAATAGGAGACACTCTCACTTTTTCTGGCAAAGATTCTGGTACGGCAACGAGAATGAAAAACACGTCTAATATTGCGACTGCCGTTGCTAGTGCAACAACTAGAGAGACTGACCACCTGAATCAAAATTTACACTTATCGAGAGCTCAATGCGAAAAACAGTCTTACCTTTCCATTAAATAAGCTCCCAATGCGGGAGAAATCACCATGCTGGCTGCAAAAGTGCCGCTTACTAATCCGTAAGCTAGGGAGCGTTCTTTTTCGTCAGTGACGTCAGCTACATAGGCAAACACAACGCTGAATGTCACAGCAAACACACCTGGAAAGAAAATTGTTTTAAAAAAAAATACAAATTTTAGGCTTCAGCCGTTATTTGCTATTTATTGGCTTCCTAACATTATTAATTATTTTGGTATTTGATTTTTTTTATTGTAAGCTTTGTCAATGTGGGTATTCTAGGACAATAAAATATATTTTGAATTGTTGTTTTGAACATACCTAACAACTCAGCTTTTCATTAATCAAAAAAATGATTTACTTTTTTATGTAAAACAATTTATTGAAAACTCCCTAAATACAAAAATAAACATGTTTTATTGGTTCATGAAATGTATTCCTTATCAGTTAAATAATAATAATTATTATGTATGTGGTAACTTGGTATCTGCATTATTTTTTAATTTTTTGATTATTTGAAATAATAATGAAGTCTATAAATTTGCTTGGTAGTGCCAGATAACCATTAGAGTGTTATTTGATATGTAAATATATGACAGAGTAAAAATCTCGGTAAAAATATAGACAAAAATCCTGCAAACCTAGTCACAAGTAATTTGAAAAGAGAAATTCATTGGAAGATTCTTGAGGCTCAAATAAAGATCAAATAATTCAATAACAGAAGTTATAAATTATCTGAATAGTTCTATATCAGTCTATTATCAGAAGGTCTGTTCCAACCCGACCGACTGGAAATTACCGTTCTAGAACGGTTCTCATGTCAGTTGGAACAGACATAAACTCTGTCCAATGAACCTACGGAGTATGACAAAGTCAAAATGGCGGCCAGGTTTACACTGAACACTGATTTATGCCATTGTTTCAAAGTCTTACAAAACATCACTTTACAGTGTAAAGCGGGCTGATAAATGACCAATAGTAACGAACCTTTTTGAAAATTTTGTTGTTTTTCACTCCGTAGGTTGCTTGGACAGAGTATACAATGTGCGCGGCTTGCGTACCAAATTAAATACATTTGGCTATATAGTTCTCTTCCCCTAGTTTCATACCAGTTCTGGTTTTTACGGAAACTTGGCTAACTGAGAACATATATGATGCTGAACTGTATACTCAGACCAGGGGGTAAACCACTTAGGGCGGGTATTATAAAACTACTTTGAGAGTGTAACTTAAAGTTAACTTCTGGAATTACATGTAATTCAAAAAGTTAACTTCAAGTTAACTGTCAAAGCAGTTTTATAATATTCGCCCCTAGAAATTATTGTAACCAGCCTGGGGAAATATGTGGTAATACGGAAAATACAGGAAAATATTAGGTATTACGGGGAAATATAAGGAAATACATTGCAATTTGTGGAAATATAAGGTATTATGAGGAAATATCGGGGTAATATTAGGAAATATCCGGGTATTAGGAAATATTAAGGTATTATTAAGAAATATCGAGGTATCAGGAAATAGCGAGGAAATATTGGGAAATTATCAGCGCATGTAACGTTACGAGCGGACCCAAAAATTCACGATGTCAACTTTAGTATTTGTAAATAACTCCGTAAATAAACTCTAAAGCTTTTATACAAGGTGAGTCCGAAATAAGTGCGCATTTCATTATAGTAGATAGAGTTCAGTGGCACAATCACTTTTTGCATAGGTACTTGTGTCCGCAAACGTCTCGTTGAGAAAATACAAGTGTTGAAATTTTTGGAAAATTTTGACTTTTTGCCTTTAGATTCAAAATGCCTTGAGCGATTTTGTTCAAATTTTCAAAGAGAGTTTGCGATGTTCTCAAGCATCCTTCTTTAAAATTCGTTCGAGTTCCGCTTCTCCTGGACCGGACCTAGAACGACTCTCATTTATTCAACACAGTGTACCTAGCGAACAACGACCTTATCCAGACAATACATTGATTTTGATTTTTTATCTCGTAAACGTCGCATCGCATCGAACAAGAAATACTCCGGATACCTTTTTTGTTTAAAATTAAACAAGGGATCAAAAAATAATTTATAATTTGTCAAAAAACCCATTCGCTCTAGATTTTTTAGAAAAATACTTAAGATGAGCATCGCAAACACTCTCTGAAAACTTGAACAAAATCGCACAAGGCATTTTGAATCTAAAGGCAAAAAGTCTAAATTTTCTGGAAATTTCAACACTGTATTTTCTTAACGAGACGTTTCCGGACAGAATTACCTATGCACAAAGTGATTGTCCTACCTACCATAACAAAATGCGCACTTATTTCGGACTCACCCTGTATACTCCACCGTTCGTCGTTCGTTCAGTAGCCAGTCATATTGAACAATTTTTGTCATGCATGTCATGTGATACAAAATAAAAAATGTGGGTTATGATGCGTTCCTAAAAGACTATATTATAAATGCCCACAGTGCCTCTCAACAGATGACACCAACAGCGACAACGAATAGGAATTTATCAGTTTGTACTTTCCGAATTTTCTCCAGTCTATTTTGTTCCTCAGAGATTACGGTCTTCATCTATTTACGCTGAAATTTAAAGATTTCCTGAAGCCGATCCTGTTCTTTTTATTTTTCTTTCTGTCTTCGATCTTCTTGTTGTTGTGAAAATACTGCAAGCTGCTCCTGTTCGTTGTGTCTTCTTCTTCTAGTTTTTCTTTCAGTCTTTGGGCTTCTTGTTGTTGTAAAAGTGCTGAAGCTGGTCTTGAACCTATTATTTCTCTTTCCGTCTTTGGACTTCTTATTCTAGTCTTTCCTTTTGTCTTTGGTGTTCTTCTTGTCTCTTGTCGTTCAAACTTTTCATGAAGTCCACCAAGATTTGATTAACTTGAGAAAAATAGGGATGTTTAAAAAATTCACTTAAATATAGGTTATTCCATTTAAAAAAATTACTTTTTTGGTCACAGCGCTTTAACGAAAAATCTAATTAAATTTCGAAAAACGTTCTCAAACACCTAGAAACAAAATACACCAAATGGCTATCTTGACTTTTTGAAAAAAAATTTTTTTGCGAAAAGGTAGGGGGTGATCACTTTATACTGGATCACCCTGTACATAGATGCTCTGTATGCTATTATGGGATTTCCCATCAATAAATAAATAAATAAATAAATAAATAAAATAAATAGTGGTTAAAACTATGCCTGAATAACCATTTCTACTTATTACATCACTATCCAATATTAACATCCAAAAATAAATATACTTTACTGGTTGATATTTCCCAAAATGTGTTAAACAGCTGTAAAAGTGTGTAATTCTACAAATGTTTAGTCAATTAGGAAAGATAAATAAACCATAATTCGATAGTGTGCAATAAAATCTTTCATGTCAAATAAATAAATGTTTTCTGGAAAACAAATAAAAATGACAAATTTATTTGAGTCAGCATTGGAATGATGAAGCAATGAAATTGAATAATCACTAAAACAGACTCTTACCTGATATTGAGATCATTGCAAAGAACCAAAAAGTGTTGATAGTCATTAGAGGAATTGGCAAGCAAGTGAAAAACACTGTAACTAGAAGGAAAAGTTTTCTGCAATAAAAAAAAAAACGAGAATTAAAATCACCAAAAAAAAAAACTCAAAATAACTCTTACCTTCCACAGACGTCACTTAGAGCTCCTATAAGGGGCGCGCTCAGAAAGCTCAAGATACCCTTGATGCCCATGATCAGGCCGTTCATAAGGAACGTGTGATCAGGGAATGTGGAATTCAGCACGGAGATGACGGGCATCGTGAGCAGACCCCATGCGAAGAATTCTAGGAATATTACTACTAGGGCATGGTACAGGGAAGGTTTGCCTATACCGGAGGTCTGAAAGATAAAACGAATTTGAATTAAACTGAATTTATTTTAAGAAGCATTTTTGTCAAAATATTTCAAAGTTTCAATTTAAGCTAATTATTTGATAAACGTATTTATACCTATTTCAGATTAAGCTAAACAAATGGACCCTATGAAGAAAAACAATAAGTGAATATGTATTTTGTTCAATTTAGGCAATAAGTATAAATTGGCATTTAATTTATAGGCAGAGGAAATCTCTCAGGAATGTACTTACGAGAAAAAGCCCTTACCCACAATTTCAAAAACTTAGCAGTACACACATGTCTTATTGTTTGATTTTTAGAAATACTACTTGTAGACTCTTTATTTATAGATTCTTTAAGTGACATATTGAAACTTACAAGAACCAGTTAATTCCTAAAGTCAATAATAATTCAAATTTTAAACATTTTGAAGTGAGTAATAAACTAAACATGTTATAGCTGGCAAAACGAGAATCTGTATCGTCTTCTTATCTAGCTAAACCATCACTTGATAAGGCATACAGGTTAATTCCTCCATATGGTTGTTTTATGATCAATTGACACATAGATATTAATTTAATTATGCTTTATAACATACAATAGGTTTAGCCAAAAATTATTGAACTAATTTAAATAAGCTTGACCGCAATATTGTTATACTCACCGGAAACCCAAGATAAAATTTTTTGAACCTCCTAAAATTCAACACATATCTTTTGAAGCAATAATAAAACACTAGCATACACATGGTATAGTCAATTTAGTCATTATTTGTCCAAGAAAGTCTTATTATTTGCACAGACATATTATTTACTGTAAATCGTCTTATTAGTCATTTCTATTGTCTCTAAAGCTAAAGAAAACAAGATTATTTATTTCGAAAACCTCAGACAATTTAAATGATTCAATTAATTTGCTGGCTTTCCATCAAATATTGGAATTAAAAATCTGAAAATTAAGATAAGAGCATATCATTCATAGGCAAATAATGTTAATTCAAGTAACATTAAACAAAAAACTCATGGTTAGGAGAAATTCTTCCAGCAAATGGCTTTTGTTCCTCAAAATACTTTCAAAATTACATTTTATTACTTATTGATTCGATCCCTATATAGTATACATACACCAATATATTTTTTTTTATCACTAGATATAAATTTATTCGCATGTCATGACCCAAAAATCGTGACCAATTTATTATACCATTAGAGATAACATAAAGTGAGCAAACAGTTTTTGATGATACTATTGGTGAATTTTTTGTGAGTAATAGTGGGTACTAATATGAGGTTCAATAACTAGAAATATCATTTTTCCACATTGCAAAGTGACACAGTTTTCAACCAGAGGCCAGTGAATCTGAAATGAGTATCTATTTGAACAACTATTTATTTATCATATAGGTAACTCAGAAATTTCAGGGAAATTTTTTGTGTAATTTTTTCAAAAATTATACATATATGTAAATATGTATTCTCAAATTTTTGCGATAAACACAAAATAAATACGAATTTCGCCTATTTTTAGTTACCTTGCGGCTTAATAACTCATGTTCAGCTAGCTGGCGGGCAAAAAAAAATGTTTCATTTTGTAATCAGGGAAAAAGTATTGCTGGCTCTTTTTCTATAATAATTAGTAGTACTTATCGAAACAATCAGGTTGGTTCATTTATCCTCAGTACCTTAAATTGAGTAGATAACAATGTTAAACCACAGTTACGCAAAAAAAAATTAAGAAAAGGCAGCAAATTCTAATTAATGTATGACCTTAACCTATTTGCATTTTTCTTGAATACAAGGTAAGTTTTGATTTGCAATAACTAAAACAAATAATAACTAGACAGAATATCACAGAAAAACTTGAGTATCATCACCACACATTTGTTTCTACTTTAACCGAATCGCAGACTATTTCAAAGCTCCATTGTTGAGTTTCTAATCTGTACATTATCAATTTCAGATGATAAGTAATTTGGTGATAATAATTATAGGATTTGTGACACATATTGTTTTGGAGCTGGTCATTGTCTACTTTTACTTTTTCAAATTTAATTTGACTAACCTTGTCGACTATTATAAAAAGAAAATATTTGCTTGTCTGTGCAACTAGGCTAGATTGTGCATAGTGAATTAATTGATAATAGTATTTATATCATTCATTGAATCATACAGCCAATAGACAATGATTTCCATTGAGTTTCTTTTCAGTTCCATATGAGTGACAAAATATACAGGGTGTCTCACGGTGGATGGCGTATTAGACGTTTATGGAGAACTAAAAAGCAGATCATTTTGAAAATTTGGCAACCGGGATAAACGAACATGATCTACACTTTAAAAATATTTTTGTTCGTGCGCTGTTGCCGCTTCTACTCTAAACCAGTGGCAACATCGCTATTTTAAATGAAACACCCTGTATGCTATTGCATATTTGGATTCTACGTAAAATTATGAGCAGATTTGATGTGATCCATGATTAAAAATTCCAATTAAATTTATTCCCCGGTTAAATTCAAAGTTGGTGTCCAATGATAGTTTATGAAAATCTAAGATAGGAATGTAAAATCGGTTTTCCTCAAAAATTAACCGTTTAGGTTTTACAGCCTATCAAAGTTGCAAAAAGTCAATTTTCGACTGTCAATATTTCCAAAACAGTTGAACTTAGGTATAAGGTATATCACATGAAATCTGCTCAGAATTTTACGTAGAATCCAAATATGCGATCGCATACAGGGTGTTTCATTTAAAATAGCGATGTCGCCACTGGTTTCGAGTCGAAGCGGCAACACCGCATAAACAAAAATATTTTTAAAGTGTAGAACATGGTCGTTTATCCCGGTTGCCAAATTTTCAAAATGATCTGCTTTTTAGTTCTCCCTTAACGTCTAATACGCCATCCACCGTGGGACACCCTGTATTTAATAAATTTAGTAACTGACAGAACTAAAATTTGGATATAGGTGGACAAAGTATTAATAAAATATCCTCTCGGGAAGAGGGAGCCAATAATTAATTGTATTTTTCTTATCAATCTTTCAACAAGATTCTTTGTGTATCCATTATCAAAGTCAATCTGATAATAATATTTGAGGGTCTTGGGGGAAAATTGAAATTGAGAAGACACTTTAGTTTGGTATCATATAATATAGAGTGGTTGAAATTTGCCAAGGAATTCGTTTATTTGTTTGCACCTCGGTTTCCACATTATTATTAAATTGTTTAAGCAAATATATGTAGGGCAAGTATACCTATAGCTAAAAAATTAAGGGTAGTGCGATAATAGTATATTACAAACCTAGGGACTAAAGTGGCCCTAGAAATAGGGACTAAACTAAAAGAATACTTCTAGTCCCTAAAGTACATAAAGGCTAATCAGTTTTAAAACCCCAATTAGGAGGTAAGTAATTTACTTCCTTTGTGCAATGTTTGCTTCTTTATCTATCAAGGGGTAAACCACCATCCCAGAATTTGTGCAAACAATTCCTCAAAGGGGATTTTTTAAAGCATAATTCCTCAAAATTCCTGCAAATACCTCCAAACCCCTCTCAAATTTCCCACAAATGTCTTACAAATTCCCTAAAAATCCCCATAATTGCTTGTGATAAGAAATTTATTTTTTCTATTTTTATTTGGCTTAGTGAAAATCGAGGTAAAAATACAAGAGCAATTTATCAAATAGGATCGAGAGTATGATTCAAAGTTTTCCTGGAAAACTAGTGAAAGGAGAATTTTGAAACTTTTTGTATGTAAAGAGGAAGGTGAGAAGCTCATTTTCCCGAAATTTAAAATTTTTCCAGATGAAAATAACAACATGAAGAATCTTGGAAATCAACCTACAATAACTGAATCAATTATTGAAAATACAGTCTCACACATTTCAAAGCTTTCCTGGAGAACGAGTGAAGGGACAATTTTGAAACTTTCCGCATGTAAAGAGAAAGGGGAGAAGCTAATCTTCCCAAAATTTTAAATTTTTCTAGTGGAAAATAACAACATGAAGAATATTGGAAATCAACCTACAATAATTGAATAAATTAAAAATACTGTCCCACACAATTCAAAGTTTTTCTTGGAAAACTAGTGAAGGGGAAATTTTGGAACTTTTTGCATGGTAAAAGGAAGGTGAGAAGCTCATTTTCCCAAAATTTAAAATTTTTCCAGTGGAAAATAACAACATGAACAATCTTGGAAAACAACTTACAAAACAGAAATAATTGTTAATACAGTCTCACACAATTCAATTAAGGGAAAATTTTGAAACTTTTTACATGTGAAGAGGAAGATCAGAGGCTCATTTTCCCAATATTTCAAATTTTTCCAGTGGAAAATAACAACATGAAGAATCTTGGAAATCAACTTCCAAAAACTGAATCAATTGAAAATACAGTCTTACACATTTCAAAGTGCTCCTGGAAAATTAGTGAAGAGAAAATTTTGACACTTTTCGCATGTAAAGAGAAAGGAGAGAAGCTCATTTCCCAAAATTTCAAATTTTTCCAGTGGAAAATAACAACATGAGTAATATTCGAGGGAACATTGGAACCTACAATAACTGAATTATTTAAAATACACTCTCACACATTTAGAAGTTTTCCTGGAAAATTAGTGAACGGAAAAATTTGAAACTTTTTACATGTGAAGAGGAAGGTTAGAAGCTCATTTTCTCAAAATTTCAAATTTTTCCAGTGGAAAATAACAACATGAAGAATTTTGGAAATCAGCCTACAAAAACATCGAGAAAAACATTATTGTTTTGAATTTTTTAAATTTGGACCTGTAAGTAAATCATGGAGTGTAATTTTGGGAGAATTTCTTTAATGAAAATAAATGTCCAATGTTCAACACAAAACTAGATTTTCTTTCAAAATTTCCATTTATTATTATACAGTAGAACTTTTCTAACTCGAAATATTCTCTAAATCGAATTTTCTTCACAAACAAATAGGTTTCCACAACCCGAGCCACAACCTCACCATGTAATTATTTTTTCTCCGTAAGTCGAATTTCTTATCCCTATAACTCGAATATTTCTAAAACTAGAACTAAAATTTAGTGGCAACCATGGGGACAACTAAGCATAACTCGAATTTTTTCGGGGAAGCACCTACTGCATTTAGTGCACTTGGGGAAATTACCGATTCTTAGTAACCAGCGGCGACAGATAGACTTGTCTTGGTTTATATAATTTATATGTAACTACTTTTTAGTAATACACACATAATATGTATTCAAATATCCTCAATTTTATGTATTTTTCCATAAATCGAATTTTCCGTAACTCGAAATCGATTTCCTGTCCCTTGAAGATTCGAGTTAGGGAAGTTTCACTGTATATCTTAATAAGAATGTGAACCTTAGTGACGTCATGACCCTACAATTTCCTTTAAATTCCTCATAAATTTCTCACAAATTCCTCCAAATTCTCCATAAATTTTTCCAAATTCCCTATAAATTCCCCAAATTCTCATAAATTCCGATGAGTTCCTTCAAATTCCCCATAAATTCCCCACATATTTGGCAAAGAATTCCTAGGTGGTTCGCCCCTTGTTATCTATATTCTGGCATTCAAAAGTCTGCCAACCGAACATGATTTTAACATTACTCTACAAGTTAAAAAGTAGATACTTTCCAAACATAGCTCAAAAACTTATAGATCGGCTCCCAATTTAAATCCTATTGATAATCTAATCCACCTGAATGCGGTAGAATAGCTAGATTTAACGGTCCGTGAAATTATTGATAACTTGAAAAAGTAGCTGCGATATTGGTTGCATTAAAAACTAAAAACTAATCAGATTATTGTTTTCTTAACACTGCTAATAAATCAGTGTTTCACAAGTGGTTTCTTTCAGGACGTTCCTAAGGTTACATGTATTACAATTTGCAGGTTTTTACCAGATTGCCAAGTAATGCAGACTTGATTCAGGTAGTTAATTTTTCTTATATGTGGTCTCAAAAATATTAGTAAAAAGCAAGTTAATATGTTAAAAAATAGATCTTTTATAGCACTAGTTTGGGTTAGCAGTGGTTTCTATATGCATGAAGCCGAGTATGAAGCAATACTACAACACATTCTTGCTAAATACTTGACAAGGATACACTTTTTCAAGTGTGTGACCTACTGGGCTTAAACTTTGGCCCTCACTTGAGCTAAATCGCTACTCTCGTTACTATTCTACTTACATCAACCCACAATTTAGAATCAAAACTGTAAAACATACTCAACTAACACTCTGAATAAATTGAGGAACAAATAAAAATTTTATTTTTCTAAATTTACCATAGGTAGTAAAATAAGATAAAACAGGTGTATGCACATTAATTTTCATTTATAAATGTTATTAACCTTTGGATTTGCCTAGGTTATTTAGAAATAATGAACAATGTGTTTTGACGTGGGGAAGTCAATAATATTTTAAATACTAAACTATACTCCTGGACAAAATTATCGCACCACTGCTTATGATGCTTATGTGCAGTGGTAGTGCGGTAATTTTGTCCAGGAGTATATTTATGGATTCAAGTTGATTGCATTTTTATTATTTCACCCGAGTGCCTACCTATTTCCTTAAGGAAACTGATTTGTAATTTGAACACAAATGTGTTTTTTTCTCAAGTAAGTGAACTTGCAGGTGGTTTTAAAATGTAAACATTCTTTATTTTCTACTTTACTATTATAGATCCATAATACCTAGGAAACGAAATATGTTAACACACCTATAACAACCTGATCCATAACGCCCGCTTTTGCGGGCGTTATGATCTATAACGCCCGCTTATAATACCTTAAGGTGTTTTTGTTGTTGTTGTTCTATTAATTTGCACTTTACCCTAGGCAGCCACTAAATGTCTGACCGAAAATAATTTTCGGTCTAGCCAGGATTCGAACCCGGTCTACCATCAATGTTTCCCATGTAGTCCAGCGCGTTAACCCACAGGACCACCACCGTTGCCTTGCCTTATGAGATGTTTATAGATATATTAATTTATTTCGTTTCTATGTACAGGTCGCAGGTACAGGTACAGGTCACAGGTACAGGTACATGTCAAAATACAAAACAATATTCTGTCACACAAGTTTAACTGATTTTGTTAAGTACAAATTGATGAAAAAACATTGTGTTGAGTAGAAAATAAAGCATTGTATGCACCACGGGGATTTCAAGATTATAATGCCCTTCAGGCGAAATATATCCCTCGGGCCATAGGCCCTCGGGCTAGTTTCGCCTTCGGGCATTATAATCTACATAATCCCCTTGGTACATAAATAGCTATTACAAACTTCTATTGAGATACATTACAAGCTCAATTACATTAAGTGCTTTTGAAAATGAAAAATTCAAAAGATAAGAAATCAATTGAAAATACTATGATAAGATTCAGCAGCGTGTATGATGAATATTAATTTTTTTCTACAGCTTTCCTTGTTCACCTAAGTAACTGTAATCCTAGGGTACTTTTATCTTGGAACAAGGATGATTAGATAAAAAAAATGTAAGCTAAACAAATACCCTCACAAATAAATTGAAATTACCATAATCAAATCTTTGGACTAAATATTCAAAATAATTCTAGTTGCCCTTGATCTCTGCACATGTGCCATTGAATTAAAACATCAACATAAATTGCATTGATATGACATTGAATTTAAAGCAGTTATTGCTAATAGCTTGAAAAATTATTCTTTCGACCATGCATAAGCATAAGTATTCTATGTATGAGCCAAAATAAATTTTTGGCACTCGATGCTTAGATTTAGAATTTGCTTTACAAAGTTTGTACATTTTAAAATATTGCTTTGCAACAGGTGCTTAAATTGGCAAAGAAACCAATAATGAAAATATACTTTTGAATGGGTCAACACTTTCCGATGATTAGGGATTGGCTGGTTGCCCAAGTTGAAAATTTGTTACCGATCTAAATAGGATTTAATAGAAGGGACCAGATTTGTCTCCTACAAAATAGTCGACATAGAATTTAAAGACAAATTAATTTTTCAAACATTGGATTTATGGATTTTTCTTTCTTTCACAAAAAAACAAACTTGCTCTTTATGTCGATCCTCATTATTATCGCATCGTTGATGGTACTAAAGCAAAGCTTATTCATAGATTTGCTTCTAATGACAAAACACCTTGGATTTGTTTGTACAGAAAGTATACATTTGAAAATGTTTTTTTTTTGTAGGGGCAAAATCAAAATCAGATGGCAGCCAACTTACTGTAACGACTCCATCCTTTGCAATCGACTTTCTCGACCGAATAATGATTCCGGCCACTCGTTTAGAGCGTTTTGGTTTCATCATCTAATAAATTTGCACTAAATACAGTTTATTTAATAAATAGTTTCACTAAAAACAAGGCATTTTTCGTAATTTCTTTAGACAAACAGAGAAAATTATCCCCCACTAACTACCATAACCCTTTCCTTGACAATGACAGTGACAGTGTCAGTTGAGCGATAGTAGAAAGAGTGACAAGAAGAAATAAGCGATTTCCTCTGAGCTGTATTTGAGCTACTCTAAGATTTGAGCCGCTTTCTTTGCGAAATATTTGGTTGCATTGAAATTTGACACTGTTCTAAGCGATCGAATCATACATCCGCTCCGAGTAGATCTGAATCTTCCTCGGAACGGAGAAGCTGCTTTCTTATTATTGCAAAGCTGCTTAAAATCGACTGGAAAGTAGGAGTCGGCGTTGACTCTGTTATGAATGGGGATTGTTTTTCCTCCCTGTAGCATTTGCAGCTTTTAGCTTTCCTCAACGCAATCAATATAGAATAGAGGTCACGCGATTAGAGTAATTGAGCGTCATTCATTACCATTGAACTAAACAAAAACAAACACTCTGGAACGGGCGCACTGCTTTATGCTAGTGTGCCGAATTTTGATATATGCAACCCAGCAACACAGAGGGATTATTGTCTCGCTCGCACTCATTGCGATTAACGTAAAAGAAAGAAGAGCTTCTTCATCTTCCTTACCTCAATGCAATGAACTACAGTGGCTAAATAAGCCTTTACATACAGTGGCGACAATAGAGGTCACGCTGCCATCTTGTTCCCAACCTCTTGTTACTTTTAAATATTAATATATAGGATTTAAATGGACATCTATCATAAAAAATTGAAATCGACGTATTTGATGACCATTATCAGGTCCATCAAATACGTTGTTTACCATGATTTATGATGAATGTTCACCTAAATCCCATATATTCATATTTAAAAGTAACAAGGGGTTGGGAACAAGATGGCGGTGCTTTCAATATAAATATATGGGATTTTAGAACCAATCAAAAATGAGACAGCAATTGTCGCCACTGTGGGTTATAGAGTCACTGTACAATGAACTATAGCTAAAAACTGGAATGCGCACACATTGCCATATCTGCCAAAAAAATGAAGCCATAAGCCATGAAAGACAGAGGCCACAAGAGGGAATGTTGTTTTTTCTGTTGCTCGCTGACATATGACGTTTTCGTATCCCCTCCGCAGCAGCCGCACTAGGCTTCAAGTTCGTCCTTATGTGTTGTGTTAGCATTCCAGTTTTTGGTTATAGTTCATTGCCTCAAATGATACAAACACTTCAAACAGCTGTTCTCAATAGCCGCCATAGTGCAGAGAGAGATGCAAATCCCTCTTGTTTGTTGTCCTTGCAAATCTAGAAGATTCTTAATGGGTCTGTTTCTGCAGAAATCACAAACTACTCATAGCGAATTTCATTGGTTGAAACCTTAGACAAGGAAAGAGAGGGGACTCGTATCACAGCCAATGAACTATAACCAAAAACTGGAATGCTAACACATAAGGACGAACTTGAAGCCTAGTGCGGCTGCTGCGGAGGGGATACCTGTTTTTGTCGCACTCATTATGTTAAATGGCGAAAATTGCTTCCAACACGTATTCCAATTGATGAAACCTGTGAAGGGAAATATGACAAAACTTTCGAAAACGTCATAGGTATGTCAGCGAGCAACAGAAAAAACAACATTCCCTCTTGTGGCATCTGTCTTTCATGGCTTCATTTTTTTGGCAGATATGGCAATGTGTATTCCGCATTTATATATAATAAATATGTTCAAAATACGGCATTGGTGCGGCTAGCCTGTCTATCAAATTAATCTTGAACCACGAATTCGCCGCTCTTTCGCATCTGTATGTAGGTAATCTGTGTCATGAGCGTAAGTTGACATTTCTGGCATAATCACGTGATAAAATGGTTGGATTTTATTGGTAAAATATTCGCAATGCTGGAGATTTTACCAATCAGATAACACCATATTATCACGTGAATACGCCAGAAATGTCAACTTACGCTCATGAGAACTCGCCCTAAAGCCTAGTTAGTACTCATAAGATCTATTTCTGCAGAAATCACAAACCAGTCAGAGTAAATTTCATTGGTTGAAACTAGTTTTCTGACTGTTTTCAACCAATCAAATTCACTCTGACTGGTTTGTGATTACTGCAGAAACAGACCTATAACTGCGAAATTCGCTCTTTTTTGACATTGCTTCGACAATTTGACATTTGATTCACGAATAAAACGTCAAATTGTAGAAGTAATGTCAAAAAAGAGCGAATTTCGCTGTTATGAGTACTAAGGCTTTACGGTTCTTGTTAAGTTCCTATACTCCTGTCTCAAAATAATACCACCCCAAGGTCCAGCTGAGGGACAGGTTAAAAACGGGTATAAAAATGCCAAAATAATGCCATCCAGTGCTTTTTATGTCGAAAACTCGTCAAAAAATGCCAAAATAATGTAAATTTTGATTATAAAGACCCTGAGTAAATTGTCGAAGAGGCGAAGTCATCCATACTGGGATATAGTGTCCGTAAAGCTCAGACACCTCAATTTTGATTTTGAGTGGCGCCAGTGGTGGCGCTGTATTGAATTTATACAAGGTGACCCAAAAAAGAGATATCACGTGGCACTTCAAATTTTTAAATGGAATGCCCTGTAGCTGTATATTTTGGAGAATATTGATAGAGCGCCTCAAGCTGAATTGTCACTCTATCGATATTCATCAAAATATACAGGGCATTTTATTTAAAAAAATTGAAGTGTCGTGTGATGTCTCTTTTTTAAGTCACCTTGTATAAATACAAATTAGTTCAAAAACATCGTCAGTAAAAATTAAGATTGACGAGTATCCGAGCGTTTTTCCATAGAAAAAATATGATATGAATGAATTTATCCGTTACTTTTCGGTCACACTGTATACCATTCCACTTTTGGAACTGGTAGAACTCCGGAACTGATTCTAGTTGAACCGCAAATAAAGAAAAAAACTGTACTGTATCATTTTAGTGTTCAGAGAGGGAACGACATAATTTAACCTGTGCACGCGGAGAGTTTCGAATCAGTTCTAAAGGCCGGAACACATCTATCATGCATTATTCCGATCCGACTCCGATCATACAATCAAGCTCCTCATTCTGGGAACAGGGGAGCAGCGGAACACTCGTTCGGATGATGATCGGAGTCGGATCGGAAGAATGCATGATAGATGTGTCCCTGGCTTAATTCTTACCGCAGAATCGATCCGGAAATGGAATTGATCAATAGCGATTTCCATTTGTCGAACCAGTGCGAAAAAATGTATCCTTATCCTTACATGTTATATGCGTTTAGGAAAAGATGCGGATACACTCAGTGCGCACTGACTAGCAAATGGAAATCACCAGATGAACCGCGAACAAAGAACTAAAATATAAATTTAGAACTGTTAGAACTATGTAGTTCAGTCAAAATCGATCCGGAACTGATTCTAGTAGAACCGTGAACTAGAACTGTAACTTTTTTGTTTTCTCAGTGATCAAAACAGGCGGAGGAAAGAGCCATAAGGTTTGCTGCGGGTATAACAGAGACAGGCAAAATGACGAGAGGAATTAATTAAATTTCTACAAAAAAAAAACTAGATAATTTTTGGGATTCTGGTTTGTGCTATTGTATTGCTAAAACACATAAGATTGGCGCTAAATAAAAAAGACACCATAAATTGATTAATTTTCTCGTTTTTTTTCCAGTTTGAATTACATTTTTGTAATTTTTCGAGAACTCGTTTCTAGTACCGGATTTCTAAAAAGATAGCGCCATTCGTCCCTATATTATAAATCGAATGCAAAAAAGAAATTTGATATAACTTCAACTGCTAAAAAGTTATGTTGAAATTAAGAACGCAATGCATTCCTTGTTTCATTCATCTCATTCCCACTAAGAAGTATTAATAGGGGAGGAAGAATACAATGATAGACTGCGTTAGGTGCTTCGCGCAGGAAAAAATATTTTTGCATTGAGGCGCATTCAATCCCCTTAAGGGTGCAGTTAGTGGTTAGATCTCTAAGTGACAAATGTGTAAGTCTTGAACCAAGATATCTGTTTATCTAAGAATAAAACTGCTTATCAGAAGAAGCTAGCAATGTGCGCACTGACTAGCAAATGGAAATCACCAGATGAACCGCGAACAAAGAACTAAAATATAAATTTAGAACTGTTAGAACTATGTAGTTCAGTCAAAATCGATCCGGAACTGATTCTAGTAGAACCGTGAACTAGAACTGTAACTTTTTTGTTTTCTCAGTGATCAGAGCAAGACGACAAATATTGAACTGCGCATGCGAATAGATTCTAATTTCGAATCACTTCTTACTTTTTAAATTTTAGGTTATGTGATTTCAAAAACTTTTTTTGAAAAATTTATAATTTAAGTATTATTATGGCTTTGTCACCAGCAGCAAAAAAAGTGTGTTTACTTGCGGGTGTCGCCTTAACATTACACGCTAGTTTTCTAATGTTAAAACCTATAATTTTGCCTGAAAAGAAGGAAGACAGCAGTGGCAAAGTATTGGAAAAACTGAGAAACATTTAAAAATAGCTAGGTAGTTTATGTACACTGTGAAAATCTAATAAATTATTGTATTATTTATCTCAAGGTAAGTTAGAGATTTCTTTGCTTATTTGTCTTTGAAAACTACTATTGGTAATTATTTTCAGAAAAACTTTCTTTGAGCTCAGCATTCAAAACTCTCAACAACTACAATTGATTATCACGTGAATTTGCAGCATTCTAATGCTGCTTATTAAATATTGTATAGTCTGTGATTAAAATTACTGGCAGTGACTCATCCATCACATAGAGTGGAGTCGGTTATGACTGTGAGACGTCTGGGGGTAATCATTCCAGTGGCGTGCATATCTAATCCATAACTACGCTAGTAATCTTGATCACAGACTCTACATAGGTATATAGGTAGGCTAATAGCAAAGACAATATTATTAGTAATGTTAAAACATAGTTAGGGCTAAAAACTGTATATTATTATTTAAAATAAATTTTCACTTTTATGAATCTTTCAAACCTCACTTTACTTCTTAAAATAAAAAGTGAACAGAAATGCAATGACTATGGGAAGACCTTCGTTTCAACAAGGGTACTTCAAAATATTACCTTGCATTTTTTGGGAATTACACCTCAATTGAAATGTAAGTCCCAAAAAATCCAAGGTAATATTATAAATCCACCTCAAATATACAGACATTTGTTAAGGGTACTTCAACACTGTCAAACTGTCTGTGACCAAAAGTACTGGCAGTGCAGTGACTCATTCCTCACATATAGAGCGGCACAAGTTGCGAGCTGTGGTCAGTGGTGTGTATATCTAATTGACCCTAATTAATAGCCTTTATTTAATTGGCCGCCTAGTCGTTATTGTGTGTGGCTTATATGAGTCACTGACAGTAATTTTGATCATAGACTATACATACAATATTGATTTATTTCACAAATTATTATTTGCTACCTGTCAAACACAAAACATTAACAGTAAGGTTCCTAAGCATTTTTCAACAGTTTGCAATGGCCTACCTCGTGGTCTACTCCAAATTTTAGGTCCTGTATTGTGTTTGAGTAGGTACAGTCAAAATCAAAATCCCCTGTATTAAGTCAAAATTCTAGCCAATAAATCTATTTAGTGCAGCATTTTGCTATTACTGTGTGTCAGATTTGACACATTACGAGGGATATTTACATAGTGTGTGCCAATTGCAATGATTTCCACTGTACCTACTAACTCATGGATTTGATGCAAGTTCCGATACTTACACCAAAACCAACCCATTCAAAAAACTTAAATCTGCCTATGTGGAAATCTCTTTTTGGTATACCAATTTGAATTCCACTCGGAATTCCATAATGACAAAGATCGACGGATGGAAGGCAAATGTCCAAATGTTCTCACCAACTATTATTTTGATAACAGAAACATGGCTGCATGAGATCATGCCTAAACTGCAAACCAGTATGGAAGACAACCTGAAACTTATAAAGGTAATAGAACAAGCATACAACACTGGCATATCTACTTTCAACTACACTGGAAAACATATTAACAGTCAATCCCACAAATCCATGTAGCTCAGATTTCATAACTGCTTGCAGAGAAATCAATGCCTTTCACTATTTAAACTTTTCAAGCAGAATAAGAAGAAGTGGACAGTCTCTACTTGATCTGATGATATTATTCAGACACAAGAGGCTTTCTTTTGATGTATTACAGCATCCACCAATTGGACTAATTGACCATGTGGTCATAACCCAAATCCAAGTTACTCCAAAACCAACAAATAAAATATATAAGAGGAGATTTTGGTCTACGACTAGAACAACAAAAACCAGAATAACTTCCTCAAAGCCAAGATAAAACAGTCAAGAACAAAAATTGCTAGCTTCTTCTGATAAGCAGTTTTATTCTTAGATAAACAGATATCTTGGTTCAAGACTTACACATTTGTCACTTAGAGATCTAACCACTAACTGCACCCTTAAGGGGATTGAATGCGCCTCAATGCAAAAATATTTTTTCCTGCGCGAAGCACCTAACGCAGTCTATCATTGTATTCTTCCTCCCCTATTAATACTTCTTAGTGGGAATGAGATGAATGAAACAAGGAATGCATTGCGTTCTTAATTTCAACATAACTTTTTAGCAGTTGAAGTTATATCAAATTTCTTTTTTGCATTCGATTTATAATATAGGGACGAATGGCGCTATCTTTTTAGAAATCCGGTACTAGAAACGAGTTCTCGAAAAATTACAAAAATGTAATTCAAACTGGAAAAAAAACGAGAAAATTAATCAATTTATGGTGTCTTTTTTATTTAGCGCCAATCTTATGTGTTTTAGCAATACAATAGCACAAACCAGAATCCCAAAAATTATCTAGTTTTTTTTTTGTAGAAATTTAATTAATTCCTCTCGTCATTTTGCCTGTCTCTGTTATACCCGCAGCAAACCTTATGGCTCTTTCCTCCGCCTGTTTTGCGATAAATTTTAAATCGCTATCATGAAGGATCCAGCGCCAACCGGCCCAACAGTAGCCCAATGCAATAATCGCGATGAACCTCGCATCTTTATTAGTATTAACTTGTTGGGTAGTCGTATAGTTTGATGTGCGTTACAATATATTTTAAACGGCGCATTCAATACCCTTAATACTTAATGATGAGAAAGAATTTGCCAATCTGCCACACAGTTTCAGAGTGGTTTTACCAGAGAAGATTTAAGCCATATGCCCAACTTGGACCCTGATACATTCTGTGCTAATTCACTTGAAATTGTAACTTTCACACCTGAGAAATTGGATATTGCACTGAAGCCAGATTCTAGTCCAGGAAAGGATAAAATCCCTGCCATCTTCCTGAACAAGTGTGCTACAGTTCTGTTACATCCCCTCCCAGCCATGATCATCAATCTTTTTAGGCAAGGCAAACTACCAAGGGAATGGAAGAATGCAATTGTAGTGGCTATTTACAAGAAAGGCAACAAACACCTGTCTGAAAACTACAGACTGGATTTTTGTTCAGAAATGGCATCATCCCACCTTCCCAACACTGGTTCCTTCCTGGAAGGTCCTCTTTCACGAACCTGCTTACCAAGGTTCATGACTCGGTTCATGACTGACAAGGGCAGATGACTCTGGCCTGTCTGTTGATGTATTTTACCTGGATTTTGACAAGGTACCATTTAGGCGGCTTCTTCATATACTCCAATATGGTATAAGACGACTCTCGAGAGGACTTCTACTCAACCTAATCCAAGATTTTCTACAGGATCGACAGTTCTGTGTCAGGATCCCCAAGGCTCAGTCCTTGGCACTCTACTCTTCTTTGTATACATAAGTGACCTGCCAAATGGATTGAGGAGTCAAATGTCGTTATTTGTGAATGAAAGTTTGAAAGTTAGTTGTTATAGTAATCCTGTAACGCAGAATGAAAGCCGCCCAGGGGGAAATAGATGTCATCAAATAGTGGAAAACCACCTGGCAAATGTCACTGAATGACTCCAAGTGTTCAATTCTCTACCTGAGCAAAAACAACCGCAGGATGCAATACTTCATTGGATCTACCCAGGTAATCTGTGTTGCTGAACAAAATGATTTTGGAATTGTTGTTATTGAAGACATGGAAAAACCTCGGGAAAAACCATATCAGTGGCATCATAAAAAAGTCAAACTCCAACATGTAGGTAACTGATTTCTGGCACTTGAATATCTGATATATCAAATGTTTGTAAAGCTGTACAAGGCTTACAAAAGACCCAGGCTGGAGTATGCCCAAAGCATATGGAGTCCTTATTATGTCAAAGGCATTGAAGCCCTTAGAAAAGTCCAACGCAGAGCAACAAAAATTCCCTCAGCTCTTTGTGACTTTCCATACCAACAAAGATTGCAGGGGCTGAACCTTCTTACACTTTATGAGCGACAAACGCGTGGGGATATAGTGGAGACATTCAATATAATTAGTGGACATTATAAGTGCCAATTGAGTGTGTTTGAGTTTAGTGAAAGCCAGCATCTAAGGGGTATAATAAGAAACTCTGTAAGGAAAGATGTGCCAGGCTTTTGCATAGGTATTTGTTATCCAATCGAGTAGTCTTTAATTGGATTCGACTCGGTTGAGACACTGTAAGTGCTTCTTAAGTCAACCTGTTCCTATTTAAAAACAGCCTGGACAGTGAAATGGCTGAATAGACAAGATCATTTGTGCACTATAGCAATTAATATATGTATAAATAGACATTACATTTTAACAGTGCTAGGATAGTAATTGACTCAATACAATAGTCTCATCGGTTTATTTTTACCGCTCACTAGTGTTAACTAATAGACTAACGACTAAAGTTCTCAAAAATAAAAATCAAATGGGTTCAGGTCTTAATTTTTTGTGTCCAAAGAAATTCACCTTTTCCAATTCAAGGTTGAGGACTAACAGGAGGACTCATCACTTTCCTGCATCTTAATTAAACTACATTCTATAAACCAAATATACAAATCACATAATTTTCCCTCAAATATTTCTCTTGTTCCATGGTAAAATGTGGGCGAAATATCAAAAACATTTTTTTTATATAACTTTTATTTATTCACAGGTTTTTTCTCTCGTACTTATGCCTAACCCTAACAATAAGTTAAAATTTAGAAATTTTTAATTGTACATAATAACAAAACAGCAAATTTCATCATAAAAAATGGATGAAAACACAACACATTGCTAAAAGCAAGCAAATTATAACATTTTATTCTCAACGTTTTATCAGTTTTAAAACTTATATTCACTCGATTAGGTATTAAGTACATAATTTGAAAATAAAAAATGATTCCTTGTTAAATGGTTATCAACTTGTAGAAGTGGTATTATAATTTAGTAATAATTAATTGAACATTAACTGTGTCTGCACTTACAGATTCCTTTAAATTAATAGTAAAAATTCAAAATAGTAACATCAGATTGTCGAATGATTTTATCGAGGAACAAAAACTTGGTTTTCTCTGTTTAAATTAAATTAACTTTTGCCTACCTATACTTGCTGAACCCTGTAGAATAATCTGCGTATGTCCTTACTTCTCTATCATCTAATATCAAAATTTTCTATTTAAAAAAGTTCTTATCTGAGTACAATATAGATTAAAGGGGAACATTCTTAATAGAAAATAAAGAATTGAGTTCGTTCTAATTAATAAACTTTGTGGACCATCTAAAATTACCTCTGACTTCATCAGAGTCTAAGAGCCATCTAAGCTTGCTTTATGGAAAAACTGAATGGTCCACCCTGGTATTGTTTCATTTAAATTAAAGGCAGCCCATTGTTATCGGGATTTTAAGTCATTGGATTATACTAACTAAATATAAAACAAATATTTTCTAGTTAAAGTAAAGCTTCATAAGAAACTTGGGGCAACAGCATATTCCCTTTAGAATGAGTCTTTTAATTTATAAATACTCGACTATATCACACTTAATACTTATATTAGGACACGACCGTCCAAAGGAAAGATCTATATTATGTTGACTCTTATTCCTTTCCGTTAATAGTTTTTGAAAAATGGGCAATATCTCCCTATCCAATAGCTCCCCTTCAGAAGTAGCATTGTACATTGACTTATCCCTTTTAGGTGGATGGGTGCTGGACTTAAGGGCCGCTGCCACATTGGGCGTACTGGTAAAATAACCCAATTTTTGACATTGCAAGTTACTTAAATTATTATCAGGAGGCGGTGGAGGCGTGGTAGTTTTTGATGGCGATTTTTCGCGTTTCTCTTTTTGAGAACCGTGTCGGTTTCGTTCGGAGGTCGTACGATGTATATGAGCTTCATCTAAATAGAAAAAATAAATCAGTTTTGTAAAATGTGTGAAACAATCTCTGACAAACATCTACCTTCGTCTGGTTGCGATATACTAACTCTGCTACTTTTTTGATGTGCCTTTTGACATCTATGCTGACTACCGGTGTCCCAAAGTTCACTTTTAGCTACTACATGAGTGCCACACTCGGATTTTTTCTTCGGAGTGCCTCGTGCATTAGGTTGAATACTCGTACGTCTATGGCATGGTACTTCTGCAAGGAAACCGGTGACGGGAGACAGATATTGTGCTTTGGTGGTGTTTTGTGTAACTTTCCGATATTACTTTTAGTGTGGTGTACAAGACAACTGTGTTCCTCTACGTGTGTATTTTTAGTGTTATTTTTTTTGCTATTCTTACCTTTAATAATGTCCTCTTCAACAATATTTCCAGTATTCTTTATGCTACTTCGCCTTTTTTCTTGAACCTCTAAGGAGTCTACAGCTCCAACAGTTCTAGACGCTCTTCGTTCATGTGTTGGCGTTTTTCTCTCCTGCCGTTTCAATGTGGAATCCTTTTCTTTTTCAATCAGTTGCTGACTTGGAAAATACTTTATTTGGGTATCGCATCTTTGTATCTCAATCTTTTCAGCGATTGATACTACTTTATTGGGTTCCTTAACGCTATTATAATTGCTATCCACTTTTATATTGCTTTCTTTTTGAAGAGTATTATCCACTTTAATGTTACTGTCGACTTTGACAGTGCTGGCAGTTTTAGAAACACTTCCATTGGCTTGTTGTTGAGACTGTTGTTTCAACGTTGTTGATTGTAGTTTATATTGATCTTCTTCTTTGGGTTTGGGAGGACTATGAGTTTTCTTTGGAGATATTTCATTGGCTGGTAGCTGTTTCTTCTTTCTAGAAAAGATGACCGATTTGTTGAGTATACCTAATCTGAGTAAATGAAATCAACTTACTTCTGACTATCAGAATGATGTAAGGAGGTATAATCGGCTTGCGAACTAAGGCTGCACAGTGACGTGAGATCGCTAGTTTCGGTGGCACTTGGCATTTCTCTTCTTAATAGAGGCACGGATAAACGATTTGTTTCTGTCATAGAGTCTTCGGTTTTTTGTTCTAGGATGTCTTTGGCTTCGTTTCCTAGTTGTCTTATCAGCATCTAGAGAATAATCATATGAATTAATGAATTTGATTGTATAAGTATAAGATATGAAAGAGTTAGTTTAGATTTGAAGCAAATGCTCAATAAAGCAATCGCCTGTATGATTTCTTCACTCTACAGAAAAATTCCCGGTCCTCCTAGGAGGGGGTTAAGGCGATAGACCTGCACTCTGTCACTTGTAAAATTGATCATCCATGCAAAATTTCTTACGAAGTGATGAGAGGATCTGAATGCGCATCAGAGCACCATGTACTGCTTGGAAACGACAAGCAGGTAACAACAGAAGAGTCCTATATCAAATATAATCAGGAAAGCCTTAACGATGACTCAACAAAAGCTGCGTATACGAAATGGCCAGAAACAAAGACTCGCGATGATCGAGAAAGATACGTCAACAAAAAAAAAGTCCACTCAAGCACAGACCAAAAGAGCAAAAAATGACGTCATGTGACCAAGTCAATAGAAGCTTGGGAAATCCGCGAGTAAACAAAGCGTGGAAACTTCTAGAGAGCATGAGAAGGGAGAACACTGATTCAGTGGGCATTAACCTCATAGACATTAAAAAATGGAAAAACCACTACAAAGATATACTAACAGAAGATAGGCCACAATTTCTTAAACTGATGATATTGAAAATGACGAGATATACGCCTGGATACCTAAATATACCAAAATATCGAACTCTTATTTAAAGCCTCCCCAGTAAAACTAATGAATAAGATCCTTTCGAAGATCTTCACCAAATGTCTTCGACGAGAACAATCGCCACTAGACTGGAGGGAAGAACAGATTGGACTGTAAAAACGAGAGGGATCACCGTCACAAGCTCAGTAGCCAGATTAAATCGACGTATTCTGAAAAACAGAATAGAAATCGAGTTCCAAGATTCAGAGGAACAAAATGGTTTAAGGGCAGCACGTTATTGTATAGATGCAATGTTTACTCTTCAAAATCTTATCGAAAAAAGAATAGAAAGAAGTAGACAAGTTCGCATCTGACTTTGATGGACTTACAGAAGGTGTATGACACAGACAGTGCCACTAAGTTATGGCCAGCAATGCTTCTAAATGGGACAAGCAATTCATATGTAGATACTGTCAAAGCTCTGTACACCAATATATACAACTCAGACAAACAAGATCGACAACTTTCTGAAAAGTTCCCAGCAACAAAACAAAACGTCTTAGGCAAGGCTGCTCTCTTGCTCCACTGCTTTTAAGAAATTTATATTGACAGTGCCCCAAAATCTTCGAACAGGAAATGTAGCGGCAGAAATTTTCTATCGAATTTGGCTTTGCAAGTATTACATGCGGAAGGATAAACATCTGAGTGTGTTAACATGTGATCCTTTAAATAGAATTTTCGTTTAAATTTTGCTTTGCAAGTGTCACATCCAAAAAAATAAATATCTGAATGTTTGTGACTCTTCAAATCGAATTCTCGTTTAAATTTTGCTTTGCAAGTATTACATGCGAAAGAATAAACATCTGAGTGTGTTAACATGTGATTTTTTAAATTGGATTTTCGTTTGAGTTTTGCTTTGCAAGTATTACACGTGAAAGGATAAATATCCTGAGTGTGTTAACATGTGAGCCTTTAAATTGAATTTTTGTTTAACTTTTGTTTTGCAAGTGTCACATTCAAAAGGATAAGTATCCGAATGTGTTAGTTTGTGACTCTTCAAACGAATTCTCGTTTAAATTTTGGTTGCAAGTATTACATGCGAAAGGATAAACATCTGAGTGTGTTAACAAGACGTGATTCTTTATTAGGTATTTTCTTTCACAAGTATGCGAAACGACAAATATCTGAGTGTGTTAACATGTGATCCTTTGAATCAGATTTTTTTTTGAATTTTGCTTTGCAAGTATTACATCCGAAAGGATAATTAAGTATCTCAGTGTGTTGACATGAGATCCTTAAATTGAATTTTTGTTTAAATTTTGCTTTGCAAGTGTCACATTCAAAAGGAAAAATATCCGAATGTGTTAGTTTGTGACTGTCCAAATCGAATTCTCGTTTAAATTTTGCTTTGCAAGTATCACATGCGAAAGGATAAAGATCTCTGGAGTATGTTAACATGTGATTTTTCAAATTGGATTTTGGTTTTAATTTTGCTTTGCAAGTATTACATTAATCACGTGTCTACAACACGACACTTTGTTTTTAAAAATAATACAATTATTATAATACGTTGTTAGCAATAAGAAAGCGTAGCTCTGACTCATTATTGTGAGAGCGAAACAAGCTTAAATGAATATAATATGCTGCGTAAGCGAAAGTAGAATAAAATATCTAGTAATATTGTCCTAAAGGGAGTATCATCTAACTCATGCGAAAGGATAAATATCTGAGTGTGTCAACATGTGACGCTTTAAATTGAATTTTTGTTTAAATTTTGCTTTGCAAGTGTCACACTCAAAGGATCAATATCGGAATGTGTTAATTTGTGTTTCTTCAAATCGAATTTTCGTTTAAATTTTGCTTACAAGTATTATATGCGAAAGGATAAACATCTGAGTGTGTTAACATGTGATTCTTTAAATTGGATTTTCGTTTGAATTTTGCTTTGCAAGTATTACATTTGAAAGGATAAATGTCTGAGTGTGTTAACATGTGACCCTTTAAATTAAATTTTTATTTAAATTTTACTTTGCAAGTATCACATTCAAAAGGATAAATATTAGAATGTGTTAGTTTGTGACTCTTCAATTCGGATTGCTGTTTAAATTTTGCTTTGCAAGTATTACATGCGAAAGGATAGACATCTGAGTGTGTTGACATTTCTGTGCCACTTCCAAAAATGGTTTAACTCTGCTTTTTGCTGACGAACAGATAGTCATAGCTGAAGATGAAGATGACTAGAGTTACATGCTGTGAAAACTCCAACAAGAATATGAAAACTGGGGACTTAACAATAAATATAAAGAACACGGAGAATATGGCAGTTAACGACGACTTAGATCTATAGGACATTGTGTGGTGAAGAACTGCCCTTTGTTCAAATATCTTGATGTTACCCTTTCTTCCAATGGTAAAAGCACCTTAGACATCTCGAATAAAGTTGTAGAGTTATTCCCCAACTTAATTCCTTATTATGAAGCAACAAAACGAAATGAAACAATAAAATAATATAGATATTATAACATTGTTGAAACTTTAATTACGTATCGCTCAGAAACCTGGGAATTAACAAAAAGAGACAGAGAAAACCTCTTGGCTGTGGAAATGGATTACTGGAAAAGAAGCAGCAGAATATCCAGACTAGATCATATTCGAAATGAAGAAATAAGATGATCGATGAAAGTAGATGAAACTATTATAGTCACAATTGAATCCAAAAGACTCACAAGGCCATTTCGAAAGAATGGACATAAACCGGTGGCCAAAGAAAATTTGGGTTCGATCCTACCAGAGCGCAGAAAGCGCAGTAGACCACCAAGAAGCTGAAAAAATTACGTCATGGAGGCCATGGGAAAAAGAAGCATTCAATAAGAAGACTGGTGGAACCGAAACCTCTATAAACCTACGAGTATATATAGGTATATTATTTATTGAACAACCAATGGGCGAAATATACAATTGCAAATTGAAAGTGATCATTTACCAAAATATATCTGACTGCAATAAGGCGTAATTTACCTCCTGCAAATGTTAAAAGAGATTTTGTTTTCCAAACAATGGGCAATGGCCGCAGCATCTGAACTTGTCAAATTAATGTAAAATTTTACCTGTAATTCACTTTCCCTGTCCAACAAAGTTTTCTTATACTTCGTATTCAATTCCTTCAAGTCCTTCATTTTCGTCTCTATTTCTGACATGCTGGAGTCTCGTCTGGTTTTAGACCCAATAGGTCTCAACGTGGCCCGAATCCTTTTATCCACACTACCACCGGCATCTTTACGGAGTTCCAACATTTTAGGAACAAACACAAGGCATAACGTAATCGTGGTACAAAATATAATGAAAGAACTTATAAGTAAAAACATTTCGTCTTGATGATCTACCAGGGCTAGTGCAACTGCAGCACCCAGAATGCACATGATCACAACGTTGTAAACTGAAAAACCAACGTATCTTGAGTCGTTTAGTGCTGGTATGGATACGTGACGAGTCTCCCAAGCTAAGAAAGCTCCAAATATCTACAAATAATTAGTAATAATATGTATTTTAAGCAAGACAATATAATTACCATTAAAAGTCCTTTATAAACATAAATAGATGAAATAAATATCGTCATGCGGCTAGAAGTACAATATTCGTTTTCTGGAATGATTATTTCGTCTTCATTAGACGGGTGAGGCTAAGAAGGGCAATTAAAATTCAAATTGAAGATCATCAGATTATACTAAATCGCACCTGTACTTACATAAGGTTCCCCTCTTTTTGTTTCCCTATAAAAAGGATCGGCAACTTGCCAAGTAGTCATAATCACAACGTCAATACACAAGAGCACTCCCACCACCATAAATAATTGATAATCTTTTATTACTTTTTTATTGAGCTTTACGTCAGTGAATATTGAGTGGACTCTCCATGTTTTACTAAACATTGAACCGAAGGCCAGAGAAAAACCAGCCATCAGCGTCCAAGCTCTGGCAGTGCATATATATGGAAAGGCCTCTGGAATTTGATAGTATATTAGATTCAATATAAAAAGTGTTTAGTGCTTTTGTTACCGATGCTTGATAATCCAGAATCTAATCCCAAAAATATAATACTTGTATAAGTAATCATACATCCAATAATAATAAGGTTGTTTAATTGAGGACTGGACATTTTAATATATCTTTGATTCCTATACTTGATATTAAAGGCCAAGAAGAACGCAGCAATAAATATACCCAAAATAGCTAGAGTAGCTAATATAGCATAAACCGATTTATTGACTCTAGTATGCTCTATAATCAGCACAGTCCTGTCTTTGGGAGGATATTTTCCAGTCCACTTCAAAGGTACTCCTAGTGTCAAATCTAAATGTTGTATGGCAGCACTATATTCACCCACTTTGACTTCTTGACCGTCTTGAAATTGTTTCAGTAAAATACTGGCTTTGCGTTCGTTGTCATAGAATCTTACTGGACCGGTAACACCTTCAAAGCTAGTATTATTTAGAGCATCTAAGAACAAGCTTTCCCATAATGGGTCTCTATAGCGAAAGTCGGTAACTGTTTGGTTTCTGCGGAAATATTTAATTTTATGAGCTACATTTTGTATAGCTAAAGCCACAGCCCAAATTCCGTCGTATGTGTAACCGTGAAAACGGGAATATTCATTTCCTCTTCTAGAGTCGTATTCGATTTTGTATTCGTCTGCAGTCTAGTAATAAAATTAAAGTGATTTAAAAGGCATTAAGTGCAAGTTGAGATCTTACAATTCCTGAGATTGTTATCTCGCCACTAGTGCTCAGTGGGAGCAAATCGGTTAAAACGATTTGTTCCAGAGAAGTTTCCAACTCGTCTAGGGTGCAATTTACGTAGTCGTCGTATTTTTTCCACCATTCGTAACTGTAAGTGCCCATTATGAGCCACTGGTACTTTCTACCGTACATTTCGAGTTTGTACGCTTCGCAGAAGATTTGTTTCGCCCATTTTTCGTTAAAATTACCTGAAAGAGAACACATATATTTCACTATATTTAACTGTCTGAGAAGGGCGGTGTGATGTCTATTTAGTGAAAAAATACACTGATCAAAACGAAAAAGGAGCCACTTCTGGATATGTTCGTAGTTTTTTATGAAATTATTTTATATTTTTATTTAAATATAATATGTATATCTGTTCCAACACGTCAAAAACCATCCTATGATTCCTATGAACGGTTTGGGAACCACTCTGTATACGAATTCCGGATTCTATGCACCAATTTAAGATTTTGTGCTGAAATTTTGATTTGGCGTTTTTTTTTTTTTCATTTAGGAATCATTGTAAGGTTTTTATAAAAATATAGTTTATAATACATATATAGGTATCTACTTAATCCAGCGAGTCGGATTATGACTTAAATAATTATTTTGCATAAACAGTCAGTAAATGACTTAGGAGTGTTGTAATGTATAAACCTATAAGTTATTAAGAAAAGTAGAAGTAGGGCGTTTTTTTTTGTATGGATATTTCCTGGTCCGTAGTAATCTAATTTGAACGGATGTGAAATAATTGAGTTGGGAAAAATAGAAGTGGCTGTCAGACATAAAAAGATATTTGCTTATTTTAATTTTGGTTTAAAGTATAATAAAATATAATTTTGTAAACCTCAAGAGCTTGTTTCTCTCTTTTGCGAATAGTCCCCCTCCACAATTTTATAGGTAGCCGCTCAAGGAAATAAACACCATCAATATACCGCTCGCCATTTACCATCTAACTAATTAAATAGAGTACTTGAGCGCGTTTTGCTACATTCTATTTGTATTTGAATGAAACACGAAAATGTATATTGAAGTCCTATTACATAATTAGGCAAGATAGAAATGATTGGTACGCTGGTGTGGTAATGCTCGTCGATTTTTAACTGACACTTTCCGCATGAGGAGCGAGGGGGTGTTTCATATGGCAAAAACAGGTGTGACGTCAGGTAACCATTGGCGTTCTAATGTAGAAAGCCACCAGCTCACATTCCGTCCGAGTATCAGATGAAAATCGACGGACAATACCTGCATCAAAAAAAATATACAATTTGAGCAAATTAAAGTTTTTCATTCGGAAACTTTTCAATACATCATAATTCAAGTGGGTTATATTTTTACAAAAAATGTTTATGCCAGTAGAGATACTCCAGTAGATGAAAATCTTCTTAGTAACCTTTATATTCACAATGAATCTCAAAACAGCGTATTGATGGGCGATCTGAATTCTACCAGCCACAGAAGTCCTGTTAATAAGGGGGGTAGAATTATAAGTGAATTTGTATTTGATAAAGATCTTGTTATAATGAATAATGGAGCCGCTACCCTTATGCAGAATCCGACTCGCAATCTCAGTGCTGTGGACCTAGCAATTCTCAACGGCGGATTGGCAATCAAATCCACATGGGACGTCCTAAAGGACTGTGGTAATAGAGTGATCATTATCCAACTGTATTGAAAGTCAACGTGAAGGATAACAATAATTTTAGAAAAACCTTTTATCCAGGATTTCGAAGAAGAAACTTTGACAGGGCTGATTGGAAAGGTTACCATGATAGGATTGCTTCTTATATTGACACGTCAAATGTCAACATAGGGTATGAGGATATTGTTAACATAATGAACTTGGTAGCGGAAGAATCCATTCCCATTCCATATAGGAACTGTGGAATACTCAAAGTGGCTGGCAACCCCTGGTGGGGCGAAGAATGTTCCGGATGAATTCAGAACAGAAAGAGATGCTCTAGGAAAATTTAATGATCATCCTTCAATTAAAAATTTCATTTTAGTGAAAAGAGAAATGGCAGTGGTAAAGAGAAATTTAAAAAAGAAAAAAAGAGAAAAATTTGTCACTTTCTGTGAATCCTTGAATAGAAACTCAAGTACTAGTTACGTTTGGAACAAAATTTAAAAAATTCTCCCAACATTCACAAAATAATAACCTTTGATGATGAATTGAAACTGTACGTTTTACAAAATATGGCTAGTATCAATATTGACCCTGAATTTACAATGGTCTCCCTTAATGATGTGAACAATATTAAGTTATTTTCCCTGCAAGAAATGGAATCTGCCTTAAGGAACAAAAAACTATCAGCACCAGGCTTTGATGACATCACCTACCTGATGTTCAGGAATTTACCCCTAAAAAAGGCAAATTGATTCTCTTATTTAACAAAAACCTAATGGGAGAAAAGATCCCACAATCCTGAAGAAAGATTAATGTTATCAGCTTCTTGAAGCCAAATAGGGATCCAGCATTAGTTAAGAATTATAGGTCCATTGCACTTTCACCTTGTGGGGGTAAAATATTGGAAATTATGATTAAAAACAGATTAGATTGGCAACTAGAAAATAAACAAATATTTAATAATAATCAGTTGGGTTTAAGGAAGGGAAGAGGAATCTATGACAATATAGACTATTTATCTACGTAGGTACATATTTGATGCTTTTCTTTCTTCAAAAACAGCGGTGGCGGTTTTTTCAGATATCAAGGCCGCATATGACAATGTAAACATATATAAACTATATAATAAACTCCAAACATTAGACATACAGGGTGTCAAACTTTGTGAAAAAAATCATTTTTTACATTAATTCTCAGAAGTGCGAGCGTTTTAGAAAAAAAGTTTTTTGTTTATTTTTAAGCAACAAATAGCCTGGTAAAATTTCAGGTAATTCTGTGGCAATTTATTTTTTATTTATGGAGGTCAGTGCCGTTCGTGGTTAGCCTAAAATGGTTTTTAAATTTTATCTCGAAAACTAAGCAGCATACGGAAAAAAAATAAGGAGATAAAAAAGTTGTATCTTTAAATGTTCTATTGAAAAAACATATCCTAATTGAAAGTAAATCTACTGGACGATGTTTTTCGTGCAAAAAAACCATCCCACAAAACCTGTGGCACGTCCCTGGAATTACTGGGTCAACTCTGAGCAGTCCAAAAGATACCTCATAAAGGTGTCAACAAACTATGAAAATTTCATTTAATTCGTACAACGCATTTCAAAGAATTAATAAAAAAATTGACTTTTTTTTACAAAGTTTAACACCCTGTATCTGGAAAGTGAAGCATTTCCGGACACATGTTTATTAAGAAAAAAGCTTTATTTTTACGAGATCTACCATCCCTAGAAGTTTGTAACAAACCTTTCGTGATACCCTGTATAGTATTTTTAATACCTATTTAGAAGTACCTGTCGTTTTAGTGACAAAACGTATGTCGCTTCTTGACACACAAATAAAATGAGGTTAGGAATTTCCTATAGGGCAATCCAAACAAAATGGTGGTCAATGCATGGCCAATGCCAAAAAATTGGCGCCATAAATTTAATTCAAGCAATCGTGACATTTTTCATCAAAACACTGTTTTTTGTGTATTTTGTGGTGCTTTTAGATGATTTTCTAGTGTTTGAGAGGATAATTTTCGTATTATAAGATGGAAAGTTTTTAGTTTAAGAAATTATTAGTAGAAAAAAGGCATTGGCCTCCATTTTGAATTCCATTTTGACAAGTCGTTGGATTGCCCTATTTGTAGATGAAATTGACGTATTAGCAATCGACGTTCGTTTTTGTTGGTAATTTTTTGTTTCATCTGATTCATGATTGATAAATAAGGATGGGGTTATTCTAAATGGGTATTACAAATGCAATAGATCATAAATTTTCTTGTAGATCACTAGATCCTGTGCTAGATCATATCCAGTATCTGTAAGGCAGAAATCATAGCAATTCATGATGCTGTAAGGACGGCTATTCAAAAGCATTTAAAAAACGCTATTTTCTTCTCGGATTCTCTGTCCGCTATTCAGAAAATAAACAGTAATCGCCATAATGCTGTAGCTGACTATTGGACACTAAGAACAAAGAAGCTTATCCTTTCATTCAGTGAAAATGGTTTTGATTTCAGACTGGCCTGGATTCCAAGATATTCAGGTATATAGGAAAATGAGACAGTGGGACATACCTACTTGCTAATATTGGCAGAATTTTGAACGTTCCAAAACAAATGTTGTTGGATATTATACTATTAAACAAAACCTCTACATTGAGTATAAAGATCAGTGGAGAATTTCGGCAAAAAATAAAAATCACCGATACTGTAAGGTACAGGGTGATCCAGTATAAAGTGAACACCCCCCACCTTTTCGCTAAAAAATTTTTTTTTGAAAAAATCAAGATAGCCATTTGGTGTATTTTGTTTCTAGGAATTTGAGAACGTTTTTCGAAATTAAATTAGATTTTCCATTAAAGCGCTGTGACGACAAAAGTAATTTTTTTAAATGGAATAATCTATATTTAAATCCATTTTCTAAACGCCCTTATTTTTCTCATTTCAAATATATTTAGTTTGTTTATCTTTATTTTAATAATTTGCGATATATTCTCACTTAAGATTTAAATAAAAATAGCCGAAAAGGTATCAAGGACAAAATTATTTAGATTTACCTTGAATCAAGGTAAATCTAAATAATTTTATTTTCAATAAAATTACTTGTTATTAGGTTTTATCATACCTTTTCCGCTATTTTTATGTGAATTTTAGAGTGAGAATATATCGCAAATTACTAAAATAAAAATAAACAAACTATATATTTGAAATGAGAAAAATAGGGGCGTTTAAAAAATTGGCTTAAAATTAGGTTATTCCATTTAAAAAAAAAATACTTTTTCGGTCACAGCGCTTTAATGAAAAATTCAATTAAATTTTGGAAAACGTTTTCAAATTCCTAGAAACAAAATACACCAAATGGATATCTTGATTTTTTTGAAAAAAAATTTTTTAGCGAAAATGTAAGGGGTGTTCACTTTATACTGGATCACCCTGTACAGTCAGAATTTAGCGGAAAGAAGTGGTATGCTGATTTCCCCTACAAAAATCGTAGACATATTACCACCATAATACGAACTGTTTAACCGGAAAGCACTTCTATAAAATCAATATAGAAGATGACCCCTTATGTGACAGGTAGAGGGACCTGAACCACATTATACAGGGTGGGCCACTGAAAACTTACAATGGCTATAATTTTTGAACCAAAAAAGATATCAAAAAATAAAAAATACGGTTTTTATAAAATCAAAGCGGAATACACATGACATATTTTTCAAACCACCCCGACCTACCCCTTAGGCGCCACCCCTACTCGCTTCAAAATCTTTAATGGCAACACCCCACTTGTGGCACCTTTTTGGAAAGCTCATGAAAAATGCTAAACGATGGTCATAAAATTTTTAGGGTGACATTGGAAAACTACCCGTCAAATGAAAAAAATTGGTAGAAATAAATTTTACAAAAAAAAAGAATTTTTAGCATAAAATTAGAGATAGGAAATTGAAGCGACCCAGCTAAATTCAAATTACGTATTTTTCAAACCACTGCGACCCACCCCTAGGAGCCACCCTCACTCATTTGAAATTCTAAGATTGCGGTACCCTACTTGTGGCACCTCTATGGAAAGCTAATTGAAAATGCTAAACGATGGTCACAAGGATTTCAACCTAAATTACGGCTAAGTAGTGATTAAGAAATGTAGGTGTGACATTTTGAAAAATAGGAACCAAATTAAAAATGATCTAGATAATTTATTTTAACATTTTCCACCAATCCACAAATAAGAACTTGCGGTAACGCAAATTCTTCCTTATCAGCTATTTGTTTACTTTTCTATAGCAACCCGACCCACAGCAACAAAAAAAAAACAAAATGCATTACTTACTGTCTTCTATCATTTTTCAAATCATTATTTTGCAAATTTAGTGACGATAATTTCTACCTTTATTCAATTTACTTAGTTAAAACTTCGAAAAACGGTTTATAGTGTGGAAGAAAGAATTGAAATAGTTTTTCTTTATGGTGCTGAAGGTAAGTGCTATTTGAGAACAGCCCGTGCTTTCAATGAGAGAAATCCGGACAGAAACGTTAGTCACGTTTATGTTAGGGATTTGATCCAAAAGTTTCAACGAACGGGATCGGTCAAAAATCAAAAAAGGGTAGGGCCCAGGGTACTGAATGAAGAAATGCAAATCGAAGTTATTGGTCAGGTGTCGGTCAATCCAGAAGCATCAACGCGCCAGTTGGCATCAATAACAGGCATACCCCGAACATCTGTCAGAAGAGTATTAAAATTCTGCAGGAACTTGGCGACGATGATCCAGATAGAAGGATTCAGTTCTGCGAACTAATGACGGAGGAAATTCGAAGGCAACCTTCACTCACTAAAAATGTTTGTTTTAGTGATGAGTGCTCGTTTTTGCTAAATGGAAATGTGAATAAACAGAACTGCAGATACTGGAGCAATGAGAATCCCCATATTGTTGTTGAAGGACATACCCAAAATCCCCAAAAGCTCAATGTTTGGTGCGGAATACTGGGCGATAAAATAATAGGTCCATTTTTCATCGACGGAAATTTGACGGGTGCTGTTTATGTGGAAATGCTGGACAATGCGATAGAGCCGGAAATTGTAAATGAGGTTGAAAATCAAAGAGATTTGGGAGGAAATTTGAATCTTGATGAAGACATCATACACTTTCAGCAAAATGGAGCCCCTCCGCATTATGCTATTGTCACAAGGCGGTGGTTAGATAGATTTTATCCAAGGCAATGGATTGGCAGAAGGGGTCCAATCGAGTGGCCGCCAAGGTCACCTGACCTCACTCCTTTAGACTTCTTTTTGTGGGGTTACATTAAATCCATAGTCTACAAGACAAAACCAGCTTCGTTGCAAGAATTGCGGCAGAGGATAATTGAGGCATGTCGAAACATTCCGAGAGAGATGTTCCAGAAAGTGAGAGAAGAATTTGAAAGTCGTTTGTATTTTTGTATGGAACAAAACGGCTGTCATTTTGAGCAATTGTTAAAATAAATTATCTAGATCATTTTTAATTTGGTTCCTATTTTTCAAGATGTCACACCTACATTTCCTAATCTCTACTTAGCCGTAATTTTCTTAGGTTAAAATCCTTATGACCGTCGTTTAGCATTTTCAAATAGCTTTCCATAGAGGTGCCACAAGTGGGGTACCGCAATCTTAGAATTTCAAATGAGTGAGGGTGGCTCCTAGGGGTGGGTCGCAGTGGTTTGAAAAATACGTAATTTGAATTTAGCTGGGTCGCTTCAATTTCCTATCTCTAATTTCATGCTAAAAATTCTTTTTTTTTTGTAAAATTTATTTCTACCAATTTTTTTCATTTGACGGGTAGTTTTCCAATGTCATCCTAAAAATTTTATGACCATCGTTTAGCATTTTTCATGAGCTTTTCAAAAAGGTGCCACAAGTGGGGTGTTGCCATTAAAGATTTTGAAGCGAGTAGGGGTGGCGCCTAAGGGGTAGGTCGGGGTGGTTTGAAAAATACGTCATGTGTATTCCGCCTTGATTTTATAAAAACGGTATTTTTTATTTTTTCAATATCTTTTTTGGTTCAAAAATTATAGCCATTGTAAGTTTTCAGTGGCCCACCCTGTATTTGAATGTTCTGGAAAGCACTTCTATAAAATCAATATAGAAGATGACCCCTTATGTGACAGGTAGAGGACCTGAACCACATTATATTTGAATGTTCTATTAACTTCATCCAGGGCGTTGATATGTATAGAGAGTTCCTTGAGTTAGGATTCAGTACTCCCATGATAATGTACACCATACTGTCTTCTATTAATGAAGCAGCAAGTTGTATCATAATCAACTTTCTCAATCAAAACAAAATAAAACTGTAATGCTCAACTTACATTTCCCCTATTTCCAGATCTTCCACTTTTCGTGTTTTGATATGCTACCATTGAACCTGTGTTGTTATGTTTATTAATTATTGCTCTACATTATGTACCCAGTAAAATCACTAGAAGTTTGTTAATAATAATCTATATAGTATCGTAGCTCAATTTTTAACAGTTCAGTGGCCTCGACATGGTTTCGAGCCAGACAGCTCGTGGACACTAGTGTTTCAAATGAAAACTTTCCTCCGAGGTTTGTATACTGTTTTATTTGCAAGCACACCATTAATTATGATTAGTCAATCAATTTTTTCAATATTAAAAAAATAAAACAAACATGCCAAAATGTGTCATTCACTGCTTTGACGTTTTTACCTGACATGTTCTCATTGTTGCCAGCAAAGGTAAATAAATTAGAGTGAGGGAAATCGGTGAGGGAAGTCGAATAGGGAAATCGGTGAGGGAAATCGAAGAGGGAAGTGACACAGGTAAAGTGTCACTTCCAATTTTTTAAAAAGTCAGTAATGACAAGATTACATATATGATTGCAAATAAATTATATTAAATTACTGAACTGGCTGCTTTCTCGTTTCAGTCGTTTTGATCAATGTAAATTTGTACATACTTGAATACACTTGTAGTGACCCAGAAATATTTATATTTTTTAGAAAAAGCGGGAGCGGCTGTAACGATTGGGTAATTTGGAATTTTAGTTTAAGTATTTTATTTTTTTTTTGCTCTGTTTATTTTATATAGGTAATAAAAGTATATGTATATGAAAACCTTACTGCAGTTGTTTCTCTCATTTGCAAATAGACCCTCACCACAATTTTATTTGTAGCAATACCCAAGGGAATAAGCTTTATTAATCTTACTAATTAATAGAGTAGGTACTTGGGCGGACAGCTACAAATGTATTTAAAGTTTCTAGTTGAGAAAGTCAGATTTCGATCGATAATTGAGAGGTTAATGGTCATTTGCACGGCTATCACTTAAGGGATATTTATTCAAAACTCTTTTTGGAATAAATATCCCTTAAGCTATAGCGGTGCAAATGGCCGTAAATGATAAAACTGGGCATGGGAAAAATCTCGAGTTCCATCCAGAATAAGTAATAAGTACGAACAGTTAAACTTGGATAGAGATATAGATTGCTATAAAAAAATCGACAACTTTTACCTAAAATAATCCGAGTATCTTTTTCCTTGAGCTTCATTAAAGCCGTTGTAACTTCGTGAACAAAACTTTGAGTTTCTACTACTTGATAGCCCAACATATCTAGCTCAGCTACTAACCTGTAATTATTTTACGATAATTTAAGTTGAGGTTTAATTTAGTAGAGAATAATTTACCTATTATGAGCTAGCGAATATCTAGGCTCGTTTTGATAAATAGTCCCAACTCGAGTCCAATTAAATTCTTTCAAAAGTGAAAGTCGTGGTGAATTGAATGCGTTTTCCGATGGTACTATTCTAAAGAAATTTGGAAAGTTCTCTTTGGTGAACATCGGGTGAGTGTCGGCGTAAGAAAGCTGAAGAAAATGCTTCGAATAATAAAATAATTGAAAAATTGCAGACATCTTACCTGTGTTAGATGCCAATGTTTGGAAGCCTTCGCAATAGGATCAGTCACGTGAGTGCATGCAGCACCAAATAACATCAGTTTGTGTGGACCGCTGTGCATCATGTCGAAGAAGGCTTTAACACCTACAGCGGCATTACACTAAAACACAATTGATTTTCTCAAGAAGTAAAATATTTATATTTTTTAAAATTTAATAATCTTGAAAGCCAAAGTTGATCGTCGTCTAACAAGATTGGGACGACAGAAGGGGGACTTCTTTTTAATTATAATCCGCCGCAACTGTCTTCCCGAACCTGTCAAACGTATTTTATCAGAAAAATGGTCCTCATTTTTGCTATATGAAAAGTTGATTCGCCTAATAATAGCTAAACGATGATAAAGATAGAGAAAAAGTAATTTTAATTTATCTAGGTATATCTCTTTACCACATTCAAGGATCACGCGAATCTCTTTTAATTTCCATATACGGAGTATGCGTTTTGAAGGGCTCATTATGCACACAGGTTGCTGTTGTTCCGCTAAAGACTATTTGTTCGGAATAATTACATGTCATTTCAGCGGCGACCCGGGGAACATTTTTATGCTTTTTAAACACGAGACAGTGAAAAATAGGTTTTAGCGTGGTTTTTAAATCCGTACCAAGGTATAAGGGCGAATGTCAAGAAAGTAGGACGTGTATTTATGCGAATTATGCTATATAAATTCGCCTGAATGCGTCATAAGAACTTACAGAGGCATCAAATTAAATTATGAAGACTATTGAAGTCTGTAGTAGACAGACTTTGGTAGCAGTGAGAAAGTTAGTGATGACGATGAGAGAGTTAAAAACAGTGCAGCGCCAATGAGAAACCAGATTAATATACACATGGGACCTGCTTGGGATCAAAAAGTATGGACACAGAGAAAGTATCATGAGCTAAGGACTGGCAAACTATTGGATAGATATTAAATCTGCACTACAAACCTCTTTTATTTTGTAACTCATTTTTATAATGGTTCTGACTTTAACTTGAGGAATAAGAGCTTCCTATAGTTTTCTTTGAATAGAAAACCCCACTTCACATACCAACTGGAAAAGTTGAATAATTTCTAGCCTACCATGAAAGATCCACTCTACATTATAGCAGCCTCACTATACATACATAGAACCTACTCGGCCAAGCAAGGTAGCTTGGCCGAGTAGGTTTTGTGAGTTAAACAACATTAATATTTGAATACTATCATTTAATTACCACGCAAATTGATCATTTGCGATAATTATCCAAAAAGCTTCTTCGTGAGGGCTTTGTACGAGTCGTTATTTTGGTATCAAGATAACTAGTGATTTTCAGAGAATTATTCCTAGACGTCACGCCCAGGGACACGGACCTTGGAGGCTTTACAACCCTCTAGTGAACAACACAGAAGATCCTACCTCTGTCTATGGTCCTTCGAGCAGGAATCACTTATTAGGTGAACATATCACAGTTATTATTGTTATGAAAATTTGGACTTACCATAGTATCATTCCACCACATGTGAAGCCGATAATTCCTAAGAATTTGCGAATGCTCATTGACATGGTCTAGAGCCAGCTTGACACTGGGCATCACGCCTCGTCCTATAAAATAATCTAAAACTGAGATAAACTGTAGGTACAAAAAATGCATGCAGAGAATATTGTATATCCAGAAAAAAATCAAAACTGCCAAATTTAATTAATCCATATTTGAATTAATAATTTTAATTATCACACCCTCATCAGCACTAACACTTGATTGAGGCTCACCTGTTTCGGAGTTTTCCACCCCTTTGCCAAAAGGAAAAAATCCGGCTATGTAGACGTCGTGACGTCTGGCGTCAACGTTCGGTTTTTGTAAAATGCAAAATTCGAAATTGAAGATGACCAAAAATAAAAGAACAACGATTAAATTCATTTTTGTAGTGGTCATTTTTCGACTATTAATTTTTATCATCTTTTTGACATTGTAACAGGAAATCGGGGGTAGAATATCTAAAAAAAAAATCCTTGTGAAACTTAATGTTTCCTTTAGCATGATAGTTTTAAAAATATCCCTCTCAAGGTTCCAAAAACCTTATATATCGGGTCACATCAAACACGACTCTCACTTACTTTTAAAACAATTACTTCTAAGTTACGTGGTGTTTATTAACATAGTTCCAAAATTTCACCTCACTCGAACACATTTTCGTTCAATTGACCGGGAAAACTGGGTTTCCGGAGCTCTTCGGCGTCGCGCTACTTTTCATATTATATCCTCACCACCACCAGCCTGGACTTGGACCTTTGGCTCTATTGATTTCCTAAAACGTCACTCCGGAATTAGAGCGCGTTTGCGCCGTTTTATTTATTTATATTTATTTTCTGAGCTCGATAGGTGTCCGGCTTTTATCTAATTTGTGGAGATTAACTAACTTATTACTCCCGGGCCCAGGGTCTAATGGACTATGCGTAAATGGCTTATGAAACTATGATGTTTTTTTTTCTTTTTTTTTCGTAGGTAATTTTTCATTTTATATTGGATTTGTGTCATGAATATGAAGTTTCCTTTTTTATATTATCGAATTTTGTAGGTACTTTTTTTGTCTGTTATGTATGAGTTTCTCTCTGCCATTTTTTAAACTTTTGACTCATCATCGCCTATTTTGTTATCAATCTGTTGCTTTTAATTATTTTCTATACTTATTCTAATTATCCTTATTTAAATTGATGTGGAAATTCTTTATGTGCATTCTATTTATTAGTTTTCTTCTTAGTTAACAATAATTACAAGTAGGTAGTATTTCAAATAATACATAAACATTTATTTTATTTTGTAGCAACGTTTACTGAGAAAAAGTTTTCCAATTTCTATATATATATTTTTTTATTTATAAAGTAGAGTGTTCCTAGGGATCTTTCGAGTGTGAGTAATTTTTGAGCATTATTATTATTTTTTTTCAAGATCGGTTGAGTTTCAGGGTACTTATGGCCCTTATAAGTTGAATATGTAAAAGAATTTGCTTCGAATTTTGAAAGGAGAATTTCAACTTTGAAGCTTTATAACTTTGTAATGGTAATATTTATTGATATTAAATTGGATCATTTTGTAGCCAATTTAATTCTCTTTCGAATGGAACATGATTCATTAAAATCGGTACAGACGTTCCAGAGTTATAGCCAGCGATTTTTATCCCAGTAAAGGACTATAATCCCTGAAAGTTTCAGCTCATTTAGACTTATAGTTCCTGAGATAAAATCGTGATAAGCAATTTGGGGTGATTTATCAATTTTTCAATTTTTCTGAGTGCCTTTTTTCAGAGAATCTGGCTCCAAATCTGAGAATAATTTAGTGTATGGAGTTTGGGGGATCCCAAAGGACCATTTCGATACAAAATCTCGATACATTTTTTTTGAAATTTCATCGTGTTAGTAAGAAGGTCATAACTTTTGTTCTATTAGAGATAGAGAGCTGAAATTTTCAGCGATTCTTATCCCAGTGGCGGGCTACAATCCCTGAAAATTTTAGCTCATTTGGACTTATAGATTCCGAGAAAAAATTGCGTCAAGGAAACTCGCGGGTAATGGGCGGGAGCAAAATCTTCTGAGTGCCTTTTTTTATAGAATCCGGCTCCAAATCTCGGAATAATATAGTGTATGGAGTTCGGAGGATCCCGAAGGCAACTTCCATCATCAGAAGGTTCGAAGCACTACATTCCTTTTTTAACACCTTTTGGAAGGTACATTTACAAGAGAATTCCTTTTGGAATTACTTCAGCTCGAGAAATTTTTCAGAGTACAATGAATAGACTTTTCAATAACCATGAAGGGGTATTAGTACACATTAATGATATTGAAGTTTTTGGAGAAAATGTTGTACAGCATGATAAAAGCAGGTTAAAAAGAGTGCTAAGAGTTACGAGACAATGGACTTACCATAAACGAGTCAAAATATCAGATAGGCATTTCGGAAGTGAAATTACTTGGACACATTATCGGACAATCGGGTATAAGGATAAACAGTGACAATATAAAGGCTTATTAGACTGAAAAACCCAAGTGACAAATGTGAGGCAGTTTTTTCATCCTAATCATCTTAAAAAATTTCTTGAAAATATTTCAGATGAAACAAAACCTCTACGCGAACTTTTAGAACGTAACAATACTTTTCAGTTTAATGATATCCATCAACAGTGTTTTATTAAATTAAAAATACTTGTCACAAGTGCACCAGTTTTGAAGGCTTATGATGTTACTAAAGAAACAAGAATTCTCGCAGACTCGAGTTTTTTCGGAATTGGTGGCTGTTTAGAACAATTAAAACCAGATGGAAGATGGGCTCCTGTTATTTATTCTTCAAAAAGTTTAAGTGAAACACAACAATGGCCAATGCTATGCCCAAATTGAAAAGGAAGCATATACTATTGTATGGGTATGTGAAAGACTGGAAAAGTACCTAATAGGTAAATCATTTACTATACAAACTGATCATTTACCAGTTTTGAGTATCCTAAAGAAGAAATCTATAAATGATTTGACTGTAAGATTGCAACGACTTAGACTTAAATTTAACTAGATTTACATTTGAGATTGAATGTACCAGATACATTATCATCAAGACAGCCACTGAAACAGATAGATATATAATGGAAAAGATGTATTGGAAGAAGAAGTTGAATGCTAGGTATGTAAATGTTATAAGGAAAGAAACTGAAGATAACTTGAAGTTAACACATAAAATAGTTGAAACAGCACAGCAAGAAGAGTTTCAAAAACTTAGTGAATATCTAATGCAGGGATGGCCAGAAAAAGCATCACAAGTAACTGAGACATATCAAAAATATTTCAAGTATCGTAATGAAATTACATATTATGGCAGTTTGTTGTATTACAAAGACAGGCTTATAATTCCTTCATCTATGTACAGAGAAACTTTAAATCAAATTCATATTGGACAACAAGGCATAAATGGTTGCAAATCTAGAGCAAAACGTACTGTATGGTGGTCCAATAATAATAATCATATCATAGAAACAGTACAAAATTGCCATGAATGTTTGAAGAACCAGAATCAGGTACCAGATCCTATGACACTTGCCAGACTTACCATTTCAGCACAGATTACTTACATACAGATGCGAAAGAGCGGCGGATTCGTGGTTCAAGATTAATTTGATAGACATAGGCTGGCCGCACCAATGCCACATCAATGTATTTTGAACATATTTATTATATAAATGCGGAAGCTCAATAATATAATATTATTTCTTTAATTGGCTCACAAACAGCAAAAATAGTATATTATGATATAAGTGTATAAGAGGGCCTTTAAAGCACGCGCGACATATTTCAAAACACGACGCGCAGCGGAGTGTTTTGTAAGTCGCAAGGGCTTTAAAGGCCTCTTATACACGCATATCATACGCTATTTTATATTACAAATGCATCATATTCTCAAAAATGTTTTAAATGTGTTCATTCATTTTGATGAATAGTAATTTAAACGGCACGTTAATATCTAGGTACCTAATGAAGGTAGATCAAACGTTTCTATAGCAAACCTTTGAAAAGGTAGGCGCATCATAAACATCATTTTATGCACGCCGCAGCGTGCGATAATCGTTGAATATGATGCATGCGTAATATAAAATATTTTTTTCTACCCGCAAAAATATTTAAACACACAGGCTGGAACATGCTCACGCAGTCGGCCACGTTAATTGTCCTGACGCGGGCGATCTTTATTACGCATCTGTATATTAGGTGATCTGTGATTTCAGCATATATCAGCAGATTTATGCCAGTACAGAAATCAAGTCTACCTTATTGTCATACAGGATGTGTACTCAAAATATCCAAAAATTATTACACTAAAGAAAACTAAAAGTGAAGACATTATTGAACAATTGAAAGAAATCTTTGGACGTTATATGGAATTCCAGAGATATTATACTCAGACGGTGGACCACAATTTGGATAGTTACAGTTTCAGGAAGGTTGCATAAACTTACAACTTCAACCACATAAAAAGTAGCCGCAGTGTCTGGTTTTCCGTTAATAATTTGAACTTTGGCAACTACGCGCCTGAAAGGGACCTGTAATGTCAGGTGGCAGCAGCGACGTTTTTTCCATAAAGAAGGTCGGCGCACCCAACACTCCGCATAACAAAAATTGATTCTGTGCAATATTCCTATGCGATGCGCATTCGACCAATAGCATTCCAGCATTCCTCATCCAGCAAGTTGGCAATCGACGCGACGCCATTTATTATTCAGCCATTATTCTCTCTCTTCTCTTTATAGTTGGTTGTTGTAAATCGATAAAAACAAGTATTATAAAATAAATAGTAGTCAGCTAACTTTGTGTAAAGTATGAATAAAACCTCAAGCTAAATTGGCTTTCGATTAATTATTTAATTAATTCATTACAATTGAACCAGCAATTTATTGGAAGGTGAATCGTCCGTGGCAGTTTCCACAAAAAGGACTCCCATCCTCAAACACCCAGGTTTCCACAAAGTAATGGTTCAGCAGAGAGTGAAAAAAGTGTTAAAAAGTGTGGAGATCCTTATTTGGGAATATAAGCATACCGCAATACACCACTTTCACGTGGAAACTCACCTTCAGAACTACTATTTGGAAGAAAACTTAGAGAAATTTTACCTACCACAAAGAAAAATCTAAAGCCAAAACTGGTTGACCATGAAAAAGTTAGGAATAAGAAGCAGAGAGAGGAACAACAAGAAGCAAAGAAAAATTATGACTAGACATAAGTCAAAAATTTTACCAAAATGGAATGATAATGACCTAGTTTACATTAAAGATGGGAAATGTAGTGGAAACATTGTAAGACAATGTCGTGAACCAAATTCATTTATGGTCCAGACTGAAGATGATGTTCTAAGGAGAAACAGTAAATTTTTGATAAAACTACCTGAAATCAAGGAAAAGGATTAAGAACAGAGAGAAAAGCGGAAATAGGTACTACACAAGAATCGTAAACTCTACAGGATTGTCAATCCCATAAGATAAACGTTCATAAAAACATCGAAAATGGCGGTATGCGAATGACGTCACGCAGTCCTTGATCGGTTTGTGTTTTATTATGACAGTGCACTTTTCTTGCATTTTCAAACGTGAAAAATTGTTATTTTGAGGTTATTTCCTTTGAAAACTGTATTTTGTAATTAATTTATTAATTTTAAAATTAGCCGACTTCAAAAGTTTGTGTCCTTGAGGCTTGAGTGGTTGGCTAATTAGAAAGACGAGTTTGTTTGCTTTTGTTTATCAATTAGCCAAACATATTCCCAAAAAGTCAAAAAAACAAAGAGCTGGAGTAAAGCTGGCCCCCGGATTTTTTTCAATGTTTTTTTTGTGTATGGAAATGAGCACAATTCGCATAAATACTGGCACAATTGAGCACAAAACGGGCACAATTGACTACAGTTGAGAAACAGTAGAAAACCAAATGTGGGGTGCCAACTTGAGCGAGCCGGTTTAATTTTTGCATTTCAATATCAAACTATAAGCGAAACGTGGTTGCAATAGTGTGTTTTATTTTTTTCTGCCCCTACCTACTTTTCAATTATTATTCAATAGTTTAATAGGTAATAGAACGATTTAATATGGACATTCAAAGTAAGCTTATTTCACAAAGCCAAATAGTGATACCTAATTTAGATTTCCATATTCATATTCCAAAAAAACACTGCAAGTTTCCCATATTTTCCATGCGTTTTCATAGTAAAGGAATTTACTTACATATTTATTTATTCACTCTTCACAAACACTAATGTTTAGTAATTACATGCAAAGGATTACAACTAAGTAGATATTTGATTTACAAAAAAAAAAAACAATACAAATGCTTTACTAGGACATACTAACAGTAGAAAACTAGCAATACACACGAATAAAAGAAAGCGATGTCTTGTCTTGATACAACAAATCCAGTATTAGGTATAAAACCACTAAAACCAGAAAATGCTTGGGGTTTTCGCGAGTATTTTCAGCCACGAGTCTTTTATGCTTACGCACATTAAATGAAACTTTAAATTACACTTATAACACTTGATAAATCCGAATTTACGATAAAATAATTGTCAGCACAAACTGAACATCGCTGATACGAATCAGCGGCCATTTTGAAAATCCGGGATGCACGTGACGTCACAGCAATTGTGAACAAATTTAGCCGATTGAGCAATCCTGCTGTAGAGTTTACGATTCTTGGGTACTACAGAGATACACAAGAATATGTAGAACCTGAAGGAAGACTAAAGACGAGAAAAACCTTAGAGCAGGAAAGCACTGTCCTACGGACATAAGGAGTAGGAACGTGCCATTCTGCTTATGAAACAAAGTGAAGCCAATTTTTTGGCAGGTGTTTGGCACCAAGATACAGGTAAAGCATTGAATTGCCATAAGCGCCATTTTCTTGGTGCCAAAATACCTGGAAAAAAACGGCTTCATTTTCCAAATCCAGGTTACTAGGTACTCCTCTTTACCTTTACCTGCTCCAAGAGAAAAACGAAGACCAAAAAAATTATTTAATGTTATGTTAAACTCCGTAAATCTTGCTTTTGTAATACATACTACCATTATACTACCTATGTATTTTGAAATATTTTTTCAAAATTAAAAGTACAGGAGAGGAGATGTATAATAATATGTCAAAGATGGGAGCAGGATAGGAGATAGGGGGAGTTTGAGAGGTGTTGTCGGTGTTGTCACTTATGTGTCAGAGAATAAAGGTCGTATGGAACGCTTCATTTGAAAAGCTTAGGTACTTTAAAACCTCAATCAATGAACTAAACCACAGTCGATTTATTTTCAAATTCTTTAACTTTGGTACTACCGGTTAGTTCTAAGAATGATAGATGGCGCTGCGAAACATTAACTATTTTGAAGTGGCTCAAGGTGGCACTTAAATCGCGAAATTTTTTGACGTTTTAAAAATTATCCCATAACCAAATATGGCTTTTCCCACGGTCCCTAGTGAATATCGTGAGCTAGATATGAGGTGCTAGCAAATAAAATAGTGCGAATTTATCTATTTAGGTTAATTTAAATGTAAATAAGTTCACAATATAGGATTACCGCCGTTGATATTAAGGATAAAGGCAAGGTTCGTATCCTTTTTTTAGGCGACCTTAGTGACTAGTTTTAGGTTATGTTTGGTTTGAAAATTTGATATTTTTATGAAAATATAAACAAAATTCCCGTTATTCTAGCTCAAATTTTATATAAACTTTATTGATAACAACATATGAAAAGCGAACATAAGTACTAAAATCTAATTGATCTAGAAACCAAAGACCACCTTGAAGTGGTCCAAAACAGATTGAATTTCCTTTAAAAAACATCACTAAAAATAGTAACATAACTAGGAGTTTCAAATCATATTTCGTTATTTTAGGTAAATACTTTCTGAAAATTATTTTAATGACTTTTTACTGATGTATATTTGAAAATACAGCTTTGGTATTTACCGAGGTATTTACCTATGAATTTTTCTCAGAATAATTATTTATCTATTAACCGAGCTATTAACTAACAGTAGGTAGGTATCTTATAATGATCAAAAATATATATACAGGATGTATATTTTAAGTGATACCACTATTGCTATATCAGAAACGGTAAGAGCTACAAGATCGGTTAAATTACGGAAAAGTTGCCTTTTTTGATGCCCATTTAAGACTCGTTTACAGTGTTGCCAAATTCTTTTTAGTTTATGAAATACAGGGTGATTTCTAAGAAACGCCCAAAACTATTTCATCAATTATTTTGAAAACTATTGATTTTCGAGACACAATTTAAATTTGAAAGTTTTTTAATTTTTCTCGCTCTACAACATGGCATCTTCAAATTTTAAATCCGACGTTTCGTGATAGAGTTTCCATCATCAACTTCATTTTTTTTAATACGGACCTGGTCTTTTTATGTCATTTTTACAAAGGGAATGAAAGGCACTTTCTAAAAATGACATAAAAAATCCAGATCCGTATTTGAAAAAATGAAGTTGATGATTTTAGTTCGATTACGAAACATCGGATTTGAAATTTGATGACACCATGTTGTAGAGCGAGAAAAATTAAAAAACTTTCAAATTTAAATTGTGTCTCGAAAATCAATAGTTTTCAAAATAATTGATGAAATAGTTTTGGGCGTTTCTTAGAAATCACCCTGTATTTCATAAACTAAAAAGAATTTGGCAACACTGTAAACGAGTCTTAAATGGGCATCAAAAAAGGCAACTTTTTCCTAATTTAACCGATCTTGTAGCTCTTACCGTTTCGGATATAGCAATAGTGGTATCACTTAAAATATACACCCTGTATATATATATATATTGAATATTTGTTGTGAAAATAAATGAACGACAGTGCTTTCTGTGGTTCATAAATTGTAAACTCGTAGAAAAACTTCCTTTTTATCGTAAGTACTTGAAATTTTTGAGTAGTTTGGTATTCAATTTTAGTCCTCAAAATACTAATAGAAAAGTGTACCCAAATCATATTGCTCTATTAAGGGTCTGTTCTCAAAGAAGTCACAAACCAATCAGAGCATTTTTGATTAGTGCAAATCGCCAACAACCAGCTTTCTGACTATTTTCAACCAAATAAATGCGCTCTGACTGGTTTGTGATTTCTGTGAAAACAGACCCAATGATTCTACCTCGAATTCTACTTTCACAGCCCTTAAAGGTGATTTTCTAATCAGTAAACAGTTAAAGTCCTCAGATGTCAATGAAAGTACACCTATCTAAGACTGCTTACAATCATATACCTATACCCGAGCCTATACCTATAAAAAAAATAGAAATGAGTAATTAAAGTGAGACCTGCAAAATAGTCAAAATCCATGCCAAGTTTCATTAAAGCCAGCTGAAATTAGAAAATACCATCCAGTTGACAACATTCTAATTGCAATATACACAAATTCCAATATTTTATTGCTTCAAATTGTTGCGTAGTAAATACTTATTCCAGCTTTACTTACTGTGTCCAATTTTATATATAAATAGAAATTGACTGAACTTATTAATATAGGTATTTTTTGTCTATTGATTTTCTTATCCAGATTTCAAAAATGTATTAAAAATTATCTATATCTAATCTAGTTGTAGCGCCAAAGGCAATGTCAATTCAATTTGGAAAATTATAATGTCCTTAATCTTCCAAAATTACTATTTTTTAAAAATTATATCCTAAACTCTTTAAGTTTTTCTCTTTATTAAGCTTCCATTTTCACTATTTTGGCTACCACTGATTGGGATTTACATATTATCAGTTCCCTACTGACATGTAGAGGACGATGATTCCAGCAAATTTCCTTCTTAATAAATCCACTTGTATGAGACAAATTAAACTACACACCTCATGGAATAAATGTCACTTAAATCTACTCGGTAATTCACTTGGCTTAGAAAAAAAAAATATTGTCGCTTCATTACCTAATTGTTTAATCTGGTTTTCATTCATGTATTTATTTATTTCACAGTAAACAATTAAATAAGTGCGAGATGTGGCACAATTCATACAAAATAATATAAAAATAAAGCACAAAAATTAATTGGGGAAGCTTGAAATGAAACTTTCTCAATAACTTAAGACAAACTAGTATGGAAAATATTTCAGCTTGTTCTTGTAGTGATTTTGCAGTCTATCAGAATCAGCTGAGAATAACTGATTATAGATTTAGTAAGACTTGCTAAACCTTATGCTAAAATATACAGTTGTAACCTGTATTATTATTATGGATATCAGTGGTAGGCGGATGGGTAACCGATGAGACCACTGAGTCTTTTATTGATAACCCCCATTTAGTGCCAAATTTAGCGTTGCTTGGTTATCCACATATAATAATGATGGTTCTTCAGTGCAATTGAAATCTTTACTGAGACCTCTCAACTATAGAGCCTCTTGTGCTGCCATTGCCATGCTCATATATTCAGCCTCTGTTGTAGACAACGCCACAGTAGGTTGTTTTTTACTATTCCATGATCTCAGTGAACCATTTTTCATAAAGACTTAGCCTGTGATAGATCTTCGATCAGATGGGTAATTTGCCCAGTCAGCATCACAATAACCATAAATATTTGAACTTTGGCCTTTAACTCCATTAAATTCCAGTCTGTAGTTTATTGCTCTCTTTAAATAACGGAGGATACGCTTAACTGCTGAGCAATGTGCAGGTCGGTTGATGATTAAATTGACTGACACTACTGACTGCGTAACATATATCAGGTCTAGAGATTTGGGTCGCGAATAGCAAACTTCCCACAGCTTCTTGATAAAGTTTGCTTTCCATTATTTCAATCTCCTCTTCTGTATTTAGAGATTGTTCTTTGGTTAGATTTTCTCCTGCTACCAATAGTGTATCTACAGGGTTTGCATTTTCCATATGAAACCTCCTGAGTATTTTTTTAATATAGGCTTTATGTTCGATCGATATAGACCCTGAGATAGGGCCTGTTTAGTGGAGTCATTTTTTTTGTCTGGCATTTTGAGGGATGAATGTGGCAAGTTAGCTGATGAGAATATGAGTGGTTTTAATGCCTGCCTCCTGTTCGAAATGTCCGGAACACGTAATTTCGAACTGTGATTACCTTCTGGCGATTTTTCAGCGTTATTTTCATAACAAAACCTTTCATTCTCTCGATTGCCAGACCAAAAATAAACGCGGAAGGTTCTTTTCTTTTCTCTTGGAAGTTGACACCCATCCCCATTTTTTCAGCTATTGAAAAGCATCTGGTATTTTTCATGGGTGGATTATTTATCAATGTCAATCTTTTATTTAAAAGCTAGAAAATTTGAGATCATTAAAAAAAAATTCTTCATGTAACTCAATTTTTATCTTCTGCAAATTTTCGAACGGGAGACCAGCATTAAAATCACCCATATTCTCATCAGCTTAGTAGCCACATTCAGCCCTCAAAATGCCAGACAAAAAAAAATGACTCTACTAAACAGCCCCTAGATTGTAGATTGCGGGGGAGTCGTTTCGGCTTTTCAGCCGCTCAGCACTGCTACCTTTGCAGATATTGCCCCTATCTCACAGTCTAATATTTTTTGTCCCTTGTTATCTGCATACCCAGTATATGTTTAACTTCTCCAATATCCTTCATTTTGAAATTTCTGAGTAGTTGATTTTTCAGTTTTTCTTTTGCCTTTTGGTCATTTGACTGAAGAATAATATCATCCACATAAATTCCAACTGTTAGTTTTACTTTTTCATTAACTTTATAATATATACAAGAATCTGACTGACTTTGCTTTAAACCAATATTTACCATGAATTTGTCCAACTTTCGATTCCACACTCTACTTAAGGCCCATCCTCAATCAATCTGGTAGCGAAGTGGCACTTCGGCACGCATGCTAGGACAATGTTGTTTAACGTTGGCATCCTCAATTCAATTTCGTGCCAGCATGCACGCCGACTCCGAAGTGCAAGCTTGCAAGCTGCAAAATTTTTCGATGCGTGTCATGCGCAGTACATTAAATTACCATTACATAAATTAATAATAATTGCTTTATTTAGACTTCATCTAATTTAGTGCAAAAAATTTGATACTATAAATATTACAATACAAGAGATATAATAATTAGTTCACCTAGTAATACTACTGTCTTACAATGTGAAACAATCCAATGGTTGGCAAGTTCTTTATCTCATTGGGTAATGCATTAAAAATTATTAACCCCTTATGGTATACTGCTTTCTCAGAAAGTGATTTATTCTTTTTTGCAACATAAAAATTGTCTCTATTCCTAGTTGCATAGTTGTGAATGTCCCCACTAGTGATCAATTTATTTGTCAAATAGTCAGGTGTAATTCCATTTTTTATTTTATAGATAAAGATCATTGTTTGATACTTGACAAACCCTTCAACAGGTAGCCAATCCAATCCATTCAGCAAGTCAACTATACGTGTGTCCCTTCTTTTCTTCAATATTATACGCATAGCTCTATTTTGCAACTTTTGCAGGCGATTCATTTGTTGGCAGTAAATAGTATTGTTGCACTATACACAAAGTGAGGTAAGATCAGGGTATTATATATTGTTATTTTGGTCCATTTTGATAATGATGAGGACACTCTGGACAGAAAATTTACATT